TAAAACTGAACGATTCAAGAAATATAAGTTGCTAAAGCACAACGTGTAGGTTATATGCGTCCGTATGTTTTTTCTCGTGGTTTATCATTTGTCCTATAAAACACATTGTAACATAAGGACATGAAAATTAAAAATCTTAGGTACAACAACAGAATGTAGTTGATAAAATTTATTCACTTTCCGAATTACTTTGGTCGGAATTCCATATCGCTTGAAATTAAGCGACTATTTTAGTTTTACATTAATTCAGCAAATTCCAATGGAATAATAAATAATAAATTTTATATTCCACGTTTCATTGCGTGTCATTTAGTTTTTTTTTCTCTTGTTTTAAAATATTTTTGTTAGGAATTACTGAATAAGTATTGAAACGCAAATAGTACAGTACACTTAATAAATTTATGTTTTTTATACTAAGTTTTTTATGGCTGAAATCAGAATCAAAATTTTTTGAATTTTTAAAATACAGAACAGAAAAACTTTAATAAAATATAAAAAAAAATGTCTTCGTATTTTAAGGAAAATATAATTTTGTACTTTAAATTAAATATACTTTAAATTTAATATTACCAAAAATTAATAAATGCTTTCACTACATTTCATTTGTTGAAATAAATTGATTACACATTGAATATTCAAATACTCAATTTTATTTTACCAATTTACATTTGCATTATCAGTACAATTTCCGAATTTTTTAATATTGAAAATAAGAATACAGTTAGTCATTCAGCTTCGATTCAATACTTTTAAACATAACAGTTCACTTAGCATGATTATATAAACACTTACATTGAAGTAGTTACAATTCGATTGTATAAGAAATTTCATTGTTTTAATATTATGATATAAAATTGAATTCTTGGTTTATTTCCGAAAACTCGGATACATTTTTTTTACGCGAAAAGTACTAGGTATATCAATAGCAGATGTCACAATACTCCAGATTTCAATCAATCCTTTTTTTCATAAGTCTTACAAAGTGACATAGACTGTTTCAAATAATGTTGGCGAATATGATCAGCTTAGAATTTTGAAATAATATAGACATAATACCGTCCAAACTGTGATTACATGGATCCGTAGTTCAGCAACGGATATCGGTCATTTGCTAAAAAGCTTTGATCTATTATAAAGGAGTAATTTTTCTTAATGCTATAACATTGAAAATTGACAAGTCAAGGATCGTTACATATTCTTTTCACTTAAAATGCACATCCCCCTTTCCCACAGTGGCCTCCTTTTTAATATAGTGAAATATTTCAATGGTCAAGTATCTTTATGCATATAGCGCATAGCAATTCTCTGAAGATAGTATTTTGCGTGTGAAATGGTAATAAGAGCAGAGGGTAAACTTCTTTCAATCTAATTAGACTAAGAATTGACAAATAGGAGCGTCAATCTCTCAGGATATACATACGTGCAAAGATAATATGGTATGGAAATGGTTTGAGTGAATTAGCTTTTTTCTCCTGAGTGGGTACGAACATATACCCATGAAAATTCTTAATTAAATTTCATGAGTGCTTTGTTACAAAGGAAGCGAGAGATGGGGAAAGGTTCGGAGAATAAGAGTATTGGATAAACTTTGTCTTGACACTTGATTCATCAATGACGCAAGAGTGGGCGTGAAATATTTTATTTTCACCTTCATTTCCATAGGAAAAGACACTGGAAAACGTACTACAATTTACTTATTATCTCTCCTTTAGCATTATATTTGTATAAATTGATTTTTCTTATGTGTAAATATTGTACGTCGGAATTTTTATCATTATCAACGATAAAAATACACTTATTTAATTCTATAAAAATTCAAAATTATAATATTTTATAAAGGCTCATTACGATAAGTTCTAAAGACTCCTTTGACTATTTCGGTTGATATAATCATTATGAGATCTAATACAAGTCATCTACATCTACCTATACATAATTTTTAATTCAATTTATGAGTTGCATTTAACTAAAGTTATAAATCATTAAGTTACATTTTGTAATAATAAAGTTATCGATATTATAAAGGATAAATGTTTTACATATATGTTGAAGTTTAGGAGATTTAAGTAATACAAAAAAACTTTTTGTTGAATTGAAAAATGAATTTAAAAAATATAACGGTCAAACTTAAAAGAAGATGTTTTTATTATTAACTTTGATATTATGTAGAGACATCTTACACTATTTTTTTGAAAAATCTGCCAAGTTGATCAGAATTATGTACGAAAGAAAATGTTCTATCAATGATTAATATTTTAATATTTTAATATTTTGCGTTCTTAAAATTTGCAATATCTGCATAATGCAAGAATTAATTATAAAGTATTATTATAAATTGGGCACTAGCATTAAACGAGACATATATGCATCCATTTTTTAATGTACATAAAATATGATTTGATTTATAAGTATTTTCTATGCAAGCAGGTTTCATATTAAACGTAAATTTTTAATTTTAAGAAAAAACTTTACATTTCTGACCTTTTTTTGTTGACCATTACTCTTGATCAATATTTGATCAATATTTACTTAATAACTATACCGTCTTATACATATTGCATTAAATATTTTTAAATAATTGATTGCTTCATTAAAAATTTATAAATATATAAATTTTATAATTAAAAAATTACTAAATATCAACATTCAGGAATTGGAGAAAGCTTTGTAATTACTCAGTGTATATTTTCGATTCTATAGAATAATATAAGTTATAAATTAAAAATTAAAATAAAATCAAATTATATACTTGTATTTACCTCTAATGTTTATCAACATTATTTAAATATAAATTTTAATGTATATATATATATATATATATATTCTATTATATATTTATAATATATATTATATGACGTATGTTTTAATGTATATTAGAAAGCACTAGAAACAATATTAACTAAATAAAATGAAAATTCCAATATTCATATTTGTAAATTAATGCCATTGATTAATTTAGAAATTAAATGAATCAGTTATTCGATTGCATGAATTTTACATTCTTTCAATGTTATTAATAATTTTATGTAATAACATCCAAATATTAATTTACTTATTAAGTAGGTTTCGTTTAATTCTAAAAAGACAATAAAATAAATACACAATTTTACACGTATTTTATAGGTTGTATATAATTTTATGGATACAATATACATTCTTAGTTCTTAGAAGTACAAGTATTCCGTTTCGTCGAGTTTTACTTTAATATTTATATAACATTATTTTTAAAGATATGTGTTATAAGTGATAAATAGTTTTAAGGACACTTTAATGAAAATATAAAAATATTTTAATTACTACACAGATGTGAATTTTTTTAAATGAAAATACCAGTCATTTTAAATTTATCATTTATCATCAAATAAATTTAATATTAAAAATAGGAATGTATTATTTATATAATAAAATTTTATTTATAAAATCTTTCTTTTTATTCTATTAAAAGATTAATTTGTGTACATTATTCCAATAATTTAAGTATAAATATATAATTACAATTTTTTATAATTTAAAAGTGACATAATCTAATTTATGAAAATTACAAAATATATCATACATGTTAACAAGTTAAAGTTCTTTTTATAATATAAAAGAGAATGTAAACGCACAAGTGCACACGTTTCTTTTCATTTAGTGAGCTATTTTTATATTTACTCTTTTTGTACATCTTTGTATCTCATCTTCCTTTAACCAAAGAATTATATACGAAACTTAGCCAAAGATGTAATAAAGAAAATTATGTAAATGAACTAAAATTATAGACTTTGTTTTTTGGCATTAACAAGAGTGATCTTATAAAGTGATAATTAACAAAGTGCTTGAATTTCTCAATTTTTAAAAATATTTAATATTATTTATATGTCCTTAAGTACTTTGTCATAAATTTTTGTAACGTTTTAATATAATTTTTAATTCTTTTGACATTTAAATGTGGGACATTATTATTATCTAACTTGAAATTGCAACATTAATATTATTTTTGTAAATTGAGTAAATATCATGGCTGAATAGATGTAAGATTACAATACGTTATTCATTGGCACATACTCGATTTCATTGCAATTTTAAAGTAATATTGAGTGGATACGTATTCTAGTGTCACTAATATTTATATTTATATAGTATGGTTAGTTCGGGCGCTAATGGTCAATCAGATTTCATATTAAAATAAACTGTTGAAGCATACTCTTTCGTAATCACAATTACCATGTGAGGCGATTCTCAATATACGCAGTAACTACAGAGAAATTGTAGAATACTGCGATTCTAATACCAGGGGTGACGTGCGCAAAGTATCCATGTTTTTGACTGAAAAGTCAACAGATAAAGTAGAGCTCCGATTTTCCGGGTTGAGTCGGTATATAACGGCGAGGACTGGACTACCACCTCATTCGGACTCAGATGTCAGCACTTCAATGGTCATGGAGCTTGCACTGAACTTTAGTTGTGCTTACTAATGCAGAGTCGTTCTTGTTTCTACTTCACATCAGATTCGTATTTGACTTTCGTTTTGAATCAAGTCCCTGACGAAGGGGGCATCCAGGCAAAGGCGAGATGAGATGAGACGATACGAGGCCATTAAAAGGCTGGGATTGGTGGCGCGCGCCGCGTCTGTGTCATCGGTGGGGGCTATCGTGTCCTGAAGCTGAGACGCGCAGGATAAGGGCGCAGGATTCTTTAGTCGGTCTCGCTTCCTCGGGCTAGCCGAGAGACGTCGCGGCGCCGATGCTCGCCCGGTTATCTGGATGGCAGCTCGCCTCGATCTCTGATAATTTCGCTTGTCAGCGTTATTCGAGGAGCTGTGCCATGCTAGTTCAGGACTAAGGCATGAACCGTGTCTAGGTGAGTTGCATCTTTGTATTTAATTATTCGAGTAGAGTTCCGGGTGATTAATTAATCTTCGATTAAACGCCTTGGCACTTAGTCCCAATTATGTGGGTTCTTGAAACCCCAGAAATGAATGACTTTGACACGCGTAATACCGAGGAGCATTTTAGTTCCAGGAGGAGAGCAAGCGACAATCGAGATACAGCCTACAGCCAAAAAAGCAAATATGGGCAAAGGGGACAAGAAGTCTGGAGGCCAACGTAGTGACGGTAAGTTTAACATCGTTACTTAGGTGTTGCGACCAAAGTTTGTTGCATTTCCATAAAGTGTGAATCTTGATTTTGTGGATAGGTGAGAATTTTGGCAAATCACGGGGACGATGTCGACGTGTTTCGGTAGGGTTACTTCCGACAATAAAAGTAAATTCGGTTGTAACACACAATTTTTGTGTTTAATACCGATTAATAATAATGATTTATGTTTAATTGTGTTTAATAATGATTTTTGGGTACATAGTGTCCATTGCATTGCAGTTTTCCGTACGTCTCAATGTATTTGCTGTAACCCTTTGAATGATATACTGGAAATTGGATATGCTAATAAGTAAAACTAGATTTATTCACGGAACATATTTCAGAAGTTATTCATTTTCTTGCGCAAAAATTTTGCAAACGAAAAAGTAAATTTACAGATTTTTGCAATATACCTACTATACAATTCACTTTGCTCTTCTAATTTTAATTTCGTATTAAAGCTACATTTGGTCGTTTCAGTGTTTTTATTATATTGAGAAACACCGACTTTATTTATTCACGCATTAAATAAGTATGTATTAATATCACAATGCAAAGATATCAATGTTAAATGTATTTAACAGCTAATTTAACTTAATTATTTTTTAATCTTAAAATAATTAAACTCATTTCTTAAATAATTTTCAAAAAAATAATTTTCAATAAAATAATACATTTTTAATGTTAATTAAAAATAAAATTAATACAATTTATTATCTCGAGATAAAATATTATAGTTTTATATACTAGAGCAAATACGACTAATTAGGTAACATATAATACTCACTAGGTCTTCTTCGTCATGCTTATTATTACATCTAAGAAAAATAATTTATTTTTACAGTTATCAATTCAAATATTTCATACATTTCTTACGTTATATTACAAAAGTTAATTATTGTTAGAGAATGCTTATTATTACGGAAAATACATTGTTAAGAAAAATGCTGTATAATAATATTATTTGAAACGGACAAGCATTTAGTAATATTACGTATCAACTATTTTCAATTGTTCGTAAGCACGTAAGTTCAATGAAATATATAAACTTTATAGCACAGTAGCCAATGAAAGAGAACTCATTAACGTTAGCAGGCAACATCGCGATATTATTTAGGTTGAGCGAATCTCATCTTTCTGTCTTACATATTGAAGCGCCGAAGCATTTAACATCCTCCGTTCATCATTTTTCATTAAAAGATTATTGTTGTAGGACTGTCCGGCTTCTGGTTCTTGAGATAAAACCGCATAATCTCCTTATTGGCAGATTTTACTTTCTGTTGAGAACAACGGCCCATGTCCCAATTGGCTCCGGGACAGTTAGTCGCTTCGAAACATTGTCTGAGCCGATTTGTGTTGTTGGCATTCAATTGACTGCAGCAGATGACAATTGACCAAACGCAAGCATTGGGACTCTGATTTGAAGGTCGCCTTGTTGTTGGAATTTGTTGGAATTCTGGTATCTCTATACCTTTATTGAAGGGATTGATTCCCTATAAAAATTCAAGTTATACCAAAGTGCTATATTTTCATTCGTATATTACGTTTTTTCTTCTTGTTATTATTATTTTTTAATCTAAATTGAACGCGCTGTTGTTTTGTCATTAATTATATTGAATAAAATAAATATTATAGTTATCGGATAAATATTTTTTCATTTTGCATCTTAAAAACCGTAATTCGGACGCTACTTACTGGAAAAGCTATGTTACTGTCATCGAAATTGCCTCTGAAACCAATTTCTGTTGGAATATTGTAATTGATATTATTTCTGCTAATATTGCGCACTACAATTGTAGCACTTATTGGTAATCTTCTTAGGCGCTCTTCCTCATTTCTTTGACTTTCTGTTAAAGACTGAAATTGACCATTCTTATTCTGCTTAAGTTCATGATACCTAAAAATTCAACATAGAACATTATCAAATACAGAATACTAATTATTATTAAATGTATAAATTAAATAATTTAAAAGTTGTTTATTTAATAAATTCGAGTGTAATCACATTTATTTTAATATCATTAGATAAGCAATACCCTAATTTTAATAAATGATTGAACTGAAATTGATAAATTTCAACATATGTAAAAAGAGACCTTCAATACAAAATGTTTATTAATAATTAAAACATTATGGTTTTTTACCTTCCTTTAGTTTCATTCTCTTTGCGTCTATATTCCTGTAATTGTGATTTCGAATTCTCTTTCGAAATTTGTTCTGTTAATGGAGACCATTCTTTTACTTTCACATTATTTGTTTGACCAAATTTTCTTTCTATATGGTCACGAGATTTATTCAATTCTGTTATGGTATCTAAAGCATTATTTTGCTTATGTCTTTCTTTCTCTACATTATTCCATTCAATCTCGATTTTTCTATTATCAATTTTTACTGGTTTTTCAGATTCTGATTTTTCAGCCCACGGAGTTACACTTACCATCTCTTCCGGGTATCTTACATGTGGATATTCCAAAAGTTCGTCATCATTTATATGTGATTGATTATATCGATTATTCGATTGGAAATATTTCTCTCTAATATTTTGATTACTTTTTTTAACATGTTCATTGGGTAACATATACTGCTGAAAATCATCATATCCGTGATTTTGGGTTGTAATATGTTGACGAGGTCTTTCATTGGATTCACTTTGTTCCGGCGGACTTTTTTGTTCTTTGTTTAAATTGTTCCGTTCTTCCATTAATCTTTTTCTTTGTTCAATTCTTCTGATATTTTCAATTTCACGTGCTATTTCTTCATTATTAATCGACTGATTTTTATTCCAATTCTCATTTATTTCTTCTTCTTCTTCATCGCGATTTATTACAACTTTATTGGACGATTTATGTAGTTGTTTCTCTTCTTCCCGTCGTCCTTCATATAATTCTTGCCTTCTACGCAATTGTTGTTCATATTGACTTAGCTGTAATCCATTATGTCTCTTTTCTTCGTATATGCGTTTACGGTACGTTAGATTTTCAAATTTTCCATCTTCTAAAATTGTAAGATTTTCAACAGGTTGAATGCGACTATTGTTTACTCGATTATTAATGATTATAGGAGTATTTCTACGAATATAATCTTGAAGTTTTTTCTCATTTGTTAATTCTTGTAAGCTTTTTTCATTGTTCATTTGATTCTTATTGTTTTCTTTGTCACGAATTAAGCGATCATAATTGTCCTTCATATGTTGCCATTCTCTTATTCTAGCATCATAAGTATCGGGTGTATTTATAATTAGTTGTGTACCTCTTTCTCTTTCATTATGTTGTAGTTTTTCATAATTTCTTCTTTGCTCTTTGTTATTAATATGTTGCTCTTCGTTACTTCTATCATATTTTTTATTGTGTAGTCCTTGTTTTTCATTATTCATTTTTAGATTTTCATAATATTGTTTTTGTACATCATCTATTCTTTGTTGTTCTTCTTCATTTCTACGTTTCTCTTCTTCTAATCTTTCTTGTTTTTCATTATTTCTTCGACGTTCTTCATCATTTCTTCGTTGTTTTTCATCGTTTCTTCGTTGTTTCTCGTCATTTCTTTGTTGTTCTTCATCATTTAATCGCTGTTCTTCATCGATTCTGCGACGTCGTTCCTCATCTCTTCTTTGTTCATTTTCTTCCCATTCTATTCGTTTTTCTTCTGCGATTCTCTGCTTTTCACGTATTTTCTCCATGCTGTTATCATTGTATATATCGTTATTTTTAGAATATTGATAATTTCTATAATTATTTCTTTGAATATATTCACGTTTTTCTTTTTTATAGGGCTCACCACTCTCGTAGTTTACTTCTTTATTAGAATGTAATCCGTCAATTTCAGAAAAATCCCATGTATCTATTTGCGGTATTTCGTTCGCCCAGAGCAGTTTTCGCCCCGTATTGATAATATTCCCCTTTTGCTCCTGAGGCTTTACCACAGACTCATTGTTAAAAATAAGAAGAGCTGGTACATCACCGCGAACTAAGAAATTATCAGATTTCGAAGGTATTACTTCTGTTACTTCAATGTCACCTCTTTGTGAATGTACCGATGGTTTCTCATTTAAAGTGTCAATTCCCCATTGTTTCAATAATTCTTGTAAAGATATCGCCGATACTATGTTTTCGTCATTTTTTTCTTCTTTCTTCAACAGTACATTCTTTAACAAACAATTTGATCTTTTTTGTAGATTATTTTCTAAGTTCACCTTGAATAACTTATAAATCTGAATATTCAATATTTTTTTAATATTATCATCCAAAAATTTATTACTATCATTTATTTTTGTAAAATTATCATCAATCCAATCATTTTTTGTCTTGGTTTTATAAACGATCGAGAGATTATCATTATCATTGAAAGAGACATTTTTCTTTAAATATCGATAAATTTCTGCAAAATTATTATTATAATTATTTTTTAGTCTTGAAAATTTGATTACTTATAGAACATCTTAAACATGTGGCAAACAAATAGATTTATTAATTATATTAATGTTGCATCTATTTTGAATATTTTTTGTTAAATAAGATATAAATTTGTATACATTCATATGTACATATTATAAAAAATAAAAGTGTTGGCGGTTTTTGATTTCTAATGTCTTACCTTTATTGATAGTAGCTTGTAAAGGAGGCTGTCTTTCAGTCATTTGCTTTCTAATAATTAGATCACTTGTCAATGAATTTTTAAGTGGAGCATCTTTATCTCTCAAATTTTTAAGCTCATACTGCGGTATTTGATAGTGATTTTTATTGTATTGATTGGGAGACGGATAAACGATTGCAAACTGAGTACAGAATATCCCCACTATAATTACCAGCCAGTGAGCGATCAAAATTAGTGTCATGTCTAAGTATATTCTGTAATCAAATTCTGTTCAACTTATATTTGCTTCATATATGAATTATTTAATATCTTCAATTATATAATAAATGTATATTTAGAAAATATGCTTTAAAAAAGTTCAAAGTATAATGCTTGACAAATGTAAATGAAAAATTATATATATTATATTATATTCATATTATTTGTTTATACTGTTAAAATTAGATTAGAGTATACAAATAATTTATTATTTTATTTATTGTTCTATGATAATTCAATTCTTTATATATCTTGTTTAAATATCATCAACAATTTATCTAAAGCAAGAAAATGAATAATAAAATAGATAAGTTAGAAATAGCCATTTTAAAATTGATAAAATAGCAAATAACCTTATCAACATATATTATTTGTTAAAATAAATGTGCTATCTATCAGTACAATTGCAATTCTTCTTTAGAGATAGATCTTTTATTTTCCTTGAATATTATGAATAATTCTAAATTTTTTAATATATTTCTTAGATATAATAATAAAGAAATAAAACAGATTAGAAATAAATGCGTTACTATACATACTTACAAAAACAGTACTGCAAATTAAAGTTATTCGATATCCTATGTTTTTAAAGTTGAGATTCACATTCTGAGAAAAATATAATTAATGATTACCACTAACAAATGTAATCTACTTCAATATATAATTATGTATTTGTACTTTTCACGCTATTTTCTTCGAAAATTATCTTATTCATTACTCGGTATATGTAATTTCTCATCATGCTGAATTTTAAATAATATATTCATTAAGTTTCGAGTTTATTTGTTAATTTGTTAATTAGTTTTAGTGTTTGTTTTAAAGGTTATAAATAGCGAATTGATTAAAACAAAATTTGAATATAAATAATAAACTATTATGCATATAATAAAGGATACTGTTTTTTGATCATTTCATTATGTATTAAGCTAAGTTATCTTAATGCGATCTGTTGTTTACCACTATTAGTAAACAATGATAGTAAAGGGAACATATATTTATAGTCATAGACTTTTCACAATTTGGAGTTATTAATGATGGATTTTATGATAATGTATAATGTTCGAGTGCATTAGTTTGAGAAGTAGTATTTCAAGAGTTTAACTTTCCAGATTAAAGGAATAAATGTTATTATAATATGGAAACTTGTGCCAAGGAATTTCGTCGAGATCATGCTTGGCTTCACAAATTGCTGAAGCATCTGTAAACACACATTTGTTGATTTTAAAGTTGTACATATAGTGCTCCGTGCAGTTAATATGAAAAAAATAGGGAAAAAAGGAGATGTCGAAATCATTTATTGCAGCTGCATTTACAAAAAATGTAGGTAATCGGAGACCATTGAAGAAAACAAAGAAAAAGAACAAGTAGAAGTAGGAAACAAAATAAAATGTAACACATGAAATGGAAGCCGAGTGCAAATGTAAACTGATGAGGTGCCTTTGAGAATTTATCAGGAGCTGAGCTTTCGCATATTTGCGTGCGTTTGCGCGACTATCACTCATCTGAATCGTACTCTTCTCGTCTTGCTGGCTTAATAAACACCCTTACGTCATCGGTTTTTACAAATAGAGCTACGCTCTACACTTGTAAAGTAATTAAGTCACAACACTCTCATCTGGCTTTACCATGTGCATGCATTATCGTTTAGCATAAAAGTTTTTATACTATAGAGTTATGGATTTTTTTAACAATTTACTGTTGGGATTAAAGATAGTTAGTCTCTTTTATTATATTCCAGGTCTTGCCTAATTCTTTAATATTTCCTTGCATCTGCTGTCATTTTGTCTCATAAACGATGAAATCTTAGCAATGTAAAATTCGAAAAAACTTCTAAAGTTAAATGCAATAAAACCAATGTTTATTGCAGCACTAATAAAAATTATTATAAATAATTTAATATATTGCCTTTTTTAAATATGAAAATACATTGAAATACTATTTATATTGTAGAAATCGCTTTTGTGACATTTTCTTAGTTTAGTTTAATTTATTGCATTTTACAGTGACGAAATCGTCAGTATCGTTAATTCTATTGATATATAATAAAAACGTCGTATATTTATTTGGTTATTTTTTATTATAAATCAATTGTATTTGCAATAAATTATTAGAATACTTATTCGCATAACTACATAAAATGTTGAAGTTCATTGATGTTAAAACATAAACAACGAATAAAAAAAAAGCATCTTTTTCAAAGAATAAGTCGTCACAATTCTTATTCAAATATTAATAATTTAAATATTGGAAATTTTGGTAAAAAATAAATTACTATTGGTAGGATAACTGAAATTCGTTGCTGAAAATGATATTTGAAAATACCAATAATTATATACAAAATATTTTTACTGGATACATTATAAATAAAGTCTGTATTTATTTTATCATCGATCAGGCGATTAGAGTATTTTTAAAAAAAGTTTCCCTTAATTTCTGAATAATAGCAGTAATATTGCTTGCAATGGCCGTAAATTGTTGAATTTTGAAATTAAATTCATTTTTAAAATATTTGAAATTTTTGTGAATTTTATTAAATATTTCAACTCTTTAAAAAGCTTGTCTCAGTTTAGGAGATGTCTCATACTGCAAATATATCAAAATTGATCTTTAAGTTGCTTTAATTCTCTTTTGAAAAATAGTCGGTTCTTCCATCGATCGCCTGACTATTCTATATATGATTTAGTATATTAGGGTTTTGATCAGCTTAACAATTTTTCCTGAATTATTATCAAAAAAATAATTTACATTTTTTTAAATATCTATTGATTATAACTATACCACTTCAATAGTAAAAACAAGTCAGAAAAAATTCTTCGATGGCAAAAATATTGAGGGATAATTGTATTTCCTCGAGTATTGTTTAGGCTTAATTATGAATTTCATAAAATTTATGAAATCATCAAAACTAAATAACGATATTAATAAACAAAATAATATTTTATTGAGATGTGATTGAAACACCTAAAAGAGTTAAAAATAAAATTGAAGGCTCATTTTTATTGTTCTCAATAAATCCTATTTTAAGTCTTCCTATACCCTACAAATCCTAATTTTTATAAGTACGCGCAAATAGCTATTTATAAAATGAGTTAGACAATATAATCTATCGCATTCATATAAAGAATATGGTGTAAATTTGCTAGAAAAATGTGCATTACAACTTTACTGAATGACGCAGTTAGCTCGCGAGGATAGCTAAAGAGAGACACTAGAGTATAAGTAGCTCGTAAAATCACTTTCCTCTTCTTATGCATCTCATCCCATATTCACTACACCATCCTTAGGTTTATCTTCAAAACCTGAGAATCTATCGACCTCTTTACATACGCTGAACACTTTTCTCATCGTCCGGAAAGCAATACGGGCAGATCTCTCTAGACGCAATTGACTCATTGCTCGGGAGACGCAACAGTTCAAAGATTCTTCCCGTATTCCCTGGTTGAACCTATTAAGATTAATACGCATGATTAATGATATTGTCTGTTATCGCTATCTAATCTTGTCTCAGTATGTGGATTGCTAACGAATCTACTAACGTCCATTTATTGCTGGTATCATAATTATAGAGAATCTGGAAACTCGAAGCGAGTTCAATTCAAGGCCGAAATTATTATACTCATCTCCTTTTTGAATGTTTATTGTAATGACTGACCTTATAGAAAACCATTTCTATAGCTACTTGTTTCATTCGGCTAACATTTACAGCATTAATTTCTAAGAACTTGTCAAACATTAAGTTTGCGAAATGCGCGGACTTTGAGGAGGAGGAAATAGCGTTCGCTAATAAAAGGAAGAGCGAGATTTACAGGTGGAACAAATATTCATATTGCCGATTAATTCTCAAACGGTTTATTATTTTTTAATGACCTAGATCGCGTTTTGTCCTCGCAGAGAAGAATCAAGTTGTGCATTGGGTCTTACTGCGCATGTCGTTGTGACACAGCCTCACGTAAATCGACCGATTGCTTTTCTCTCGTGCGCAAGCGTTTCACCACTCTCCATGAGACTTCCTTTCCATCCCTATAACGTTCCACTTATTATAGTGATATTTTGAAAATCACTATTCGTCGCGTGATGTGTTCTCAGACGGTGACTTTCTCAAGGTCATGAATTCGTTCCGTGCTATTGCCCTCCTGTACTTGTACATTTTTAAAAACATTGTTTATCCTACTTTCGCAAATTAATTATTTGATATTATATATAATATAAGTTGATTATTTATTATATTGAGAAAAAGCCTATTAATAATGAATATTATCGGAGAATTTTGATTGACCTGATTTGATTTTCTACAAAATATCGCTTAGAAATGAGTCGTTGAAAGCTCATGTGAATAAGCAAAAGGATGACGGAAAATTAGTAACAACTACTTGAGCAAGATATCGACATTATGGAGTCAGAATAAATAATGGGAAAACAAAAAAATGTGTAAGAATGATTACATGGAAAAGCAATTATTATGTAGCGAAAACTGGTTTATTCTTTGGTTTAAAAAAACAAACAAACAAAAAATATTCCAGAATAATTTAATGGATTTAAAAAATATTTTTCTTAATGTCTTTGGAGTAAGTAGTAAGCAAAATTCATAAAATATATATCATTTATTGCACAGCATATTAATAGTTTTAGATCGGCTTTGTCTGCGACTCTCGATATTACTGTATATGGAATATAGATCATGGAACTTTCGCGGGGAATGATCAAGAGCCGAAAGCGTTTCTTCACCATGTACTATTTATTAAATTATCCATGTTTAACGTGAAAGAGTCATTAGTTAATTATTAGATATCGTCTTAAACAATACAAGGCATTTTTACGTTAGAGAAAATATCGGTATGCCCTGATTATTTATCGTTTCATTTTCCATGATTTTCTCTATTAATTGGGTGCTCATCACTATTTATTTATATTTTATATTTATTATGAGAAAAATCATATTAAGAAAAATAACTTGAGAGTTATTTTTTTTAAATTTCTTATTTGATATTCCCAAAAGGCCTTTAAGGTATGATGAGACAGACCTTGGAAATTCATTTTGTTACTTAAAAATCTTAAAATAAAGTTTCCAATATATTATACTCGAAACGTGAAATTTTATTTTAAAAAATATTATCAAATTTTTTTAAAAACTTTTGCATCAATAAATTTAAACTCGTGAAAGATTTCAAAATCTTGTACGATAATGTTAAAACGTTAAGAATAATAGTATTTAATCAAGACAATTTTTAATTGTTTTTTGTGCATACAATTTATGAATATTTAAATGTATTCATATATATTGAATGTATATGAAACTTTAAATTGCAATCATTTGACAATAGTTGTTAAATAATAGCTATTAGTTTTGAATATTTTATTATAACAAAATATTAAATATTTTAAAAGATCTGTTCTATTGTGACGAATATTATTTACATGTATCAATTATAAGCATTAAAGTTCTTTATGATTAATATTGAGCATATTGGTCTAATAATATAAATTTTTTTTTAAGTTTTATAATTTCTTTTCATTTATATGATTATTTATACTTTTCAATGCAAAAGCTTTGATTGATGAAAATAAATTCACTTTATAAATTTCTGTCTTACATGTAGTGTTAGATTTTTTTTAAGCAAAGCAAAGACATTAGAGAGTAAGAAATTACAAAAAGGAGTACACTCGTGGATTGTAAAGGGCTATTTGAATAGAGTTGATTAAAAAGCAAATATGTTTAAACGAGGTACAGAAATAACGAGGTACGGAAATAAGTACCATTCGAGGATTAAAAAATATTTTGTGGAGGGTCGGTAGAGCCGAGCTGAAACTGGGCTTGTTTCGCGTTTGTACTTACCAGATGCGAGCTCGTGGAGTCGATGCGTTGTATCTCTCGTATCCCTGTAACCGTTGTAGAGGCGCATTTCTTATGATTACGAGTGCGGGCGCTGGAGGCTCGTCTCCTTGCTCGTTTCCTCCACGTCGTCGCGATAGAACATTCTCACAATTTATAAATGCTCTCTGCGTTCGAGCGCCGGCTCATCCCTGCTGCTGCTACCGCCGCTACCGCCGCAACCGTCACCGCCACCGCCACCGCCCCACCTACCTTCGGACCCCCTCTCAACTCCATAGGAGGCTTGTCTACTCGCTGAATGTGAGTTTGCGACGGGCTTGTGCGATTATTACATTGGAACTCCATTATTACGAGCGGCATTTGCGCCTTCATTACCACGATGTCATTCTCTTATTTTAGACAATAACACCGTCGTCCTAAGCTGCTCTCATGGACTTTGTTTTCTTGTGGATCAGCATTCATTATTTTCATAGCGCTTGTGCTTTGGAAAATCCATGGCTCGAAATACCAAACGCGCGACGTCACTTTTTCATTATACTAATTTGCTTACTTGGTAACTCGAGATAAAGCTATTAATTAGTGCTTTTAAAGAGCGACGTGATGAACCCTTACAGAAATAGATTTTTATTCAAGACTATATTTACGGTCATTAATTACAATTTATGTATTCTAAACTTTATCGATAAACATAGATCAGTAAGTTCAATTTATAAAAGTCAATAACAATTTCAATTGCATTATACAGTCTGAAAGATAGAAATTAAAATTTATAGCATTCTACACGAGTCTTGAATCGTCCTCCATACGTCGTTAAAAATGTATGAAAATTTAACATTTAAAAAATATTAATTCTCGTGTTTTGTTAATAATTTGTCAAACATTGATATACTTTTATTTCTTATTTTATTTTGGTAATTTATACGATCTCATTTATGTAGATTTGTTGTATACAGTTTTTTGTCTTTATTATTAGTTGAGGAAATAAAGTTTTCCATCAATATTCATTTCTACTAACAGTTGTTTTTTCTCATATTGCTCTAAATAGTTTTTTAGAACGTTTTGATTATTGATGTGCGAGATGGCATAAGACATTCGAGAAAACCCAATGATTAATTATGACCGAAGAATTGAATGAGTTGCAGCGTATCGCTGGTGCAACCAGATGATGTTGCACCAATTAGAGAATCTAATAATTTCCGACGATCTATTTGGATAGAAATCAGAGTTCGCCAATGTGTTTAATTTCTACTAACACGCGTTTTTCATTCCTTTCGAATGCATAGACTCTTGATACTTTTATTTCTACTTGTTAAAGATTACTGCTTGCATTTCCGGAATTTCTTTTTTTGACTCGTTTTCTAAATTTTTGAATACGGTGACGATAGCTTCTGTAAACAGGTTTAATCTATATGTGCTTTCTAATTCGTAATCGACAATTTTTCATCTATTCAAATAATATTAATTTTTTTTATATTAATACAATACTTCTATTATTATTTTTGCCTGATATTTGATTCTTTTTAGTAGATCGGCGTCTTTACGTATATTTAGCATCGAATTATATCCTTTATTAATAATCTATTATAGTATTTTACAATTTATTAATATATTTATGTAATTACTGAAATGGATTAAAACCTGCATTTGTTTCTTTGATAATAAAATATTTATGTTTTATTTTATTAATTTGATACATAATTTATTATTGCTCATAAATAGACAGTTTATGAATTTTTTATCAGTTTTTATGAATTACAATTTCTGATTTGAATATGAATGTAAGAAATCGTATTAAAAACATTCTCTTTTCTAATGTAAGTATAAAGTAAATATAAAGCAATTAATTTTTTTAATAAAAACTTTCCAAAATGATGAAATATGGTAATATGTTATTATTTTTCTATAAAGAAAATTTTTCGACAAAATTTGTAAACTATTAAATTTCTTTATTGTTGTTTGAATATGTATATTTCCAATAATATTATTTTACGAATAAGATATATTTAAACACAACTTTTACCCGAATAATAAAAATAAATTTTAGAATATTATAGACTATTTGTAAAAAATATTAATTTTTGACTATAAAAATACATTTAATCCCTCGTCAAATATGATTGATACTATTAAAAACCTAAGTCAATGATAAGGAACATAAGAACTTTTCAAGCATCATATGGATTTTTATAAATTTTAATGGTTACGCCATTATGCCATCGAACGAGTCTAAAATAGTTTTACATCATACATAAATGTTATATGCTTTATTATTGAGAAATTTAATTGAGTTTCATTGTAAGCCAATTAATTTCATAAGTTGTGTCATTTAGCAGCTTCTTTATACTGTTGTTTTTTTTAACTATCATTGAGATAAAATTTGATTCAGTAAGTTATGTGTTCGAAAATTATATCAATTATTTATTGAAGACATTTTAATTTAATGACAAATTTCCAAAATAGTATTTTTAAGCAGGGGAGAGCCAAAATGGCACATGGTTCTTTAGTAAATTCACAAATAATACATGTTTATTCTATTTAAGAATGCTAAAACAATATTTTAATACAATAGAAAATATTAGATAAATATGCTGACCAATTCGAAAAGGCATTCGAAAGGGCATTCATGTAATTTTCCTCTTTAAACAATCACATTATTTCAAAGCAGTTTCGACGTTCTCGCTTATATTTAATAAAAAAGGAAATTCTGTATTATTTTTTAATTTCAATTTGCGAGTCCTTGATTCTAATAAAAGTTCATAGATTCGATTAAAAATTTAATTAAAAAAAAAAAACGAAAAAAAATACTTACAAAACCTTTGCAAATATGCTATTATATATTATTATAAAGTACGACATAATAAGAATTGGTAATGCATACTTTGTGATATAAAAAATAAAATATTCGTGTACCAGATATGATGGAACTATTTACTTGCTAAGTTTAGAACTTATTGAAGCAATGTTGATCTTATTAATACTCCTGTTTCATGTCATTACCATTTTAATAAGATACAGTAAATTTTCAATTTCTTCCGTAAATATCACTAACTAGAATAGTTCAGACATATATTATTTTATGTATAAATCGTAAAATTAAACTTTGGAGAACTATTAAGAATAAATATCATGAATGAAATTAATTTAATACATCATGGTTTACTAGTTTTGTACATTACGAGTTATGGTTGTTCGTGACAAACTTTTTTCGAAATGAACGGCAAAAACTTTATTTCAAGCAATGTTTCGATTTAAATCGATAAAAGTAAATACTGAAAAAGTAAATCGGCTATTATATTTGAAAATGAAATTATTCAAAGTAGCTACATGTGTAAAAGTTATATTTTTAGTTAAGACTTTATATTTTCCATTATAATGTTGGTTATGGATGAGACAATGAAAATAAAAACGAAAGAAAATTTTAACTTTTCAAGCGTAGAGAAAAAAGCCTTCGTGTTGTCCAACATGCAAGCTCTATAAAAGCATTTTGCGGTTCATTGATGTGAGCTATACTTTTTTTGGATATTTGAACTCTTTTCATGTATATCATGATATAGTCAGAAATAGTAGGTATTTACCTACGTTTAATTAACTCATAGTTTATCACGGTGAAATCAATCTGCTCGTTTGTGTACTAAGCCAATAATTTTATAAACTTAGAAATAAATATAATAAGAAAAATATAATAAAGACAATATTTGAAAAAAATATTTAACTTATCGATTACAAATTAAAATAACATACCTTTCTTCTATTTACAAAAAAAAAATGGATTGGTTTTATGCAGTCTGACTTGAAAATTGAATTAATGAATTATGCAGAACGCAAAGCTTTACCATCATTTTTCAAATAAAACTATGCGGAAATTCAGCTCAATCCATTTCAACTTAATCATTTACGAAAATCTTACAAAAGCTTAATTAAAGTAATCGCTATAAGTTTCATTATTTATTAATAAATCAATTAATTAATAAATTATGCCATTAATAAATTAATTACAATTCTAAATTAATATCAAGTTAATATCTTGAATACTCTAATAGATTAAGATTAAATGTGTTTAATTTGTAAATGGTTAATAATTAATCAAAGAATTAAAACAAGTATTTCTTGTTCAGGTATCAACTAGATAGATGTAATTACTTAATTAGTTAATATTTCATTAATAATCTATTTGCATATTCTTTAACAGTTCAGAAGGGTTTTCGATATTATTTTTGGTAACTCATGCCAGAATCATTTTAAATCTGATTTTTTCCCTGAACCTTAGTATTTGTTATTAAAATTATTATAATTATCATACAGAACACTTTATTTGACCAGTTCTTTGTGCATATTGTATGATGTATCTGAACACGGCCTTGTACTACATAATTATGTGATAATATTGAAAAATTCTTTCAGCGATAATAATATAATTGTAGATAAGAAAATTATGTAATTGCATTGAGAAATAAATAGTTTTCAAATATATGCATTTCAGAAAAATTATTTTAGTTATAAAAGATAATATTGTATATGTTCGTTGATTAGAATGATAAATAATGTATGATATAATAGATTAAATTTCATATATATTTTACTTATTTAATTACATTGCTATTTAAAGAAATAATATTTCTTGATAATATTTGGTTATATTAATTCTAAAATGGAATCTGTTATTATTGATTTAAATTATTAACTAAAATTAGACAGAAAAAAAGTATTTTATGAATGAATTGACTTAAATCAATAAAACTGTTTAATATTTTAATTAATTATTAACCGATTAATCGATAATTTTAAATTATTCTTTGAAAATTAAAAAAGTAGAAATGCATAATTAACATTAGAATTCAGATATTAATAAAAGCGTATTTCGTAAATCTCTATTTACAACTTTCATTTCTCTATTTATAACTTTCTTTTTTGTTATGTATTCCTTGCCTCTTTAGATCCTTATAAAATACTCTTTTATTGAGCAAAAAAGTAGATATGATGAAATAATAAAAGTATGAATAAAAGTAACGGAAAGTTCAACAATGCAAAAGGAAGGTAATAAGGCATAAGTATTGGCATAAGTCGCTTTTTAAAAACTGTATGAACAAATGCTTGAATATATATTTTTATTCTTACGAGTATTATTATATATTATAGTATTTTATTTTATTTTATTTTTCTTAATTATTATGTATATTTTCCAGTTTCTTTGTATTTTTTAATATAATTTCTATTCAAAACATATGCTTGCTTCTATACAATTATTATTTTTTTAATATAAATAAAATGTCGTTTTTACATAAACTCTATATAATTAATTGGATAAAGTCTTTCTAATTCAAGAATTTCTTCAACAATGAGAATGTACATTTTTTTAATAAACAGATTTCTTGATTTATTTGTCATTTCAATTTTTCTTTTATGTAAAACAAATATTTTAAGTGATTGATTATTTAATGAATTCTTAATAATTGAATTATAACATTAAATGTAAAAACATTTGTTATTTATTTAAATAAAAAAGTAAATATATTGTAAGCGCAGTTAGGATACTAATTAAAGTATTATTTAAATGAATTCAATTTGTCACACATACTAGTAGTTAGATTTATAAAAACTATTTTGTTTTGATATCTTTTTAACATATAATAAGCTTACCAATTAACTTATAAATTATGCCTATTAATAATTATTCGTGAAAAATTAATTACAGGTTATATATATGTATATATTCTTATATTTATAAAATTAAAATGTTCTCATACATTAGTTATTCGAAGTAAAGTGTTTAAAATTATTTTATTAATTACAATTAATTTATATTATATCTGACATATTATACTTCATAATTTGACAAAGATCGAAATAAAACTTTAGACGTTGAATAATGAGTGGAAAGAATATTGAACAGCAAATTGACCTCTTCTACTTCATATTATTTTGGTGAAAATGATTTTCAAAGATATAAAAATCTAGAAAAAGATTCATAATACAAATAAAGTTTTGGACTCAATACAGAATGAAAGATAAATAGTTTGATTTTAACAAATATATGTCGAAGAGTTGCTGCTTAATTTGTTATCTTTCCTTATATATGGAGACGTCTAATGTAATACGGTGAGTTACAGAACTTGTTCCGTTGATGGAAAAATTGGGCGATATTGTAGTATAAGTTAATTGAGCTTGTGACGTAAATGCGGAAGTTACGGGGTTTATTGTTAGGCGCCATAGTATGGGATTATTGTAGTTAGAGTGGGGTGAGGCGATAGAAAAAATACGGGCCATTGTGGCGGCGATCGTTCGAGGAGACGAGCAATACGGTGGTCGGCTGCGGTCGATACCTTTCATCCGTTATGTAAAGCGGCGGCGCGCATGGGAAAAACACATCGACAGAGGTACAGGGATGTCGAGAAGCCCAGAACTGTGCTGATTGAATAATCCCAGTGAAAGTTTGGAATCGCGTGCCGTAGGATAACGTCTTAACGTTGATTAGACGCGAATCTTTGTTGCGATCATTAGAAGGTTACAAGACCGGGTGTGAAGATGTGCACTTAATAGCTGTGCACCACATTTACCTTGAGCCAAGAATCTACCAAGAGGTGCCTTGGTATCCAATGAGGAATTCAGTTATTCTGAGAAGTTAGTTAAGCATTTGTTTTTACTGACTAACTTTACTAAGCGATAACCTAGACATCGCTTTTTCGGAGATTAGTGCACGTGACATGAAATATAGAATAAAGACATTTTTCCTCATTGGTTTAATCAGATCATCGTTCGGAATCAGAAATATTTGCCGCAAGATTATTCATTACTGAACTTCCATACTTTTTTCTCTAACTTCACTTAATTCTTATTTTTTTTATAATTTTAATCTAAATTTACTGAAGTAATTCTATCGTGTAATTATCGCGTAGTGTTTTAATTGAGTTTATATTTTAATATACATAATTAATGTTACTCCAAAGTATATTTACTCTACTAATCAATTGAATACTAAATAATCAGTTATTTTTTAAAAATATAGATTTTGACAACTGGTTGTTATTTGATTGCTGAAAATCAAAATATATTATTGGACATAATATTTGCATATATTAGGCTATATTTGATACGCATTTAAATATATTATAAATTAATTTAAAAATAAATTTAAAATATTATATCAAGAAATAGTGCAAATGGAATGGTTAATTAAAAAATGTAAATCGTTAGAGAAGAGCAGCAAGTTATCCGAGTACAGGCTAGAGTGTAAGTGTGTGTAATCGCAGATGAAACGGGAGAACTTTAGAAGTTTAAAAGCGATCGATTCCGCGACCGTTAGTATTTTATAAGGTTGTAAACCTTCGAAGCATTTAAATCGTAAAAAAGGTAGTGTAGATCAAGGAAAGCAATACATATCTTTGACTTTCTAAAATATATTAACTACCAATTTCGATGTCAGGTACACTCGTTTTAACGAAAGTTTACAATACATGAAATCGGGTGGATAGATTTATTCTCGTTTCAGCTAGAAGTTTTTATGTAGTGAAAGTAGGAGTTCTCTTTGAGCTTTTTCAGCATTTATCGAACTCGACAGTTGCCTATTAATGAAAAAATCTTGCAATAAATGCGCATCTGCTACATATTAAATTATTTAAATAATATATTGCTTAAATTAGTTTATTCGTCTTCACGAGTTTTTGACACTTTTGTAAACAGTTACTGTAGATCACACACTCCCTTTCTTTCATATAATAATATATGAATATTATAATATATAATATATAATTATATATAATATATAATATATAATATATAATATATATATATATATATATATATATAAATAATAATATATAATATATAACATATAATAATATATTTCATATAATTTGATTATTATTTAATATTGTGTTGTAATTATTGTGCATTATACATATTTTAGTCACATTAATCAATAATGAGTTTATCATTCGAAGATGAATGAATTTTTATTTCAGTATCGAATGTGCTTTTCTGTTTCAGCAAGTACAAATCTCGTCGGTAAATTTACACAGAGCGTTCGAAGAATTGTTCAGGACGTCAAAGATGAAGGAACCGCAAGTAAGAACAATTTTTCCTTTCATATATTTTCTGCTTTTATAAAATAATATAATTACTAAAAAAATATAAAATTATTTTATTTTATTTTTCAATACTGCACTTGCAATTCCTTTGTATTAATAAATGTTTGGCAATCGTGTCATCGCTTCGACGTACTCAGAAGTTTATATAATAATTTGAAAATTATTGTTTACTAGAAGAAACTATGTTAATAAATTTTTTATTAGTACATTCGGTAAGATTAAATTTAATAATCACGATTTACTAATCTGACAGATGTGTAGAAGCTCTAAAATATCACACAATTTATCATGGAAATTTACTTCAAATAAAGTATAAAGATGCATAAAATCATTTCGTCATTGTATAATAAACATTATAATAATGCATTATATAAGATTATAAATTTGCATTTCGTTAATTTTTTCGATTATATTGTAACAAACGATGTTTTCGTTGTTACCCAAGTTTCTATGACAAAGGAATATTATACTCGTATAAAATCTTTTTGCTGTCTTTTCATGCTCTACTTTCGAATTAAAAAATTAATTTTTTATAATCTATCATATATAGTTTTATTCTTCAGCATTTAAAAATTATAACAAAATTCAATTCGATAAATATATAAATTAGATATTTTTGAAACAAAGTAATCAAAGAAACATCGAGTATGAGTAAGCCAATAGCAAACTTGAACGTTTTTTCTGAAAGAAGGCAATTAACTATTGTTGTTAATAGAAAAATAATTATTAGTAGAATTTTAGAACGCTTATTAGTAGAATAATTGAAAAAGCCACGTAATTACCTCATCGAAAATTATCGTTTTCGAAGTGTTACCAATAATTTGAGATAAAAGTCATGAAAAAGTTACCAGATAAATTTTAACTATTAATTAATAAACATAATAAAATTGTCTCCATTTCCATTCACATGATTATCGAGAATACAATAACAAGTGTCTATTTATCAACTGCAAATCAATTGTTCCATTATAGAGATGAACTAAGTAATTTGATAGATATAAATTATAAAAAAAATGAAGATGAATTTATGATTTCTTCAGGTAAGTGGATGGTGCAAAGTATGCAGAGGCTAATACGTAATTTCTGAGTATTATCGAGCAGTTCTGAGTACTATCGAGCTTAATTACTAAAATCATCTGAAGCCGAGGATGAGAATGAAATTGCATTATAGCTAATGAGTAACTTTACATGTCAAAGGTGGACAAACGAAGGAAGAGGTGATTGAGACGAACGAGAGATTGAGGGCTGTGAGGATTCGCTTGGACGGCAGTTATGAAACGGCCAAACGCGCTCTTGTTGAGCTTATGTGCAAATATGCTGATAGCAAGCAAGTGCGTAACGTTTTCGAACGCTACGATCATCTCAAACTTATGATTAAGGTAATGCTTTTCAATATTTGTATTCTCACGGTTCTTTATCCTTCTATATATCATCTATATATCTCCTACATATCATCTACATCTATATATCTCCTTTATAATTATCTTGTTCTAGGAATTTTCCCTATGCTGTTCACTATTTTGATTCTTTGATATTTCAGACAGTTTCGAATTAAAGTAATTCTCTATAGTTAATGCACTGTATAAAAAAATCTTATAAACTTTTTCTTAGCAAGTGAATAATTCGCCAATGATGGCTTGGATACGTAGTTAAAATATTTCGAAAATATTTATCTCCGAAAATATACTGAATTAATGCTTGAGAAGTCCGGACTTTAAAAATTTGTTTCTTTTATTGAAGATTATACCATCTATGCTTTGCAAACGTAAATTAACTTTCGATATTTAACTATATATTTAACTATATAAGAAAAAAATTAACAGTATATAAGACGATTTTTTTCAAAAGAAAGATTTTTATTAATATATGCTTGATTAAATATGAATATTCGTCAATTAATGTTCATATTAAGTATAGAAGTTAAGATGACGTATTATTACATATTATTGACAGTCATCCAATCTATAATAATTGAGTGTGGTGTTCTTTCTTAATTTTCGACCTTCTTTCTTAAGGAAGGAAGGTCAAAGGTAAAGAACTGGGATTAGGATATAGCTTTAAAATCCTACTGATCTAAAAGAATTTGTGGATAATGCAGGACGTAATAAAACTTGAGACTCAGTATTGGACCCTGGTGGACATTCCGCGGCAGGAAAAACAAGAAACAGTACCAGTGTTTGTGTTGCGTGCCTGCGCCATCATGGAGAAATGCCATAAAAGCGGTGAGAATGTTAAAACCTCAACGAGGCTTGCCGAGGAGGCTGACAGCAAGCGCGACCGTATTGAGCGCCTTGAGAGTACGTAAGCTTTTTTTTTCTTAAAATGTTATTTTGCACCCTTTGTCCATGACTTTAAGGTTAAGTTTCTTTGCCACTGGTATATATTCAGAATTTATTTTCCCTTTATTCTTACTATCCTCTTCCTCTATCTCTTCCTATATTCTTGTGCTTTCCCGTACGCGAACCGATTAAATTTACCAAAAATATGTATATACTCCAGTGGCTAGTGTTAACTGAATAACTTCATAAATAAGGGAAAGTTGCTTCTTAAACAGCCTTTCAATGCTCAATTAATTTATCGAGCTTTGAAAAGTTTTATTATGCAAATAATTTATGTATTTCGCTTGAAACCTTTTACTTACTATTTCTTTTCTTTTATGTAAATTAAGTAAAAGAGTGTGTAAAGCATCACTGCTAGTATTATTTATTGATATATGATAAATAATCATTATTTTAGAATGTTTAATAGATTATAATGCCTCAATAACAAAGTATTAAAATGTCCTCCAATTTCCTTTAATAATTAGCCTTGAATATTGTAAATAATTATTAGAACAAGTCTTATAGAACTTATTAGAATAAGTCCTGATAAAGTCAATAGTACAATAAATAGAGAAAATTTGAATTTTATTTGTGCAATACTTACTAATAAACTATTTCATAATCATTCTTATTTATAATGCAAACTGTTTTTATTTATTTATAATTATATTAAATTTATTATAATAATTATCGTTGGAACAATTTATATGCAAGTATTACATTGTTTAATAATTTTAATATTAATTAATTTAAAAAAAAAATATTTACCTACAATAATTGAAAAATAATTGAAAAAATTTATTAAAGTAAAATACAACTGAGCATAATCTTATATATATATATATATATATATATATATATACATCAATAAGAAATAAATGATTATTAAAATATATACATATATTAAGGCATTAATTTTTTCAAGTTAATTGATAAATTTATTTCCAAAATATGTTATTTGAACAGAAGATAAACAGTATTTGAAGACAAGGAATTAATATTTTTACTATTTTATAAATATAATGTATATTTACAAGATACATTAATATACCTCTAATATATATATTTTTAAATAATAATAAATTTTCTCTATACTATCTACTAATCTATTAATAATATATACGATAACAACTAAGTAATATTTAGTACTACTATTTATAAATTTGTTTTATAATTTTTGGTTTATTGAATTGATATATTTATACAAATTTACAGTATAAATGTACAGCTAGTAATTATTATGTCAAAGGAATAATTGAAGTTAGGAATAATTTTATTTCTTACAATTTTACAATTAAAGCCGATAATTATATCGGTTGAATTCTACAATTAATAATTTTCTTCGCAAGAGATAATAAAAACGATTTCTACGCTCTTCTTATGAGTCTTGAGTAAATCTGTAAATTTATTGAAGCAATATCCATAAGTTACATTATTAGCTTAATTTTACAGCTCGTTTCGTTATGAGGAAGTTTAAATCGTCATTCCTACAGTTATTTCGCTTGCTCCCGTTCTGCTCTCAGGGTGTAAGGCTGTTTTAAATTCAACTGGTAAACTTTTGGATAAGAAGAGAAAAAATTTCAAGGGTAATACTCGAAACAGCCGGAGAACGAGCTGTTGCTGTAAAAGGAGCACTCGGCTTCCTGAGAACACACGGAAGAAAGCAAACCCGCTTATCCATTTGGAAAGCATCCAACTGTACGAGTAATATTCGTGATATTCTGTGAATTGATCTTCATATACGCTGTTTCTTTTTAAAAAATCGCACAAACTTTACAATAGCTTTATTTGTATCCCTTCTTAAATATTTATTTTTCATGTATGCACTTAATCATCCAGATATTTTTTACTTATATGCTATTTGAAAGATAGAAAGCTCATACTATTTAAATTATTTTTTTAATGATATTAAAGTAGCATGCCCACAATATTATTTAGATTTTTTAATTTAATATGGATAAGAAAATATTGTAAAATTAAAAATATTATTATTAATTGAATAACTTTTACAAAGTCTTTCTTCTTAAAAACAGCATTTATATGCAGGGCTAATTATATAGGATGATATTTTTATTCCTTCTATTTATAACTGTTTTTTTTTAATTTTTCATTGAATTTTACTAATAATTCACAAATAAAAAGCAAAACAATAAATATAGCAGAACAATAAATAAAATTATCTCTAAAATTTTCTCTACAATACCAGACTAAAAATGTGAGTAAAGAATTTCTTTTTTTTGCACATATTTTCTTAAGTTTTCGATCACTTTCATCATTGTGTCTTTTCTTCTTGCATTTACTGAAAAATGTATGAATCAGATGAGACAACATTTTTTACTGCAACGAGGGCACAATTATCTCGATTTTTTTATTTCTATCGAATTTATATTGTTGGAGAATTCAAATATTTGCTGAAACTTACCGTGCTTTTACAGTATACTTATCAAGTTAGTTTTAGTTGAAAAAGTAGAATACCACTTAAAAAAGCAAAAATATTCTGAGTCATAATTTTTGCTACACTGCTTTATTTATTTTAGAGCAAATATTGAAATAAAGTATGTATAAAATATGATAGATAGATTAGGATTTCATTGTGGTTGTATGCAACTAATATTTTGATAAATCTCTTTCATTCAGAGTTGATGTAATAGTTAAGAATAACTTGTAGCCTTCGTATCATGTTGAATTTAACACTCTGGAAACATAAAATTTGCATTAAATGATTTGTGTGTTTAAGATATGACAACAGCCCAGATTGAGACAGAGAATACACAAATGACCAATGATTTATACAGATTATTGAAGAAATACACTGGACTGAGAAACCTTATTCGAGATCTCAAGGTGAATCTATTATTGTATTATTTTCACAAGCACCAATTATTATTATTATTTAAAAAAAAACGAGAACTGCACGTAAAGCCACATTTATACGATATTATGAAAAGTAGCAGATAGTAACAAGTGGTTGTAAGCTTTACATTATTATCAGCGAAAAGTGTCGATGAAACACAGTCACAGGCCATAAATATTTATGAATAATCACTACAATATACAAACATTCGAGAGGAAAAGGTATAATGTTAACTAGATAATACTATGTAAATGATGTTTTAGGAGGAGTATAATAGTTCTAAGGTTTACCCGATAATACCCCGCTACTCAATGCTAAAGGACATGATAAAGGATATAATGCACAATCCAGACTACATGGAAGTTTGTCATGAAGTTGATGTATAATGAACAGAGTACCTCCGTTCGACTTGCATGAAATCTACATTCTCCAATTAACGCATGTTATGGCGTCGGATTACGATTTTATTGTACTCATGTCTTAGTAACATATCGAAATGTTGTTTATGTTTTTTTTTTAATTTCATGAATTTGCAAATTTTATAACTATTACTTACATAAATGCGTCAAGAATTATAGGTCCACATTTCGTATTCTCTATTTCTTATTAATTATTCTTATTTAATTAGTCGCAATCCTGCATACAACGTTAATGGGTACAAATATAGAGTTATTTTATATTGATGAATTTTTAACAGTTTGTACATTTTCTAATTTAATATTAAAATAACTGTTGTTTTACATCACAATTTATAATATGAAAATTCAGATGCCAATAATCAAATAATTAAACGAGTATTTAGAATTATAATGTAATATAAGTAAGTTAAATTTCTCGGTCGGAATTCTGATTTCGATTATAATAGCCGCTTTCACGTCAAAACACAAAACGTAATTTAAATTATCGAGTTTTCGATTATATTGTAAAATAATATTGTTAGACTGGGAAATTATTATTTAATAAATTTCTCTAAGCATGTGTAATAATGTATTCGCTTAAGCAAAAACTGGGCAATTTATAATATATTCGTAATTTAAACAATTATAGCATTATTAAAATAAAAATCTAATTGAGTATTTTATTTTTTCAACTAAATATTCTATTTACATCTATAATTTTTATGGAGTGCATCGTGATATTAAAAAAATTAAAAAAATCAATTATTAATACAGCAGAATTTTAATCGAAAAAATATGAAATTGTTGTTCGATATTTGTCAAAAAGAAATATAATAAGATTGTTTTTTATGATAAATACTAAAAAATTTTCCCCACTTTCGGTATATTTTTATATTCGTTGATATTTTAAAATTGTTGTTATATAATTTGGGATAACAGTCATCAAATAAATAATAAAAAACTGTTTATATGTATTATATGAAAAAATTTCCATATTAATAATTTAATACCAAGAAAATCTTTTACAAGCTCTTTCCAAATTTAGTCTCTTCAATTTTTTCCTTTTCTTGTCTAAATTATATTTACCAAAGCAAGTACATATAAGTTCCTACTATAAAATAATGATATAAAATTGTAAAAATACGAGTCTCTTGTTTAAATCGTAATTTTAAATCAATTTCGTATGCTAATTATATTATAAAGGAAATTTCGTATACATTATAAAGGAAAATTAGTCCAATATAATTAGAAATTAAGACGTTTTTACTTCATTTGTACAAAATGTGTTTTACTGTGAATGATATTATATTAAAATTAATTTTTTATTATAATTAAAAAAAATTTTTTAACGATTATGTACAAATCTTACACAATCAATAATTATCTTTTCGGATTCTAACGTAATTATTGATATAGGTAGATATATATTATTATATGAAGAATGTCGCTTTAATGTATTAGGAATCATCTGATTCTAATAAATAATATTATAATAATTCATATTTTAATAATATTAATTAATATTTCAATATTAAATTCAAATTTCAATTTGAATACTATTTTATACCTTTATCAAAGTATTTAAAGAATAGAAATATTCTTAAAGGCCACAAATATAAATTAAAAAAACATAATTAGAATATTAGGTCGGCAAAATTTTATGAATAAAAATTATAAAATACATAATTAAGAAACATCTAATGATGATCATTGAAATGATCAATATGTGCCGTTTAATTATGAAGTGTAAAAATTATATCGATGTTGAGCATCGTTTAACACTTTTCATATATATTTATATATTTATAATTTAATTGATATATATAATAAGCATATCAAAAATCTTATATCAATCTTTAATAAAGTACGTAATTCGTATTATACCTATAAATGATAAAAAGATCAGAGTAGATCAGAGTAACAAGAAAATATAAAAGAAAATACATTTTGAATATTATAATAGTAGCAGTGCTTCAAGTCCCGGATAATATTTCACAAGTGTATTAATATTATAAACCAAAGCGCAATTTCATTTTTACTGCAAAGTAAAACAAGCAATAATAACAATTTTATTACTTTATTAGTGTTCTAATAATTTTGATTAATCTTTATTGATTTTGGACTAATTTATTAATTACTTATAAATTAAAAATTTATTGAAAAATACTTGTGTTGTATATTAATTATAGATGAAGTGAAATCAACATATTTTATTTAACAGATCAAAATAACGTTCAACTTTTATTTCTATTAAAACAAGTGCTTGTATAAAATAATTATTAATAATATTATTTTCTTTAGAATGAGTTATATTTCAATTAAATTTATTTGTTATATTTATTTCGTTTAAGTTAAATATTAGTGTTAATTTTCAATAAAATTTTAATTTTTGCGCAAAGCCTTTTAAATGACTGCATTCAAATGTTCGTATGTTTGCATTAATAAATCTATAAAAGTGTGTATAAAATAAATTTGCGAGCACCGTGAGAAAAATTTATAAAGGCGAATTATTTTTATGAAAAATATAAATATGTGTTAAATATAAAGTATGGAGTCTACTTGGAACATAAAAAAGGCTTTGAAATTAAGAAAAATAAAAATTGAACAGAACGAATAAACTTACTGCATCAGACGGATAAGTAATTAAAATATAACCTTATGTCGTTGCAGTTGTTCGTATACTTTTAAACATGACCAATTTAGATGAAAAATCGAGAGGAAATGAAAATTTATAGATGTTACAGGGCATCTTCGTAATTAAGTATTCAGTGATTTTTTGTGTCTTATATCTGTAAATTTTTTGATTTTCCAATTGTAAAAAATGAAACAGTTAATTTGTAATTTGTTTAGCGTAAGTTTAATTCATTTCTTCTATGAAGTGTAATTGACATAATGTGTAATTGCGATTTTAAATTCAAAACTTTATGTTCGTGATATATATAATTAGCTAATAAATTTATTAACATGAATATGGTATATTTACAATCGTAAAATAAATAATTGTTTCTTTATGTAAGTATATGTAACTATAATGTTTTATGATAGATTCCATAAATTTCAATATTAACTATGCTTTTGACGTATATTACATTTACATTTTTTGTTTTAAATAAGAAAAACGATTTCAATCCACTTTTCCTAATTAAAAAATAAATGTGAAGTTATGAAGTTAATATAATAAATGTACCATTTATACGAATAATATAATTATGCAGAAGATTATATTATATAAGAATATATAAAAGATCTATTGTAATGGCTAATTACTCGATGCAATGACTTTGAATTGAAAAAATAGCCAGCGTACTCACCTTTTCAATAAAACTAGGAGAGTACCAATTAGATTTGAAAGTTTATATTAAAAAGGGTAAAATGTACTAAAAGAGCATGCAAATATAGAAAAGCATACTAGCATAAACTAAGAATTATATATTTATAGAACTTTTAACAATTATTTATATAAGTATAAAACATTTGACTTTTTATGTCTGTATACAGTAATATGTACAAATGGTTGCATAATAATAAATGAAATAAGGGAGATAAACGTGATTTATATTTAATCAAAAGCATTCTATTCTCTATAAATATAGGTAAACGTGAAAAATTAATTTATTATATTTGAAATGTCGTCTTTACAATTTATTCACGTGTTATGAATTAAGTAATTGATATTTTGAATAAATAATAGTCGAAATACATTTTAAATGTAACAAAGTATAATTATATTGATCGCTCGATTTTCGGAAAGTACTTACTTGCGTATTTCATTTGGTAATAAGGCGCTCATAATTATACACACGGAAATTAAGTAAAATTGATCAATACAGACAAACAATTTAATTGTGAATAACTACTGAATATGAAAGAAAACAATAACTAAACAATAAATCAATAATAGCTTTTTCTTATCAATAAAGGTTGGTTAAAGAAATATTTCACATATAATTTATCCGGTTTTCTTTAACTAATATGTAAAACTAATTGTCATTCAGTAGTATGGTTAAATTTAATTGTTTAAAAAAGTTTATTTTAATTTTATATCTTAGTTTATGCTGAATTTCTTCAGGTGTTCAAATAACTTTTTATATATAACAAATCAAATTTTTTACTAATATTTGCGATATATATATAACATCAATGTGAATTTTTTCGCAGTTAAAGTTAAAGAAAATTGCGAGCTTAAATACAAATTTATAGATTAAATTAGATATATGTTGTGTCTAACGTTAATAAGATTTGACCAATCTATTTGTCTAATATTAAATGTACTAATTCTTATATTAACATATTAATGCGTAACTTGTTACTCTTTATTTGATATCGTACTTCGCAATTTATTGAATATTTACAGAAATAAATATATCTCAAAATATTATTCTTTAAATCATTGATGTACAATATTTATTTCATGATGATTATTTGCAATAAATGATTTAATGGAAAATAAGAAAAAGAATACAATTCATTAAATCGTCTTTTTCATCTTATTAATTTTAACATTCACATTTAGGATATTGTACATCATTGGAAAGTATATTGTCTTGAGTATTTTAAAAATTTCAATACGTTCATGAATTAAACGAAAGCAATTATAAATATTACAATAAGATTTTGATTTAAACATCAAAATTTTATGCCATTTCACTTTATCTTTCTAATAAATATAATAAATCGATAGACTCCTAAGATTACAGCAATAGACAGAAAATAACATTTTATTTAAAAAAATATTTCTCAAACAAGAAAAAAAACCTCAAAAATTGTTACTTAATTATAACAAACTAATTTTAGCAAATTTCAAGTAAATTTATTATATTAATAAATTTTTCACGCATAAATAATTGCAATTTATTTTTTATTTAATTTTTATAAAATAAAATGTTTTCAATTTTAAGTAAGAAATTTTACTTTCTAATTGTAATTAAGAAATAATCAAATGTACAAAATTGTTTTAAGTAATTAAAATAAGCTTTAAGTAAATTGATTTACATATTTACAAAATATATTTCATTATAATAGATGTGATTAATTTGTATCATTTTTGTAAATAAATGACCTATTTAAATTGTGACATGCAATTACAAATTTTTTGAAAAATAAATTTAATCTAAACTTCGCACAGAAAATCAAATATTTATGAAAATGATTTTTTTAATTGAAATAACTTTATTCAGCATAACTTATTTCTTTTTTATAAATTCGATACTCATATTTTTATATTATTAAAATATTATATGTAAATATAAATTATATTAAAGATTATTTAATATAATATATTATATTTTATTAAAATTTTTCCGTAATGGATTTGTTAATATAAAAATTAACATAATGTTACTGTTACTTGTACTACTACTACTACTAGTGCTACTTTTAGTCCTACTACTATTACTACTACTTTTAATACTACTCCTGCTATGCCAATAACTACTCATACTACTAATTTAATACTACTATTAATAATAAACCTATTTTCCTGAATTTCTGTTATTATGTATAATCTTCAATAATTTGTATAGATCTCAAGTGTTTTCATTTGTATATAATTTCTTCTGCTTTCGTTAAATGATTCATTAAATAGCAACATAAAAATAGTTATATTCGTATTTATAAAATAATTAATCTAACAATAACAGAATACTATTCGTAATTTTATTATTTGATTTTCTATAGCATAAAATCAATGTTTTTTCCGGAACATATCCTGTGGAAATGTCAATATGTTTGACATGCACTATATTTTCAAATATATATGCACAATGCATACATTTAAATCATTTATTTTTCTATCAAGTTGTAATTTTTATTGTGTAGTTTAAACATTATCGATTGAAAAATTAAACTTATTTTACAAACAACAGGAGTGTTGTTAATTAATAAATTGAAATTAATTGAAGTTAATTAATGAATTTAAATTAATGACTTGAAGATTTATTGAATGATTCAAAACTTTTAATTTGTTATGTAATCCATTTTATTATTAAGTTTATTTCCATCAAAATTAGTAACTTTTATGATATACTTTATAAAATTTCAAAACTTTCGTAGTGTGCTAAACAACGTTAAGAATTTCGTTATTTTTTACAAATTTTTATATGGATTTATATAAAACCATTTAAGGGCTAGTTTAAAGTTAGAGGGTGTTTTTAAAGAAATTTATAGTATTGATTAGATTCCAATATAAATGTTTAATTTATATTTAAACCAATTTAATTTTTTAATGAAAAATTTTATTTTTCTATGATTTAATGATGTATTTAATGATGTATTATAAATTTAATATTTTCACTATATAAAAATATAAAAGTTATTTTAATTTAAATTAACTTAATTATAAACATAACTTTAATAAGTATCATAAACAAAGATTTTGATATTTGTGTGAGAAGTTATTTGTATTGTAGAAAAGTAATTAAATCCCTAGTACACAATTCTTAATAGCCAATATCGTATCATATAGAAATAATCAATAAGTCGATACTGTCGATAATTTACATACTATTGATTAGTTAAGATATTTTTCTTCGATATTGTAATTAATATCTATTAAAAGAAATTAATCAATTGGCTTGTAAACTGTACTTAAATAAAAGAAATAATAAAGAATAATAAATCAAAGCATAATTGTTAAGCATTTTATAAATAAATAAATCAATTTGTGCATAATTATTTAAAATAAATATAGTCTTCATCCATACGTAGTTGCTGTTGAAATAAAGCAGAGTCGTTTATGCGATATATTACGCCATATGCATTATCATATATCTACTGGCTGAACATATATCTACTTGTATACGCGTGCGCGTGTGATCAATTTAGTCCAAGGCGCAACACATGCCGAAGCTTCTGACGTAATATATATATATATATATATATATATATATATGAAAAATAGTTATATCTTTTTTATTTAACTTTTATTGTATTTATAATTTATTGTTGTCCTATAGCAAACTTGCATTTCAATTTATATAGCACGATATAATTATAAAAATCTTTTCTCGCTTCTTATTTACTGTTATTTTCAGAAAAGTAATTAAGATTAATTTTAAATCATTCGTATATCTTGACCAAATTCTTTCATTAATATTATTTATTGTTATATTTGCTATTGTAAAAGGATTGAATTTAATTAACATATTTAAGAGTATGACGTTTCTTTTTCCATTTTATTTTTACTAAACTTTTAAATAAAGCGTTCTTCGACATCGCATATCTTTAATAAAATTGAAGTTATTGTAATAACAATGAATATTAGCTGTGAAACAATTATAACATTTTATTACATTTTTGTTGGAAAGTAAATATGATAATCGAATAATTTAAAATTGAAAATTTATGACCCTACATATTAAATATTTTAACAATATTAACAAATATATTTATTTAAAAAAATCATTAATAATCATACAAAAACAGTATGAGTTCATATATTAACCTTTATTCTTCCCAGTCTTATAAACGTTCATTGTAGAATCATTTTTTAAAGATTTAAAAAAAAGTATTTTAAATTTTTTATGGCTTTTTTTAAAAAACTAATATTTTTATCATAAATGTTTAAGAAGAAAATTTTAATTATTAAAGCGATCAAGACAGTTTGAAGTTCAATATGAAATCTTAGTTTGTGTTAGAATATTCCATTGTCACGAAAATAAACTACACCTGTATTTATCAATCGGTAACTATGTACTCTGCATTTATTTTGTCTTTACTGTTGTCGCTGTACTGTACGAGTAAGTATAATAAAAATATTTTCTATTATATAGATAATATTAAAAGAAAATTTTATTCCTGAATTAGAATTATCAATATATTTATTTGAACAATATTGTTAAATATTAAGATTCTTTATAATTTTTACTTATAAAATATGTGTATGAATTAATTAGGTGGAAAAGTGTACAATATAACCTCAATATTAAAAGAGACACATCGTGTTTACAGAAACCTAATTATTTACGAGATGAATTATGACGACATACCACGACGAAGTAGAAATTGAGGATTTTGAATTTGATGAAGATGATGAGATTTACTATTATCCCTGTCCATGCGGCGATCAGTTTCAAATTACAAAAGATGATTTACTGCTTGGTGTTGAAGAAGCTACTTGCCCTTCTTGTTCTTTAGTTATTAAAATTATTTACGACAAAGATAACTTTATTTCGAAATTTGAAGAAATACTTCAAATTACGAAGAAAGAATTGGTTGAGCAAATTTAGAAAGGTTATTTAAATTTCTTAATGCTATTTGGTAGGTTTAATTTGATGATTTACATATTAAGAAATAATATTTTATAGATATAATTATATTAAATTTATTAATATTTTAGCTAATTCAATGCTCACGGTTTGGCTTATATTACCAATGATAAATGAATAGCTAAAAATGATAGCTTAATAGTGTTTTACCAATATATGATTTTAAATGTTGAATAGTGATAACAGATTAAATAAATTTTTAATATGGCTAGTCGAGGTAGAGGAAAAGGTAAGCCATTAATATCACTAGGTGGTGATCAAGGAAACTTTGGAAAAACTGAAGTTGCACCACCTATATTACAGCCACCACCAAGTTATTTACCTTTAGAATATAAACCTCTTCCAACAACTATTTCTAATGAATTGAGGTACTTGTTACAATTAAAAAAGGATTTTGCAGAATATATGCATGAATCTCCAAATAATGTTTTACCAATTGTAATAAAAAAGGATATTGAAAGATATTCTGACCGATATCAGGATTTATTATCTATGAAGCAGCAGTACGAATCAAGATATGATTGGACTAGAATGCCAATAGAATTAAAACGTAAGCCAAAAAAAAGAAAAGGTTTTAAACAAAAAGAGCTTGTAAAGAAAAAGATAAGAGACATTGATATTGAATCAAAGCTACAAGAACTTGAGAAAAAAGAAACAATACATCATAGTGATGCAGAAGAAGATGAAAAAGATGATGATGAGTTGGATGAAAAGGATGTAGAAGATAAAATAGACAACGAAGAAGAGGAAGTTGATGAAGAAATGGATGAAGGTACAGATTATGTCAATAATTATTTTGATAATGGAGAAAATTATGAAGATGACGAGGAAAATCTTGACGATGGAGCAATATTCTAACATAAATTTGTTTTTATCTATTGTTTAGGGATTTTATAATTATAGATTATGATTAAATAATAATTATGCTATTTTTTAATCATATATAGTTAATATTGGGAGATAAATGCTATAATTTATAGATAAAATAAATGGAAAAATTAAAAATAAAGTTGTTTGATAGCAAGGCCGATTCATTGAAAGCATCAGCATTTTTTATTACGAGTATTTCAGTTTCTATTAATATATATATATGTAAATATATATGTATATAATATATGCAGCCATAATCTTTAATAATATAATAAATTATTGTTTGCCATAATGCATTAAAGAGTATAAACAAAGATTGACAAATAGTTAATGAATAATAGGGAGCTTCTTTATGCACCTCTAATATAATTTTTTTCTGCATAGTTTTTCTAAAGTTATGACTATCTATTACATTTACTTTTACCGAGTCAGTGGTCTCTCAAATTTTTGAGTAAAAACACTTACGCAAATTTCCAATAAAGTCACTGTGATGAAAGTAAAATTATTGACTTAGGCATAATTTTACTGGCTCCAATAAATTGACAACAAAGTCATAATCAATAATTATGCGACGTTGAATTTTTTCTATATTTCGGTTCAAAAACTGCTAATATATTTATTTAATCGCAATAATAAGTTACAATTTAAGAATTGGATTTTGAAACTACATACAGCACTTAGATTGTTTCTTTCATGTCGGAAGACGGAAGCGTTTTCTCTACGAGGTTCAAACTAGCGTAAAAAATAATGATTCGCAAACGTGTATCACCCATTCACTATACGTTATCACAATAACGAGTATCGACGTTTCGATATACAAAAAATACACATGTGCACGCGTTATTTAGAAAAATCGGAATGTAAATTACCCAAGGCGTCAGTGCTGTACCCTGTATGTAAAAACGTCCCAACTCGTTTTCTATTTTGCTCTTGCGCACTTATTCGAATTCACATTCTTTTCACCTTTCTCAATTTCACTACAAATAAACTGAAAAAAGGTGTCAATGGGTGACGTTTCATTGTATTTAATCAATCAAATGGTGCTTACTTAGTAGTTCCTACATTCTAAGCCCAATTGATGTTTGAATAATTCCACCATTTATCTTTTCTAACGTTTGCATACGTTTTGGTAAAAATTAGACGTATATGCTGAATATTATTAAATATCTAAATTACGCATTTCAACACAAAAATAATACAAAACTGCTGTACAAAAGTTTTCATTGAATGTTGATTTGTAAATGAAAACATTCAATATTTGCACAAATTAAGTATGATAATGATATTGTGGCAAGTATTTTTGTCAGAACATAATACCATATAACAATATTTATTTAAACGGTATATAAGAAAATTATTTTTCTTATATTTTTCTTATATTGAAAATTATTTTCATAATACAATATTATATATACTATAAGAACTATAACTTTTAATGTACTATTAGTTTTTTTATAATAAGAATGTTATTCATTTTATCATTTATAAAACTAATCTTTAAACGTGCTGATTTTAAATTATATTAACATTAATTTATACCTTAATTAATTATTAATATAACATGTAAAATATTAAGGAAATGATTAAAAATTTATATAACAGTTTTTACCTTTTGAATTCGCAAATACCTGTGCTTTAAGTCATTTGTTTCTTCATATTACATAATGAATATTTGCACGTTTTTAAATATCTGATAAAATATTTGTAAAGGCTGCGTGTATTTTGGATTGATCATAATGTTTGCGTTTTCATATATTAGCAGAAAATAGATTGCCAAATCCTACATTCTTTAAGCGTAAAAGTTTTTTACAATAAATTCATAATTACTTTGGTAATGTACATGTAACAACTTGCCAACAGAAAATTTATATAAAACGTATTTGTAAGTTAATTTATAATTACTATTTTTAATATATCTATGTATGTCATTTTGTAAATACTTATAGAATTGAAAATTTTAGTTAAGTATTTCTAGAGAAAGGGCATGTAAATGAAAAAGGAAAAAATTAAATTGAAAACGTCACCCATCGTGCTTAAGTGTCGCTATATGTGAAAAAAGTAAGTTTACAGATATTTATGAATTGTGCTCAATTATGTACCTTGCGTAATTGTATATAATGATACTTTCATGGCCGCGATGATGATGTTAAAAACATCCTCTCGAACTGTATCACGTAATATTATGTATGTACAAAGGCTTTTAGTAACGAAACGTTCGTTGTTCCAACTAACCTATCCACTCATATTTTTTTATTCGTTTATTTTATGTATGTATTGTGTGAAGAACCAAACGCAAGTGTCCCAATGCCTTAACCCAGATTACGAGCAACGCGAACACACGACAAAAAAACGCTTCCGCTCACTCCGTTCATACATAATATATTTCAACTTTTATTATTTTTACTTTTTTCCTTTCTTCTTTGGGTCTATACATCTTTCTTATATATATGTCATTCATAATAGACAATTATAATACGATAATTTAATACGGTCTATTAATTTGCATGCAGACTAAGATGGGCAGATGATATCCCGAATAGTCTTTAATTTACTGTTTTTCCTTTCTTCATTTATTCTTTCATGAAGTTCTGATTATACATTGAACTATGTTGTCCTTTTATAAATGGCGATTTAACACTAAATTCTCATCGTATAAAACTGAGTCTTGCATTTTTACTTTTATTTTTTTCTTCTCTATTATATACGTCGCTTTCATATTATAGTATTTTTTGTTTTTAAGCTTTTATCTCCAGTTCCAAGCAGTACTATCATTATTGCAAAGTATTCAACGTATTTTTTGTTAATTGTTAACTGGATTATATTTTAATTTTAGAGTTTAATGTTATTCAATTACTATCCTGGCCTTGCACTCTTATTCTCCTTTTTATATTATTTATAAAATTAGAAATAATATTATGGACATGATTAATAATTTAGTTAGTCAATTCAAATGTAGTTTTAACTCTACATTAATTCATTACTTTTTTTTACAAGAGAAAGGTATAATTTATTTTATTTATCTATTTAATAAGATAATTATAAATAATTCTGGAAGGCCATAAACTGCAATGCCATAATGTAAAAAATAATAAATTATACTGGCTCTAGATTGATCTAGATTATCATGTAATTGTAAATGATTGAATGATAATGCTTTTATTCTTTGTAAAAAAGCTAAGTTTATATATCGTCGCGTTTGTAACAATGGGTGCGAACCGAAGACTTACAAAACTGGCTGTTTTAAGTTTGGACGGGTTATAGAAATATGCGAAGTAAGTTCATCAGAAAATGATTCAGAATGACGTTAAATTTACTATTCTATTTATAATCAGTTATACCTGAGTTTTGACTTTCTTGAATATGCTTAATATATATTTACTTTTTATAAGTATTTTTAATAATTCATTGTGACAGATTGAAGGATTTTTTATTCGTTAGTATGGATTGAAATTGTAGTTCACTAGGTATCTTATTAGACGAACCTTGTGAATTAAAGCTATTATTATTGAAACGAATATAGTATTTGAAATAATATAATATAAATATGAGCGTAGAATGTTTCTAAAATAAATAAGAGAATAAGAGCGCAAAAAGAATTTGTCACAATTGATTTTTTTAGGCCAATCTATTGTTGCTCGTTTGATTACATAATGAGCATATTTTTAATCAGGAGCTGATGTAAGTTCCTTTATAAAATTGAATTGTAATCATATTAATTACGATAATAGAATAATAATAGTGATGATGATACATATAATTTAATAACAATAACATCAACAGTAATAATGATATTAATAATAATAATAACAGCAACAACAATAATAATAACAATAACAATAACAATAATAATAAAATAATAAAATAATAATGATAAAATAATAATAATTATAATGATAATGATAGCAACAATCAGAGTTTAGTCATTTGTATGTTCTGTTGCTCACTTATTTATATTAGACTGATTTTTATTTGCCTTTTTACGCTATCATAGTGTGTTCGTAGTTGATAAAGTAGTAGCTTTTACTTGACAGTAAAAATAATGATAAGGTTAAAAAAAGCAAAGGTAACTGAAAGACTGAGTACGAGCGAGAAAGAGAGGGAGGGAGCAAGCGAGCGAGCGAGCGAGCGAGAGAAAGAGGCAGGCGATGATATAGTTCTTATTGCTCAGAGCCCTTTCCAGAGCCCCAGAATTTATCAAAGCGATTACGAGCTTTCTCCAGTAAATCACTCGCTAGTTGGTCCTGTGGTGGTTGTGGCGCAACTGCTGATGGTGTCATCGATGTCGTCATCTCCAACATATCTTTATTATTCTTCAATTCAAATTCAAACATTGGTTTATCCGGGCAACGCATCTCGTGAGCCAGCTGCAAACATTTTTTCACCAATATTATCATAGTGATGCGTAGATTTTACAATTGTGAAGTGGTCGTTACTCATATTTTTTCAACAAAACTATGTATTCAGTATTCATCCAATAATTATTTAGATACAAGTACTAGTAACTTGTACACCTCTTGATTCCAACTAATAATTTTTCGAAATTAATAGCAATAATCAATTATTTCTAATTACGAGTTAGAGTAATTTATTATTATAGCTGGCTTTGTTAATCATTTTAAAGATATAAGCAATCACCTCTCGAATTATGAATTAATTTCAAATTTATAAAAAAAAATCAAAATTTTAAATGAATATTTAACATATTTTGCAATTTAATATTGCATTTATTTATGTATTTATTGTATTTATTATTGTATTTAATATTATTGACGAAGAGAAGATAAAACTGTCACCTCATCCTTTATTATCGTTGTCAACGGGCTGTCTCGTTCTCCCAACGAGTCCTCTCCCTCTTTATGACCATTCGTTCCGCTGAAACTTCCCAGAGATATGCTCTCGCTTTCTGGAGACTTGTATCCTGAGTATTGCTGTTGCTGTTTGTGCTCTGTTAACTTTTGTTGCTGGCGGCTTACACCGACTAGCTCCGGTGGCGCAGAGTATGGTGCCGATGTCCCTATTATCCCGGTCCAGCTCCTTGCCTCGCTGTGCGCTCTTGTCGGTGGCTCTCCTGTTTGATTTTTCAATATTATAAGATTTATCGGCGAATAGTCTTTCAACTTGCAGGATTAATTAATTAATAACTCTCTTACAAAAGTGTTGTAATTAATTCAGTATTTGACACGTGTTTCGCTAAATGTGTAATGCTCCAAATAACTAGATACTTAAGAGAGCACAAGCAGCAAACTAACCTTCCCGGACGTTTTGTGTGACAGTGAAGGTCTTGCCAGTGTCGAGGGGCACGGTCCAGTTGACGGGTTCGGGCGAACGCATGATCATCTGCTCGGGAGATTTTACGCGCGTTGGCTCCGGTGGGCTCTTTACCACCGGTTCGTCGTTGAACCAAGTTTGCTGTTGAAGCTGGTGTGGATGCTGGCCGTTTAGCTGGGGCTCGGCAGTCACTGGAACGAGCGACTAGAGCTTACTCGCGAAGTGCGCTACGTTGCTTTCGGTCTTCACCCGCGAGGTCGGCGCTCGTCCTTGCTACAGCTGAACCTGCAAGCCCGAGCCTCGACCTCGCTGGTACTCGACCATATTACTAACGGCTTGTATAACGGTTAATGATTAATCATGACAAATACCGGGCTGGTTATGCATTAGTGATATTACGACAGTAAGTACTTTGGGCTAAGGGAACCTCATGCTCTGGCAGAGAGACACTTGCAACATCGGCTGTTGAAGGAGCTGAATCCAGTGCCGTACATCACGCGAGAGAACATGCGACATTTGCTCTAAACAACACTATACTCCTTAAATTCTCTCGTGTGACTCTTTTTAGCAGGAATCTCTTATTGCCTTGTGGTGCGTGTCGTATTTAAAGTATTGCAATTTAAAATACAAAGCTGGCTTTACCAAGCATTCTCAGAGCTAACATTCAAAAAGTATACTTTGAAGAAGTTTTCATTGGGCTGCCTTATTCCAATAGGGTGTAAATCGATTATAATTGCATAAATAATGGCTTAGACCAAATGTGTGCATATAATATCAGAAAGTATCGTGCGGAGAGGCCGATATGAATGTTTGACGTGGGAGAGGAAGTTGGAATTAAGCGAGAGTGTAACGATGACAATGCTTCGAGATGTTAATACAGTAGGTTGGTTGAGCGAGGAAAAGGATATGAGCTTCAGGAGCTCGTGCAGTGGTTGCATGCTACTTACTAGCTTGGCCGGCTTGGTTAGGCCTTAAGGGCGTGGGCGGTTTGGATGGGTGATGGTTGCCGCGAACTCGTTCCTGCTTGGCAGCATGATGAATCGAATGAAGCGAACCCGGGCCGGGAGCTCGATTCGCCGGCGTACCGCTGGCCAGCCGCGCGATTTGCGGTGCGTTATCTGAGCGTGACTGTGACTGTGACTGTGCCTTCGCGCTCGCGCTCGTTACATTCGTATTGTTCGTATTGTTCGCGTACGCAAATGCGCTGATGGACTTTGCATGATGAGCAGGGCGATGGGGAGGAGCATTGGTTGCGAGGAAGGCTAGAACATACGACGCACACACACCATTGTCAACGAGACTGTGTACTTCCTTGTTAACCTCCTCCTCTTTCTCTTCCTTTAATCGTTTCTTCTTAATTCCCCATTCTCATAAATACTCACTTAATTATTGTATTATTTCCCACTTATATCACTTCATGCATTTTCATTCGACGTCGTATTTTTAAACTTTCGAGAATGATGTTTTATAATCATGAAAGACCCGTTTTCTAAAAGTCTGCTTTGACAAGTTTGTTTTTATTTATGCTAGTGATATAATAGGTAGTTTATTAACAATACTAAACTAAATGTTCCACGTATCTCTTCTTTTTGTGATTCTATGTTGCATTAATTAATTGCATTAAAACTATCATTATTATCCACGCTTAAACAGACTACGAGTGTTTTTCAAACACTTTTGAAAAGGAACGTTAAATTTTTCTAAAATGTCAGAAAGAAATATTATAAAAGAATATTATTTATAGATTTCAATTCGTCTTTTAACGAGCCTCATTATTTAAATTTCCCATAGAAAATTGTACTAAAAACTACTTATTTTGGTCATTTAAAAGAAGGTTTTTAATGTTTGAGATAAAACTAATAAGCATTGAGTAGTCCTTTCTCTAGACAAATTTTTTCGACGATTCAAAATCTATTTAATACTGTAAGTAAATTCTTTAAATGAATAATTTTAAAATGTATTATAATTATTAAAATTACTAAAATAATATGTAACTTTCAAATTTCTAATAGTAATATAAGTATTTAAAGCCCAAGTGATAAATATACAAGAGCTACGTTATTATATCATTGTAATACAAGAGTCATATGGACCTTTTAAAGATAAATACTACGATGTAAATATGTACGATTAACTATCATATTTCCTCTAATTATCATTTACTTTAAATGTATTTAAGAACTCAATAAGCCAATCGATAACATTGTTAATATTAATGATGATATTACACGAGATTTAAAAAATAATCGGTGCAATAATGAAGCTAGCTATCGTGCATGGAATTGATTGAAAGTCGATCTGAATTAAATTTCTTTTATTTAATAGACATGAATTAAGAAATATTATCGATTTCTATATTCTTGAACTACGTAGTCAAAGTAAAATTCAAACTTTTAATGGGAGTTCGTTGAATTATATAATTATACAACTCATAACACTAGTGTATACTTTTATGTCTTCTTTGATAGAATTGTTTTAACAATTATTTTATATCTGAGGCGATTTCAAGTTGATAGAAAATGAGGTGTATCAATTTAATATTATAGATACAAATCAATATTTAATTTGAAGAAATATATTTTGATACTGGTGTAAGATGTTGCTGAAGTTTCAAATAACTAAAAGAGTATATCGAAAGTGTTGAAGCACAAATTGATTATATTACTTGGACGTGAAAGCAGCACTGGCTGCCGTTTTTAATGAAAGTAATAATAGGGATATTGGGAGACATACGTTTCGATGAAACCATCGTTTTTGGTTGTTGTCGAAGCCTATACGTCGATTCGCTTCTCGATCTCACATGGAAGTCGGCATCCTTTTTCTTCCAACGCGAAACTGCGCCTGCGGATCCTTTTTTTTAACTTCATACTCACTTTCGTTCAATGTATTGGAGTTATATTTCTTTTACAAAGAGAATCTTATTTCAAGGATAAATTTCTTTTTAGTAATCTACCCTCGAAAAGTATTTTTAAGTTTTAATTAAAATTTTTTTTTTTTTAATTTTTATTAAATTTTTGTTGTTTTTATGTTAAATTGAACTTCATATTTAAAACTTTATTTTAGCTCTTAATCTTTATGTATAGATACAATAATAAAGTATAATTTTAATCGACACACACCCATACCTCTAGTAATTGTTAATACTTTGTAAAGTGTTAAAACTAGTGATTAACAATATTAATGAATAATAATCTTGAATAGTCTGATTTGATACGATTAATTCGAAATATTTATTAAATTATATATACGTATAAATTACATCAAGATTTTACTCTTATTATTAATAAATTTTATGATAATTATTCTTTACAAAATTAATAACTATTAATATAGGTAAAAAATCTATGAATTTAACAATATTTTATTACTACTACTTCATAATTCAATAGCCAGTTTTATATTACTCAAAATACTTTCTAAAGCATTCTGAAAAAGGAATTTTTAGAGTTATATAATCTACTCCATTTGTATTGCAAATTATAAAATTTGTTTAATTTACCTTGTAACTTTTATAATTCACTTAATTTAGGTTTTTTTTGTATTCGAACGAGCGTAATTGTTTAATATTAAAATTTAATACCGATTATTTTTATAATAAGAAATTAATTTATGGAATAAAACTTAAATATTTCTTTTTAGATTAATATTTGTTAAAAACTTTTAATTTAGTTACATTTTTACCGTGATAGAGAGAAGAAATGATAAGCAATTGATGAATAAAGTATCAATTTAGCAAATTCGAAATTCAAGAAGCAAACTATAATTTCTTATTAATATACGCAGACAAAGCTTGTGATTGAAGTATAATATATTATAGTATATTTTACAACAAAGTTATAATTAAAGATATATAGAGTTACTGCATTTTGCACATTCTCTGCTCTATTGCTTAATCTACGATCGCAAAACATTATAAACTAAAAAAGTAAAAAAGTCAGGATTCTAAAAAGATAGAGACATATAGAAATATCTAAATAGTAGTTACAATACAAATAAAATAAATATGTTGGAGTTTTCATGCATTGTCTTAATTAAACAGTGATACTTTTAACGACTGAACGAGAGTACAATTTTAAAAAGTAAAAATATTAACATTAGATTATTGTTTACGTGGTGCACATGTATCTTGATTTGGAAGGCGTAGAGTATATTGAAAAACAAATCCCGTAAAGTTATTGTACTCTCGCAGGTAAGATTTTATAAGTCATTTTATTGTCATAAGACTTGAGATGAATTTGAAAGCGATTTCAAGAATATTAATAAAATGATGTAACGACAAGAGACAATTCAATTCTAATGATGCACGAAATGCACAATTTATTTTTCAATCGGCTTAGTTTATGCACATAAACGTAAATGAAATAATAATATTTAAAAAATAATAGCATTAATAATAAAAATGATGACGATAACATAATAATAATAATTATAACAATAATAATAATAATAATAATAATAATAACGATTAGGCGACAACAACAGCGACGATGATAATGATGATGAAAAAGATAATAATATAATAAAATAATATATACGAATACGTATATGAATAATCGCATGAACGCACGCAAACAGACATATGTAAATACATGTATAGATACTTATATTGAAAATATGATTGGATTAAAATGTAGATATAAAATATTCAGTTCCATAAAGAGATTGAATTACGCCTACTTACTCGGTCGCGGATGCCTTTCCCGATCCGAGTTCTTCTCCCTCGTCTCTTTCTCCTTATCTTTCTCCTTATCCTATGAATAAAAAGTAGAATGAATAAGGGCTATGGAGATGATTCAGAATTGCGCTGCTATGCTACAACCTTCGATTCCTTGATATCTTTGACGTCGGAAGAAGGTCGCTGAGGATGGCGCTTGGGAGAGCGACGCTCAATAGCGTTAGGACCAACGCTTTGGGAGCGTCCGTTCCGAGGACTATTTTTGGGACTGGATTTAGAACGCGGCTGGACCTCGTTCTGCTCCTCCCGACGGCGTAGCATTACGGGCTCCAGCTTCTCTCTCGTAGGAGAAGGAAGCAGTGCACCGTCACCTAGACAAAAGTTTAATTCTTTAAATACTTAATTTACTACGAGCACAAGCAAGATCCTAAAATCGAATATCCAATTCTCCTTTTGTATAAATAATAATTCTCTTTTTTTGATTAATATCCAATCATCTCTTTTTTTCCCTCCCATATTTTATTACATATATTATTTCCTCGTAGTGAATTTTAAATTACTTTCCAAAACCGACACAATAATTTATATTCTCATATCTTTCTTAGTTCGATAAAAAAGTATTATTTAAAAAAATATATAATCAAATTATTCAAATTGATGATATATAAAGTACATATTCTTAATTAACGTACATAATAAAAAAATTTGTTCATTTTTTCATTAAAAAGTAAAGTTACGTTTACATTAAAAATAATTAAATATAAGAAAAATGTTCTTAAATAATATCTTTTCATATTATATTTGAATTCAATTATCATTACAAGTGATGTAATTACAGAGAATTGCCGCATCAATTCTACTCAAATAAACAAACAATTATGAATTTTTATAATTATTAAGGTACTAAATTTTTGAAAAATTTCTAAACCTTATTCGCTTATCAAAATTTTGGTATAAGGATAAAAATTCAAACTTTGAAATTTATTTAGTAAATTTTTTATGATAATATAGACATTTATTAACGTTTGAGACTCAATTTTGTGAAAAATACCTTGATATTACATAATTGAAAATAACATAAGCCTAATAAAAAATCAAAATCAAAAGCTTCTTCAATAACTGAAAATCACTTTATAATATATAATTATGCATGCAACTTTTTACTAAGCCTAGACAATTAATTTATGTATGGCATAGTTAATTGTGTCTATATATTAAAAGTCAACATTAAAGTATGCTATTATCTATTATATTATAGTAAATATTACTTCTGATTAAATTCAATAATTATATTTAAAAATGTTCTAAATCCCAATTATCATATTTAAAAATAGTTTTTTTTTTATAAACAAAATTGTATTTATTTTTAAAATATAAACAATTATATTTTGAAGTTAAAAAGTAAACTGAATAAACTTTTTAAATATATAAACAATATTTTTTTACTTTAAAAAAATATTTCATACTAAAAATACACGTGACTTAAAGAATTAATAATATACTTACGTAAAAATTTTTGTTTGTTTTTAATAATCTTGTAAAAAAAATTGGCCATATTTCGATATAAATAAGCAAAATTTAGATCTAGAATTTTATCCGTGAAAAGTGATTATGAATATTCTAGATAATATATTTCAAAGAGTTTTTAATTCATGTGTGAACATACCAGTGCCGGTGGTACGATCGAGATGATGACGTATTAAGAAATCTTTCCTGGCTCTTGCAAGTGCCTTGTCGTTGTCCTGTAAGTAAATAGAAAAACAGTTAAGAGAGAACGCAACTGTGGTTGGAACAAACAATAAACCAAAGAGAGACAGACGGGCTTGAATTCATCGGGCAGAGCTGCGTAGATGGGACGAGCTTGGACGGAGGAGGGCCGCCCAGCCGGCAGTGCCGTTGTCTCCGCGAGAATTGATGTCGGATCGATCTTTCTTGTGTTCTCTTTATCTTTTTCTTCCTTGGTAGTCGAGCGGGCGAGTGACAGAGCATTTAGCGCATGGTTGTTTGAGACGCGCTTCCACAATGTCGCCTCATCCTCTTTCGCAATTCCACCTCCCCAATCACGATGCTAAAAATTCGCCTTTCTTTATAAATTTGGGATTTAATTTAATTTTCGCATAACTTTTCCTCGCCTTCTGTTTTCCTCCCTTATATTTTCTCTATTTTCTTATCAGTGCATGTTTAATGAAAACTCTTTTCAGAGTTAATTAAAATGATGCGTGTCCTTTGAACCATTCATTTAATAATCAAATGATGATTAAATTAAACAAAAATGTCTTATTGAATTACTTTATAGATATGTGAACAATAGTCTGCAATAGGATTTTACGTAGGAAAAAGATACGATTTACTAAGTGTAGAGAAGATCAGTGAATATATCAAGTTAAATTAATCTCATGGGATTTTGCTCTCGATTGCTGCATTTCTAACTTTTATTAATTACTTCAATAAAAAACAATAGAAAATATATAAGCTACAAGATGATTATATTTAAACCTTGTATTCGCCCGCAAGGCGTTTCAGCTCGCGTCTTAACTCAATAACTTCCGTCGCAGAAAATGGCCTCTCTTGCGTTTTTCTCCATTTGTTTTCTTGTAAAGGTTGATCGTTTATTCTGACGACTTGTGAATTCTTGTTTACAGCCATCTTTAAGTCGCCAGCATCAAGCTCATCATGTTCATCGGGATCCGGCAGAGGTCCGTCAATCGTTACCAAAGGTTCTAATTCTGAAGCTTGAAACCCATTGCGTCTAAAAATAATCCAGTGAACCTCAAAATTAAATTTAAAAAATGGTAAAATTAAAGTGTTAAAGTCAGAAAGGGCTTTATGAATTTATAATAACATCTTGGATTAATAAATTTAATTTATAAAATAAGACTGATTAATTTTTGCAGTGCACGATAGTCATAGTAAGTCTCGAGGTAAAGTATTTATTTATATTGATTATTGAAGTATGCACCTGTGGTCGATCGAGGCTACTTGACGCTTCTTGTGAACTGGAGCAGGGGCAGCCATAATTGAGCCTTGTTTAAGTGCGTTCATGCTTAAGGATTTTCTGGGCATTTGTTGCTGTTGCTGCTGTTGCTGCTGTTGTTGTAGCTGCTGCTGCTGTTCTTGCTGCTGTTGCTGCTGCTCGATGAATGTATCATTTTTGCCTGAGATTACTGTGTCACCGTTCGTCAGCTGTTGCCGCCGGGGCCACGCAAACTGCAACCGATACTCGGTGCTTATGCGTGAGATTGCTCTGCTTAGTTGTGATGTCGGCAGTGTCTTTGTCACTTCCTACGCACATTATAAGTATCATCCGTAAAATAATAACTGCGAAGTCTTATAATATTATTGACATTGATAACCTATTATTGTTAATATTACTATTACGAATTGGCATTGGGATATCTTACTACTAATTAAAATCAGAATTTTTTGCTGCTTAGAACATCTCGTGTTCTATTAAAAATTGACTTCTTTTTTTAATTCAATGCTAAAATTTATACAAGTAGGCTTACCTTTACAGATTGTATCAAGTAATCGATGGTTTTAAGAAATTTGCCGGCTGTTTGACTTAGGTAAACTCTCGATGAGTATCAAGTCAAGGTCTTACTGTTTGCCTTGTTATCATGCAACTTTCCAAGTTATATATTTATAAGACTTATAAAATGCAGATATTTATCAAAATTTAGTTATAATATCATAATTCAGATTATATTATTATTATAAGAGGCATGAATGATTAAGCTTTTAGTAATGTTGAACTGTTTGATAGACTGGAACTTTAATACATATAACTGTAGCATAAAAATTTTGAAACATTTAACAGCATACTAAAAATATTTTGAATACTTTTAATATTAACTATAACAAACTATATGAAACGAAGCGACAATTATATGAATAAATAAAATAACATTGTACTTGCAAAAAGTGTATTAAGAAAATATTTTATAATGTAAAGATCAATAATTTAGTTTTTATGTTAAAATACACTTTTGGATTATTATATTTATCTTAACATTATAATTATTTACAAATTGTTAATTAATATGTTAAAACGGATGAAATTATACATTACTTATTAGAAATAGAAATTTCCTAATTACAATTCGTTATTAAAAAAATTAATGATATAATGTACATTTATATATTAAAAGTGCAATTATAGAATAATGATAGGTTATACTAAATTAATCATTGAAGTTTACTATATTAGTGTACAAATAATCTAATAAGTTGTAGGTTCTGAAAACTGTGGATCCAGTCAATGATTAGCAAACCGATATATTTCGACAATCGAAAAACCGTTTGAAGCATCGATGTTTCTTTAATATATTGCACATCGCTAGAATTGGAACCAAATAGAATATACATTGATTTCATGTTAACACTTCATTAGCAATTAAAAAACTACACCTGATGGAAGGAGTAAACAATGTAACCTATTAAAAAACGTAAAATTCTTTATCTTACTCTAACTTTATCAGCTACGATGTTAGAATCAAGGGTATCGATTCCACCTCCATCAACTACATTGGCCGACGAAAGAAATTCATGCGTCCTATAAGCAAGTTCTGGGCACTTTTTTCGCCTTGGTAATGGCGGTTCCAAGCTTGTCCCTAAAAAATTAACTCCATTTAAATTACGCACGTTTGCTCTTTATCACCATTAGTTTTTGCGTATAATGCATTGCTTTTTTCATATTTTTTACATTCAAATTTACTTATTATGTACTTCAGTCAGTTTGATAGTGTATTTATGTATCATAACAGTGTATATAAGCTCTTAAAGCTCTATTAAAGGCTGAAAAACGTTCGCTTTTAATTTTGTTTGAACTTTAAAAAATATTTTTTCTTCTAATGGCCTTACTGTTATATGGTATCTTTTTAATTAGCCAGTAACATAAGTGCTAATTTTACAATTATAAAATGCAGTATTATTTATACATTTTAATTTTAAAATTATCTTCGATATAAAAATATTAAATATAGAATAGTAAATTAAAAGTGAACGCCTGGTGACTGCTCAACTAATCACATCGAATGTTGCAAATATGCATACGTATATGTATGTAAATATGGTAAATCGATAAATTTTTTTACATACGATAGTACATGCGTGCGCACATATCATGTCTTCTGATTTTTTTCAATTATTCACCAATGATCATATCGTTAAGCTGACTTCTAGTTTTACTGTACTCATTTTCTTTTTCTTAATTATGTATTTATGAAATTGGAAAATTAATCGTATCAGTTTTAAATTTAACTTATTATATGGTTAATATGATACATCATATTATCTTGTATGTGAAAGAAACGGATATTAAGGAAATACTAATAACCAGCTTAACGCGCATCATAATATTGCTGCGCAATCCATGCATGACTGTCTGGGTATTAGGTATTCATAATGCAGCATAATTTTCCATAATTGTTAATTTACAATCATGTGATACTTACTTGTTAATAGTACAGATTGTCTATTAAATTTGTTATCAGACAAAAGCTAATATGCACATATATCTATAAATCAGGTCAATTCAAGCCTTGAATAAAAACAGAAAACTATATTTTTGCTTTACCTTGCCTCGTGGCCTCGTGCTAAGGAATGCGACTGCAGCAAAGTAACTAAATTTGAATTATAATACTCTATAACATTAATACTAATCTTAGTAAGCATTTGTTGATTATCCAGTTTTTCTTATAATTATTGATTTAACTTAATTCTTTTAAAACTTAATAACAAAATACAGGCTTTCAATACTTTAAAATCTTAATTTATAAATAAATTAATTCTATATAGTTTATTTATTCACTATAACATATTTTTAAAATAGGTAACATATTTTATGCAATTCTATAAATTCTTTTATAATCATTTATATTATTAAAGTAAAAGGTTTTGTAACATACGTATCCAAATGTATAAACTAAATAATAAGAATGTTAAAATAGTAACTGTAAAATTTTAAGAATTATTTTGGATAATTATTGTTATTAAAATAACTTAATATATATTTATATACCTAAAGTATTTATTAATAATAATGAACTTGATATTAAATTTTATTTATCTCAGTAATTTATTTCGACAAAAGTTTATTCATAATGCAGCAGGATCGCTGTATTTTAAAAAAATGAAATAAATTCTTTGTTTCACAATGATAAATTGCAACAAAAAATTATATACTTTAAATAAAAATAGAGCCATGCAAAAATTTGAAACCTATACTAATAAAGTGCTTACATTTTCGAACTGTTTTTAGTGTAATATGAAAAAAAGTATAAAAGCCCGGTTTTAGGTATTAATTTCAATAAACATACTAACTGAAAATACAATATCTTAAAAAATAATAATAAGAAGAGTTGTTTTACTATCAATTATTTTAATAATATATAAAAAATCTGAAGTGATGTAATATATTAAATTTCAATAAATTGTATATCATGATTCAATATTATTTTTCACCGAAAATTTGTTAATACGTTGTAATCTAATGAATATTTAGCATATATAAACAATATATGGATAGTCAGATTGATTAAAAATTATGAAAATGCCCGTTACAGTTATAAAAAGTTTTCCATAAATAGAACGAATATTAACAACTGCAATAAGCGGTTTTTATTTTTCACATATTGTTAATAATAAAATAATTATATATTTAATTTTTTATAAGAATATAAAAGCAATTAAAGTATTTTTCAATCATTTATTTGATTGAGATAATTATTAGTCAATAATGAAATTTTAATCATCAACCATTAATCTGAATATGTATGATATATAATAGTAAAATGCTTACTCTTATTGATATTATTTATCATTATATGATTTATATGATTTATATATTTTTTAAGTTATAATTGTTATAAATAAATATATATAAATGTGTGTGTACTTTAAAACGAATGTTGTAAAAAACCGCCGACAAATCATTCTCTTGTATTAACTTGTATATTAAAAGAAATTGCTGAACTGAAATGCTTTTATAAAAAAAAAGAATTACAAATAAGTTATAAAAAGGTATAATAGAAGATAGAATAAGAGTTAGTAGAAAGAAACGAATTTCTCTAATAGCTGATTTGTTTAGTCACATCACACTTTCTTACCTTCGTTGTTTTCATCCTCGGTAGACTTGGCTGATTGTAGCTTTGCGCTCGTATCGTTTGCTGCAAAAAAAAATTTTCGCAACTGGCTCGTGCTCTCAAAACTCATGATATTCTCATAAAGTATAAATCATATTGGAAACGAACTGTTCTAATTAAACGCAAGAGCTACGTCGCGTTTCTATCAGCTTCCACCAATTAAGAAAAATTCTTAACGCAATCAAAAAAATAAAAACAATAAATCATTTATATTAATAAATATCATAAGATAAAAAAACACTTTCTTTGCATTAATAAAAAATTAATAAAATAAAATCGAGTCCATAAATGTTATTCAGTTGGACTCATTTTTAGTTGTTTCTCATTACTACCGAGAGACGAATAAATTTTACGTAAAGTGCATAAAATTAGAAAGTACAGCATTTTGGATGCTTTGCTTATAGTTTTGTGTGTAAAATTGCCGAAAATATAAATCAAGGAAAATTGAGAAAAGCTTCACGTTAAAAAATATGAAATACAATGTTAAATATGAACACGTGTCTGTGTGATAGAGCGTGTGTGAGACACAAACGACAACATTTATTTAAAATACTAAAAAACTGTCATTTTTATAAATACAAATACTCCGTCCTTTACACTACAGACAAAGTAATTTAAAAGTTGTTATCGTATCAGTGGTTATTATAAAGAAATAATTAAATATATTTTAAGTATAAATATAATATACTACATATATTACAAAATTTGTTTGATTATAAGAAATCATAATTTATCGATTAATTCTACATAATTATTGTTTGTCATTTAATAAATTGATATTATTCGCACTATATTGAGCTTAAATTAATATAGAAACAGTGAAAGACATGAGGAAAAAAGGGGACTGAAAAAGATAGAGAAGTAGAAAGAATGAAAAGAAAACAGGCTCAATCGATATACGATGTTGATAAAACAAAGAAATTGAAAATTCAGGGTACGTCAAAGTGAATATAAAAATGACAGATGAAAATGTAGATAAAAGATGCGCCAAAGTATTTGATTGGCTCAAGTTAACTTACTTGATGGTGGTTGTGGCGCTCGTCGCACGACAGTATGTTCCTGATTTGATCCTGTGTATTCGTGCCATGTGTACGTACTCCTGTATTCAGAGTGTAACTGAAACAAACAATATCAATCGATCATTAATATTGTTCTTCTTCAATTGAATTAACCTAATTATCAGACTAAATATCCTAAGTATTTATTAATTTGTTTTATTTATGTTGATTACTAATTGACATTTATAATTTTCATTAAAATTGAGTTAATCTGATTAATGTTATCCGATTACTTACTTTGATAATGACATATTTCTATTTATATTATTCAAATAAATAGCTCTGTTCATTTTCATATTGTTCATAATATTAAATTCACTGTTTATAAAAAAAGATAATTTGTATTTAAGTATAAAGTTAAATAAAAATATATTTATTTTTTACCAGAAGCTTATCTAATTTTTATATTTTGTTTCTTTCAGTTTTTATAACAATTTAATATCACATTATTAGGACTATATTTACATTAACTTTTATTTGTTATAAATTATTTATAAATGTACCATTTAATTTGATATTTTAATAAAAATATATATTTAATAATTGAAGCTCTCTTTTCCTCTCTCTCTCTCTCTCTCTTTCACTCTGTCCGTAGAAAGGGAATTCTCGTTATCAGATGAGAGTCGTATTGTACGCAGAAACTTATTCGTTTATAAATCTCTGCAAATTCATACGACTGAATTCTGATATCTTAAAGACATTTTATTTTCATTTAGCAAGACTCATATTTTATGCCTTCTTTCTATTATAGTATTTGTTAAATTTAATTAAATGTGAATTAATTATTTAATTATTTAAAACCATTAAAAAATGTATAAATAATCTTGAAAATTTTTATTCTAATTTTAATAAATTTGAAGATAAATATTTACAATTAAAAAAAAAATTTATTTTTATATTCAATTTTCATATCTTGTGTTATAGATAATTATTTTATCGTAAAATTTCAAAATATAATTATATAAATTATATTATATTGTTAATTTTTTTTAATATATTCAAGTTACATTAAAATATAATATGTTCGTAATAATATTTATTTCACTCACTGTGTATATTACAACATGTAATAAAAATATATGTTTATTATAATATATAATATAAATATATATATAATAAATATTTTACACATTATTGTTATGAAATGATTTTATAATATATAGCAATAATAAATGTTTTATATACGTTTTTAATCTAATCTATAGCGATTTAAATTTTTATATTTTAGAAATTATGTATGTCGAATTTTTTTCATGATAATTAATTAATTTTTACAAAATTTTGTATTATTTAATAAGAAATGATTTTTAATCATTTCTAAATATTTATGTTCAACATAAAAATCAGCTTAAAAACTTACAAAAATTTCAAGATATAAATAGTTAATCAATTATATAGTACTTGCATAACATATGTTATAAAAGTAATTTAATAAAATAGTTTTTATCGAAAAAATAAGTGTATAAAATAAAATATTTTAGAAGTACTCGTGATTATAAGAAAAAAAATTTTCTAATAGCTTTATACAATATATTTGTAAATATGTGTTGAAACTGATATGATTTCTTGGCTGGAACTGCCAATGTTTCGATAGCTTTAATAATTTGCCGCCCGCCCTAGCAGATACTTAGGTTGGAGTCAAAGGGAAGGGTTGTAGAAATATGTAGCATGTGCAAACTTCGGTAACATATAGTTTATTAATAGCAATAAAAATAAATGATGTTGTATTATAACTTATAAATTCACAATGTGCGTAAAACATTCAAACTAATTAATTTAAGTAGCTAATAATAAAATCGATAGTTGAGTGACGAAGCGCTCATAAAGTTTGTGAAGCTCATAAAGTAAGTCCAAAATTTATAAAATTTATATAATAAATTAATGAAAAGCTTATATGGATTATCACTTTTAAGTTTATATAGAACTTCAAATTGAATCTTATTAGTATATTTATTTAAAAGAATTTAATTCTTTAGCTCCGAATGGAATAGATGTAATTTTTTCTTCAGTTAGATTTTGAAATTTTAATATATTGATTAATACCGTCTGTTTTTTACTTACACTATTATGCATGAACAGAGAAGTATCACTTTCATATAATATAATTTATAGTAATCAAAAAATTAAATTATTATTGGAAAAACTTTAAATTCATTTAAACTTTTATTAATAGATAATAAAAGTTATAAAGCAATAGGCAACTACAGATTCTCAAACATGAACTATGATATAATATTTATCTACATTACTTCAAATTTTCAATTTGAACTACAAATATTAATGTATAATATTTTGGAAAAATTAGTGTCTCCTCTTTAACAAAAAATATATGATGGTATTACACAATTTCCGATGGAATTATTAAAGTATTACATGCCAAATAAACTTAGCACATTGTATAAAGCTGTTATAGCTTCTAGTTTTAAATTAAATTGAAAAAAAATTTCATTTATAATCTAGTAAATATATTTACTTAATATCACTGTACAATTATATATAAATAATAAATTATGAATAGACTTGCTAATTATTATTTTCAATTCTAGCAAGGTGACAAATACAAAGAAAATTTTTGCGAGTTTAATTTATTATGAAATATTTAAAAGTGAAAATGTCACTGAAAATTGTAATGTGTCGGAAAACCGTGCATTACCATTAAAAATTTATAATATATTTATGAAAGAAATATTTGAAAAAGTGATACCAATTGGCGCAAGTGATGATGAAGAATTTAATAGACACAAAGATTTGACTCTACGAGTTCTTAACCATGTGAAAGAAATGTGAATATTTTTGAAGATTAAAAATAATCGATTAAAATAATATCGGATCAAAAGTTTTTTCATATAAATTTCAGATTATATAAATCAGTTCAGATCATATAAATAAAAATTTTAGATTACTTACCTTTTTCCATTTTAATAATTCAATAAAATTAGGTATTTTTGGTACGATAGGACGGAACTTTACGGCTGGGTGCTTAACCTAGTAGTATGAGTCAACGTACTGGTTGAGCAAAGACAAGTAAAGTGGCGCAATGCTGCAATTCCTCTTTTAGTAGCGTATGTGCACCTCTATGCAATCACGAAATATGAAATTCTCAGTGCAAATAACACCCAGAATGAAAGAATGATAGAATATCTGATTAATCCAACAATTCTTGTACTAAACACATTATTTGAGTTGCTCATGACGAGTTATGGATGAGGACGATTTTCATTTGATTAAATTATTTATTTATTTATACAAATAAAAAATGTACTCATGACCTAATATAAAATAATTTAAATTTTAATATATAAACATTTTAAACTAGGGCAAATGTAATTTTTATAATTATATATTCTACAAAATTTCAAAAGAAATATAACAAAAATTAATTTTGTTTCTGCAATATGATGGGGCGAATACAATATTAAAATTAAAATTATAAAACTCTAATACTACAACAATTATAATACGACTATTTGAAGAAATTAAAAACCTTTTTTGTTTGAACTATTTAAAAATAAGGAATTGCTGTCTTTACTAGCCTAGTAACAAAAACAATTTCTAATAATAAAAAAAATGATACGTAGAATGAATATTATATTTCGAAATCGAAAAATTATTATAAATGATTCTTACATAATACTTTGTTATTATAAATTAAAAATGAGAATTTAACATTAAAATTATTTTAATTTTTTGAAAGTATGAAATTTAAAATTCAATATAAATTAAGAATTTTATTATATTTTGAATTAACTCAGTTATTAGCAGTTTATGTAATATTTAACTGGAGCATTATTAACTAACATAAAAAGTTTTCTATATTAATAAGTCGTTTACTGATTTATGTATGTGTGATTAATGAATGTATCAGTAAATTATTATTAATAAATATTAAAGATTTATTTACAATATTACTCACTTACAAAAAACGATATCTTTATATATATATAGGAATATAATTACTGAACTTATTTTTTATAGGTATACATAGATACGCATACACACATACTTGTTAATATTTACTCTAATATTTATATATGTATATATATAACTATGGTTATTTTACAGAATATTTTTTACTCTTTTGTTTTTTTAATTTATCAAAAATTTCTACATTTTTTGTTTTGCGTTTTGCAAAAGTATAAATTCTATGTAATTTAAATTTAAATTTGTATTTGAAATATATTAGATTTAATTATAAATAAAGTTTAATAAATAATAAATAAATAAAATTTAGTAATAAATAATATCATTTTTATCGAGTATGATTTTTATTCCTAAATACAAACATATAATTATAAACAGAATTCAAAAGTATTCTAAAAGAAATATTAATACAGATTTTGTTAAATGGGCTTCTTTTTTTCATTTTTTGTTTGAAATATATTAATGTTAAAATAAATAAAGCAATTAAAGAATATGAGTATTAGTAATATAAATTGTAATGTCAAAAGTCAACTAATAAATATAGCACTTTGAACTATTAGTACTTAAAGGATAATTAACTACGATTGCTTTTTTAATATTTGAAAAAGGAAAATTGTAGAATTATTTTTTAAAGTATCGACAATTATTTTAATTAAATGAAAAATTTTTTTTTTTTAATACGTGATAAACAATTGTATTCTAAGGATAAGTATGTATGTGTAAAAGTATTCTTCATTTTTAATATGTTCACACTTTAATACTCGTTGACTGACTAGGTACTTTCATAGGCATAAAAAAAAATTGAATAAAGGGACCAAAAGTGGAGTGCAATAATTTTATTTCGACTTACACAAAGTCAGTATATAAGCCATTATACGATGAGATATCTCCCTCTGTCAATAGCAGACAACATTCCAGGAAATTATTGAAAATTCACGAAGCATACTGCCAATCTCTACATTTGAGAATTGTACCTTTTATCCTTTCATGAGTCGATAAAATTCTGTAGAATTTTACGAATCATATATTATATTTAATCCATGCTTACTTCAATTATCAATGCATAATACAATGCTTTTGAGCATTAAATGTCTAGTAGTCATCTAATAACATAAGAATCAATCTCCTAAACTTTATCATAGCCAAATCAGCGAATGTTCCTATGGAACATGAATATCAATGAATATAAAAATTTCATTGACACTAAAACATACCCTCGATGATACTAATATAGTAATACGGAAGAAAATTAATTCAAATCCCCGCGGATGATATCTTTCGTACTTTTTCACACCGCGGATATCGCGCAGATAAATAACTAGTCGGAGGAAAATTATCGAGCAGGGAGTGGAATCGATAAATGTTAAGTATATAATGCCAACCCTGGTGCATCCTTAAGTTTGGAACTAAAGAACCGAATAAAAATCATTATGTTCTCCCATATAGGTTCCCATAGGCAATTCAACCTAACCTCAAAGAGTAGATCGAGGTTGCCTATCATGTTCATGGCTCTCGTTGGACATTAACTGGTGTGGAGAAATATATCTGCACGTTTAATCGAAAATCAATAGTTTATGGGCCTCACCTTGTCTATCGGCATGGAGGGGCACGCACGACACAGGTTCCAAAAAGAGCCGATCATGACGGTTCTTTGGAGAAGGCGGCACTAGATGATCTTGACTCCGTGGCTCCGGGGACTGCGTCAAACACTCTTGTACTTGCTCTGCGTTCACCTACTCTTTCTTCTTGCTCCACTTCCTCTTTTTCCAACACCTCTGTTTCACACTTTATCTTTATCTGTCAATTTTCTATCTTCTTCCCTTGCTAGTTCGACCAACGCTCTTGCTATACCAACTATTAAGTAATCGAATTAATGTAAGAAGTACATATACTTGCACAGAATCGATATTATAAAAACGTGATCACTAGTTTTTTCCCGACTAATGTATTATTTTACATTACTATTATCGATTCTATGCACCACTGAATTCCCTACGTTTATGAGAATGTCTATTTCTTTTTTGAAGATGCAGGAAAGTGTAGAACTGAGGGAACAAATGGGGGATAGAACGACAAAAACAAAATAATAAGAATTTCACAGCACTTGATCTTGATGATAAAGCAAATTTTTTTCTTTTATTAGTCGAGAAATACGACCGGGCGAAGAAATCAGTTTAAGCAAGAAAAAGAGAGAGACATGCACGGCACAGATACACACGTATATTCACTACTGTCGCACAAGCAAGATCTGTAACAAGAGCCGAAGAAGGATAAGGTATGAATAGAAAGATCGTCGACGTCGTCACCGGCAAAACGTGTATTGTGGAGGTCTGCTCCTCACTAAAATCACTAAAAGTCTTCCAACCAATACCTCCTTCCAACTTCTTCGTACATCCCAGGAGTTCCCCAAGCGCAGGCGCACCCTCACAAACCGGTCAATAGTCACATTTGCAGTTTCTCACTATTAACCCTATAAGCTCTCTCCCCAATTTTCTTCTTTTCTTTCTATATTTTGTTATAGTTTAATTCAAACAATAATGTAATTATTTCCTTCGACTGCCTTTTTAGTTATATTGTCAATTTTCAATTTTATTTTTTTTATTTTGTCAGATTTCAAGGAGCGTCGCACATTTTATACATAACATGAAATGAATCAGGAAATCTTATCCGTAATTATCAATGCATCAAAGCTATGTAGTTCTTTTGTATTAATGGATAATATTGGAAATATTATAATTAAATTTCTTAAAATTATTAAATTAAATTAAAAAATATTTTAATTAATAATATAAAGAATAACATCTACTTTGTACCTCCGAAGATTCTTTCTAAGTGAATAATGTTTTATATTTCTACATTTATTATTTAACGTTTATTACTTAATGATTCAGGCAATTTATTGACTAAATAGTAAGAGCACGAAATAATAAAAAAATTTGTAGGATTCGAAATATATATATAAAATATAGTACTTCCTTGTAAAAAAGTGCATAAAATTTTTTCTTTTACATATTCATATTATACACAAATTATATGAATTATAATAATATATGCTTTACGCCAATGTTTTGTGATAAAAATTAATTACTTCTTTTTAATTAAGGTTCCACGGTTTTATGTCTAAACAGAAACAAGGAAAATAATGAATCTAAATATAAGATTTTAATATTTTTAATTTCTACATATATTTTTAGATTTTAATATTAAAAACAATACATTCAAATGCATAAATAAATAAAATAAAGATAAATTTAAACAAAAAACTTATAATTATTTCATTAGCATTGATCTTATTTATAAAAATGTAATTACAAGTTAAAAAAAAAAATATATATATATATATACATTGTACTTATATATATATATATATATATAAGTACAATAAAGATAGTTTTAGGTTATACGAATAATTATTCAAGATTTTATGTCTTAAGCAAAGTCATCAAGCAAGTAGTAATAAATTTAGCAATAATGTTATATTTCCCTAGTTCCTCTATTATAAAAGTTTCATCATTATAAAGTTTCCTATATTATATAAAGAATGGTAATTTGAGGTATAAAATGCATAAAAATTAAGTTGTGTAAAATGTGTATTTGCTTTCATTTAATTATGGCCAATTAAAATAAGATATTTTGTATTTTAAATATTGATTCGGATAATTTTATTAAAATATGTCTTGTAATTCATAATCCATATAGCTAATATTTATAATTACCACAGAATAAAGTAATATTGATTATTATTACTAGAAGTACCTTCTGAATTTTTTCTTTCTAATGCATTAATTTAAAATTAAAGATAAAGAATAGTAAAAGTTGAATTTAAAATTAAAAATGATTGTGATTAATTTACCGCTGAGGTATATGCACAAGTCGTGGAGTGCTTATATTTAAATTAAAAAGGACATTAACTTAGTCAGATACGATTGTATCAATAAAGTTCATCTCGTGAAAGCTACAACAAATACAAATACAAGTTTGAATATATTTAAATGTCCAGTAGGATATAAGTATATGTAGTGGTGAGCGAGAAAAAATGAGAATACGAGGGAAACTCCGCGAAACTCGCAAAAATTAGCACTAAAGATAAGATATTGGATAAAGGTAAGAGGAAGAACAAAGTTGAGAGGTTAGTCAAGCACTGCAGATTTGTTTCAACAATAGTTTGCTGATAAGTAGCACTTGGACGGCACCTTATTCTTTTTATCAAGTCAAAACAGACATTTCTTTTTCGTTCCGACTGGTCTGCATTTTTTGCCGAGTAATAGCTTACCTTAGCGCGATCGATAACGTTCCTGAATGTATTAGGCACGAACGCACACAAAAAACCATGGGAAGTAATAAGGGCTTCAAGAGTCCTATTATCAAAGCCGCGGATATCGGACCAACAGAACCACGAGGGAAGACCATACGAAGTCGTGGTTTGGCTAAATTAAGCCAAATGGGCGCGCTCACCAGGTGTGTTCTTGGATATTTCTTGTGTCTGAGGCTGGGGCGCTTCCTCCGACTGCTGCTGGGCTTCGGTTTCTCCTTGCTCGGTGTTCCGTGATTCGACTTGTTGGCGGGCATGTCGTCGACTCCTATGATCTCTGGTCGGAGTTTGTGACGCGCGCGAGGACGCACCCCACTGGAATTGGCCGGAGGTGCTTATATTCGCGCCCCCGAGTGATCCGCGGTAAGGATCGAGCATGCGCAAATCTCCCTCCCTCCTACCGGCCTATGCCATCCCGTTACGTTCCCAGTTGTCCATTCTGACATCCGACGATACTGGCCGTAGTTGGCCTTTCAAAGCCAGTCAATTTGATGGACTTGACTACATCTTCTATTTCAATTATAGTGATAATTGTCGCTTGCTTGCAGATATATAATAATTAGCTTCAAAATTCAAACTCAAATTATTCAAGTTGCCCATTTTTTCTTTTATTCAGTAACTCAAAGAAAGTTGAGTTACTGAAACTCAAAGAAAAATTTCGCCAATACCTTCCATCACCTTTTTACTTAAATCTTATTCGATGTGATTAAAAATATGTTTGATAAAATCCATCAAAGATCTAAAAGCTTTTATAAATTACCATTGTAAATCTCACTGTTAATTTATAATGATAAATAAGCAATCGATAGATTATATGGGGTAACCAACACTTTAATGGATCAGAAATGTGCTTCTTTAAAAAAACTGAGATAAAAAAATGTATTTCAATGATTTACCAATCAAGATTAATTAACTTAAAAGCAATATCGAGTATCATAAATTAAATGATAAAAATGCTGTGTATAAAAATCTTCAAATAAATTGCTCATTTAATGTTGACAGATATTTATATGATTTATTAACTAATCAATTTTATTTGATATTGTTTCAATATTAAAGAGTTTGTTCAATCGTCAAGTTTTTAACATCAACTTTTATCAACAAGCTAAAACGTAAGGTAATCTACACATATTTATAATTATTGATATATTTAACACTACGTATTCAATAATAATAGTTTCAAATTTTGTAAAATTTGATCGTTCAATATGTTTATAATTACAGTGAGCAATTGAAAAAATATATATTAATAATGAAAATATTTAAAAAAAAAATGTTTAAAAAATATAAATCAAATATACTGTTTTTTTTAATTGGTATCATAAAATATAGAGATGGATCACGCATTGTTATATTTATAATAATATGTAAAAAAAGGTCTTTTATAAAAATGTTAATTACATGTAAAAAGAATTAGTTTTAATTATGAATGCAAACAACGTGCAAACAGTCTTAAATAATTATTGCTACCTTTTATACCATTGAAATAAAAATACAAAACATAAATGTCTATATTAGAAAAGGAAATATAAAATTTCAGATGGTCGAGGATACGCAAGCGTTTTATTGGAGCAGTTGGTTTCAGTAGAAAGTAACTTTATCAACGTGTTTTGGTATTTATAGTTAATTCATCGGGCTGTCGCGAGATGCTGACAAAGTCATGGCGCTTTTGTTGGCGCTCGCGCTCCGTCCTTTTACCGCAGACTGTAGTAATCTGTAATCGGCAACGGTTGGATGGATGGATGTTGTTGGTAGTTTTGGATTTAAACCTGTGAGCTCATTAGCTTGTGACGGCTATTGGCACGGCAGCGGATCGTGATAGAGAACGTGCGCGATATTTACAATATTACGAATTAAGCTATCGCAAAGAACGAGCAAGCAGCAGCCGGAGGTGCGGTGCCGCAATTAATTGCAAGTGTGTACGTTCACGTAGAACATTGAAGGTGGGACAGGCCCGAGGATAGAGGGCCCTTGCTGCCTGTAAGGCTCTTTTCCCGATCTCGAATGAGAAATCGAAGTAGCCACCCGTACGAATCGTCGTTGTGTGTCTCTAATTTGACCGCAGCTAACCGAGAACCAATGCGATGATCTGAGGATCGCGTAAGCACGAGCGCGCTCGCTCATCATGACCGTCGACTTCGCCGATTACTTTTGGGTAAGTGTCTGACACCGTGCCCATCCGACCTTTTTCCTTTTCGAGGTTAACTTTTCGAACCTTTACCCGCGCACTCTAATTTCTCTTTTATATTGGCAATTTTAAACGCTGTTGATGACTCTCAACCTCTTGCATTTTTACAATCCTAATTGGCCCTCATAATTCCGTGCCTTCACAAGCTATCTATCTCTCATTCCTCACTCCCTCCCAATAGCGCATACACACATATACGCATATGCGAACAGGGGGGGGGAGACACGATATACATTATGTATCTACTTCCTTTTTACATGCACTGTTTTATTCTATTGCTTCGTCATTTATGTAAGCCAATACTGTTCATGTCCTCTGTATTAACGATATTTTAATCAGATGGCTATAATCTTATTTTTTCATTTAATTTATCCACTTATTTCGTGATACTTGCAAATGAACTTTCAACAGCTGTCATTTCATATGACAGCTTTCTATTCTTAGTTATTTATTTACAAAATAAAACTAGAAAAATAAAAGTTCAGAGATAAAAAAGACAAAATAAAAGTGTTCAAAGACATTCAAAGCTATTGATTATCATAATTGAATGTAGTTAGGCATCAGCTTGATGTCTAATTGATGGTCGATTAGACAAGTAATAAGTAACAAGTATAAATTGGCTTTTAAATTACCATTATATCTGTAATAAAGGTTATATAATGGTAGGCTTACCGAACCTGAAAAGTCCAAAGTCAAATTGCTCTAATTATAGGATTATATTTAATATCTTTTATTTTAATATATATATATATATAATATTTTTTATTCTCTCTTAAATTTAATTTAATTGCATAGCACCTTTGTTATTACATATCATGAAAATGATATAATACCATGTTATTAATAGCACAATAAATCATGTCTTACATGTTAAGAATATTTTATTATTTTTAGGGCGAAAAGAATAATGGATTCGATGTATTATATCATAATATGAAACATGGAGTTGTGGCAAGCAAGGAGTTAACAGATTTTTTAAAAGATCGCTCTTTTATTGAAGAAAATAACTATAAACTTTTCAGTAAGGTTGCCAAACAGGCAAGCAATAGCAACAGTACTCAAGGAACATTTGCACCTGTGTGGGCTGCACTTAGAGGTGCAGCAGAAAAACTAGCTGGCTTACATTTGCAATTAACACAAAAAGTATCTGAACTTATTAAAGATGTATCTAAATATTCTGATGAACTTAATAAAAAACACAAAGTTGTATGTATTAGTTAATATTCTTCTTTAAATATCAATATTATTAAACTTAGTTGTGTTTATTTAGCTGCTTTGTATTATAAATAAAAAAATCAAGTAGTTATAAAAAATTATCAGTAGTATAATAAAAATAATTTTAATATATGTATGTCAATTTTACCACTTCTATGAATTGAAGGTATAGAGTTTTAAAAACTTAATAAATTTTAGTAATAAATAATAAAAATGCAATATATATTGACTTTATTAATGTTGCTGATTCCATTTTATATTTTTCATTATTCAAAGCATATTATTTTAATAAAAAATTACTAGAATAGGATTAAACATTTAAAAAATATTCAGTATAATTAATTCATATTCTAAAAAATAATTAAATAAATTACTTTAAATGGAAAAATATTTTTTATGATACTTATGTTTTCACATTTACTTTACTCATTGATGTTATCACACCATGGAGGCTTATCTGCATCCGCCCACTGTCAGATTACATTGTATTGATTCAATAATCATTCGACAGAAGTGATAATAAAATTTTTTCTATAGAAGCGTATGTTATAGTAATACAAGTTTTCATTTAGGTAAAAGAAGAAGAATCTTCAACATTAGAAGTTGTCCAAAGTATACAAAGTATCACAATAACTCTTCAAAAAACTAAGGATATATGCTTGCAAAGAGGACATGAATTAGAAAAGTTAAAAAAAGATAATGCAAGTCAAAGAGAGTTAGAAAAAGCTGAAATTAAATTTAAAAAAGCTCAAGATGATTATAAAACATTGATTGACAAATACACTACAATACGAAATGATTTTGAAACCAAGATGACACAAGCTTGCAGAGTAAAGAAAAAAATTTATATTTTTGAATTATCTGTTGTTTTTGAATAAACATAATTTTATTTTTGTATGTAGAGATTCCAAGATGTTGAGGAAACTCATTTAAAAAATATGAAAGAATTTTTGAATACATATGCAGATGTTCTTCAATCAAATCATGAACAAGTTGGACAAGTTCATATAGATTTCAAGCGACAATGCCTTGATATGACTGTGGACAAATTATTAGAACAGTTTGTTCAAAGTAAATACACAGGATTTGAAAAACCAGGTACACTTAGTTATATTCATATTTTTTTAATTTTTCATATTGATCAAATGGGACGATTAATATATTTTTAGGAGTTATTGAATATGAAGATATCTTAACATCTTTAGCTGAAATAACAAGTCAAACAAGTCAAGAAAAACACACTGATGCACAAAAAGAAATTTCAAAAGGAGCGAATGGAGAAACTGGTGTTGCGGGTAACTTACTGATGTTAAAAAAAAATCAAGTGATTAAAAGGGAGGGTTTTCTTACTGGCAGGGAAAAATCAAAGATACATGATAAAGAAAAGGAGAAGCGCAATGACAGAGATAATGAATATATTCAGGCTCAACAAACTAAAACCTCTCGTCGTACCACTTCATTGCTCAACCTATTCATGTCCAACTCCCAGGGTAGGTTTTATTTCAGTTGCATCGATTATCATTTGCAGCTACAAATTTTCGATTCTAATAATCATAAACAGTTTTCAAAAATCAGTTACTAATATGAATACATTATCATACATTCAAAACTTACAATTTTTATTTTATTTTTATCGAGGTTATATATGATATATTATTTTTAAGTTTACACTAAGAATGTTAACAATTTTAATTTTCAAAATTTTCATAAGACTATTGGCACGTTAATAGCACGTAAATACACATATACCATAATTATTTTACATTTCGATATGCTTATGTGTTTGTTACGTTGCTTTCGCGTTATTAATCTAATATTGGTGATGGTTGATTAAAACATATATGCAATGGTATTTAAGAATCATTAATTAAACATTTTTTCAAACCACAACAATTCATAAGATAACGAGAGTTTTTTGTCAAGATTTTTGAATATAACAAAGAAAATTTAAAAGAGATCGTGAGTAAGTTGATCGTGAAAAGAAAAGGGAAAGACAAAGGCAATGAGTGTTGTTTCAGAGAGGCAAAGACAAGCAGGCTCGGGTTCGGCTCCTGTCACTCCTCAGGAAAATTTGTCTCCTGCTGTTCCGACTCCCAGCATCTCCAGGAACCCTCTCAGAGGATCTAAATGTAACTGCTTACATGTTTCATTAGCTTCTAAACAAAAACAAAACCATAAGTGCTATCCTATTGTTCTCCTTTAGAACCATGCTTTTATTTCATTTTTTGTTTACATTGTTCATTTTGATAAACTTATACTTCTGATACTAACATGATCAATATTGTTTTATACGTATGCCTCTGATCTTTTAAAAATTCTCAATGTAATAATGCTTTAATAAAAACGATACAATTATTAGATATTATTTTTTTTTAAGAATGCAATTAGGATCAGCTATAATTTTAGAATTTTTTTTTAATTTATTCATTTATATTTATATTTATTTAAATATTTATTCGGTAAATTATGATTTTTTGAGAGCAGATATTTCGAATTCATATTAATAATAATTCTTATCCAATTTTGAAATTATAGAAATGACCTGCAATATTTCTAGATGTGTATAAAATTGAATTTTTGTTTTGATTTGCAGTGGTAGTGAATTTCTTAACACCGCCATTCTGTATTCTTTTAAATAATCGACGTATGTATCAATTACAAAATATTCATTAATAGATTCTTATCAATATATTTTCTAGCTATTTAGAATCATAGACTAGTTTATAGTTTATATTATGAAAACAAATTTTTTTAAGTCTCTTGTTTTTTTTATAAGATGAAAAATGTGATGCTTTTTTAAAGCAATGATTACTACAGATAATTTTTTATATATCTACTATAGTATCTTGGTATTTTGGCGCTTTGCATTTGCAAATTGTTTTTCTAACAATATAATAATATAGTGGGTTTTCATTGGGCGCTGTTTCGCAGTTATTTTTTTAATATACGTATATGTGTTATAGTAATCAATCATTATACATATTGTTTATAAAAAAATTTCATTTGTATAATTTATTTGATATTGTTTATTACATAAATTAATACTTGGAATGTACACACACATATGCGCGCGCGCGCATGCACGCACCCACACGTATATATTGAATAACATTTACTTTATGTACGTTAAACCTACTTAAAAGAAATCAATACAGCATTTTTTAAGTATATGTAAGTGTGCATAAAGTGAATATTAATATTACAAATTCAAAAAAGTTTTAAGAAAAGGATTGATTGCATTTAAGTTCAATTTTTGTTTGATGTTTTCTGTACAACTCCCTTAATACTTTATTGTAAAAGTCCTGAAACGCGCCGTCTTATATAATTCATCAAAATGATTGATATTAGTTGAAGGGAGCTGGACTCGAATAATGTTGATGCACAAGCAAAGAAGTGGCTACTGACGGAGCCTCAGGTGAGCCTTATTTATTGTTATAAAATCACTGCTGGAACGGGCTCATCCTTGATCCTTGTGTATTCATTTATTTTCCAAGTGCAGAGAGTCCAGCCGTAGTAGCGTAATGTGAGTCTTTCAACGTGATTTAAACTTTCGTTTTATAAATTTGGTACACACAAAACACATTTATCAGTCTTGCAAATGTAACATTGCATAATTAATGAGAAACTAAAAAGGGAAAATATTTAATAGAATCTGAAATTGTTAGAAAAACAATTTAGGCTTCAAAATTTTATTTGGTGGAGGTAGTGAGGTCTATTTCTTTTATATTTGACTATATTATATAGAGTGTTGGCAAGCTTTTTATACAATGTATTTTTCAAATATACTTGCTTTTTCATTTGCACTTTATTAATATTTAAATTATTATAATTATTATCATTTTCAATATTTATATTCAAATATCGTTTATTAGTCTTGCAAATGAAACTCGGAAACAGATAATTCAATTAGAAAAAATACAATGCTTATTGATCGTATACTACGATAATTGGAATAACAGTCACTAATTTCATAATAAAAAAAAAGATGCACAACTCTATTAATTAATTTCATTAATCATTTTTAAAGCCTCTGTTATAATTTATATGAATAACTTGATTCGCATTGCGCTAAAGTCCCTTCACTTGGAAAGTAAATTTAATATATTGTAAAATAGTAGCATTAGTAATATCTTTATTAAATGTATTTAAAGCAGTCTAAATGTTAGCTGCTTCGAGTGTGTATGAAAATGAGAAAAGTAATTTTTACTCTAATTTAAAATTATTGTTATAGATGTTTAAAAAAACTTACATATCAACTATCATATTTATAGGGTTTCTTCGAAGCAGGCGCGAAAAAAGGAAGGAGAAAAAAGCAAAGAAGAAGAAGGATTCGGTGGAAATAACCAACAATAAGGAAGACAAGTCTGACCTGTCAGTATTTTTATAGTTAACAGACCCAGTAATGTTGTGATTTTACTATTATGTTATGTCGCAATTTATTTAAGTGATACCATTGCTATTATTTTTATAAAGAACTAAATCTTTTTATGTTAAAAATTTTTTATATTTGTATATAGATCTAAAAGCATATAGATTTACAAATATTTTTACGTATTGATAACAGTATACATTAATTATTACATTACAGCTTTAAATATTATTAATAATTAATTAATAATTATTCACTCAATTTCAGTTTTTGTTTATTATTTTATGAGTTGATTCAATATTTAATTTTTATATTGTTTTTACATTAAAACTACATACTTTTTACATTCTTAAACTAAGCATTATAATTAGACACTGAGACTGCTGAAATATTAAGAATTATTTCAAGTTACTAATATTATTTTGCTTTACTTTAAAATCTTATACAGAGAGGATAAAGATCAAGATAGTAGAAAATCGGAGACTCCGACGCCCGAAGTAGACGAAGATGGATTTTGTATTAAACCAAAATCAGACCCTTGGGAAAATGAAAAAGGATTTTATTCAAGTTCAGATACTGATTCTGAAGATGATAGAGAAAGAAAGATACGCGTAGAGATTAAACCTTTAAGTAATGGAGGTGCACCAATGAGTGCAAGTGTTGATGAATTAAGAGCTACAGTTGAGAATCTTTCTTTATCTCCTGCTCCAATGGTAAACGTATTTTTAATATTATATATTAAATTTTATGTTTAAATTTGGTAATATTTAAAATATCACTATTTTATATATAGGGAAGAAGAGGATCGAGTACAGATACTGATCATCATATCAAGAGATCACAATCTGTTTCTCAACAATTGGGTGTTAAACCAAGTTCAGATTTGTTGAACTTATTTAACCCAAGTAATACACCATCTAGTGCTTCAACTCCAACAGGTAGCCATCCATATGCTCCACTTCAGAGTCCTCCAGGACTTTCTTCGTCTCCAATTCCAACGATGCTTCCTCCACCTCAATCAGCACCACCGCACCCGCGATTTCCAGGTAAATTTATTAGTTACTTCCTAATAACTACTTTAGTTCTTATAAGAAAGTAAGTTCAGGAAAATATAATATAATTATAAGATTAAAATTTTACATATTTATAGAGGGAGATTTGTTTTCTGAGCTGAATGATGTGACACCAGCTTTACCTCCGAAACAATCAGCAACGCCAACAGGATCAATCATAATACCGCGCCCTCCATCAAGAAGAGGAGACGCTATAAGAGGTAGAATGTCTCCGGCAACGATATCGAGAGCAGACAGTGTCGCTAGTCTAGAATTTCGCACAGCTGGTGTTGGCGTTGGTTCATCTAGAGGTTTGTTTAATTGATATTTTTAATGCACAATATAATTTCTAATATTTTGCTTATATAACAACATTGTATCGTAGGTCCCTCCCCACTAACTATTGGCTTAGCTGATACAATACCATTAGCAGTAGCCTTTCACGAAATCATTCATTCATATTTTCGAGGTAGTGATGAGACTCGCTGTCAAGTTAAATTATGTGGTGATATGATGTTATCTTTTCCTGCTGGCATTGTTGCCGTCTTGGCGAATAATCCGAATCCAGCCAAACTTTCGTTTCGACTTCGAAACAGTAACAGGCTAGAAAAATTGATTCCAAATAGTCAGTTAATCAGCATGTAAGTGCTTTATAAAAAATGGTTTTTTTGTTCTATGAAATTATATAAATTAAAAAAAATATATTTTCTTTTATAATTAATATGAATATTTGCAGGTTTTCAATTATGATATTAAAAGAAGTTAATTAGTCAATTATTTTATTATTTTTTAAAGTTTATATTATAATAATGTATTTTCATCTTACGGTCTTTTTTTATAACTTAAACAGGGACGTAACTCAAGTAACGACTGATAGTACACTTTTTGAATTTAATATGAGTGCCTTAACTGCATTATTGCGACGACAAGCTGATCAGAATCCGGTCGCTTCGTATTTTAACGTAGATATTCTAAAGTACCAAATCAAGATAAAAGAGGGTGCAGGCTCTTGTCCTTTTCAAATAGTCGCTTATTGGAAATGCAATCCATCTCATACTGACCTGAAGGTATCGTATTAATTATCATAAATAATGATTCTGATGCTAAAGTAAACAAAAATAATATTTCTTAACGTTATAGTAATTAATTTAATATTACAGGTTGACTATAAATATAATAGTCGAGCAATGGGATCACCCACCCCACTATTAAATGTACAAGTTTCAGTACCTATAGACGGTGGTTTTAAGACTGTTCAGAGTAAACCTAATGCACAATGGTTGCCAGATACAAATCGCCTTCTTTGGAAATTTACTGAGCTTTCGCAACATACGGAAGGAGCTGGTATTGGGTCACTTAAAGCCCGCGTTGAACTTTCTCGAGGTCCAGGTAGTCAAGGAACCATTTTCACACAATTCAACTGTGAGGGGACTACTTTATCTGGTGTTGAGTTCGATTTAGCTGGCCCTGGCTATCGAGTGAGTTTGATTAAAAAAAGATACGTATCTGGTAAGTATTTTACTGATCTATTTAACCAAAAGCTTTATTCAGTCGTTCATTATTAATGAAAACGAACGTATCTATTTTTAAAATAAAAATAAAAAATTATTAAATGATTAATCATTTATTTGATTTTATAATTAATATCATATCAAATGTTCTTATTTTTTTAATAATTTTTTTCATTTTTAATTGTATCTTCAATTTTCTTTATTTACCAAATTTCTTATTTTTTGATAAATGATGAGATACATACTAGAATAAGTGGCAAGGTAGTTTAAAATTAAGTTAAAAATTAGCAACTTTGAATAAGTAATATGATAAATTAATATAGTGATGAAATTACATGACTTACTTACATAGTTACATGGATAGATGAAATATCTGAATAAATTTGGAAAATAAATTTTTAAAAGTAGTTATTAATCTAAAGTTAGGAAGAATGTTTGTCTTTGCATAATGATTAAGGAAGCCATCAGGTAAAACAGATTGTAGAATGATATTTTTGGATGGATCTATAAATAGAAATTTATGTGAAATTGTATAAAATTCTAGAATCAGTTATTATCAAAAAGATAGAAGTCTATTTAAGATAAAGGCCAAAATCTTGAGATTACATTTCAATAGGTGCATAATACACCTTATAGATGAAAGTTTTTGTGTACTGAAATAAGAAAACAATTATAGAAATATATAAAGTAATCGATTTAATATCGATTTAATTATTTGGTAGTATTTTTAACAAATTTTAATAAAGAAAAATTTCTGATTTCATTAATATGGAATGTATATAAATGGCCATATTCTATATAAAGTATAAATATAGATATAATTATTTATAGTTAAAAAAAATGAAAAATTTCCAAATTTAGATAAACAGTAAATTTCGATAAATCCAACTATAATAAAAATTTATATTCAATGCACACACTTCCTTCAAGCATATCTATTCTGTAAGCAAATAAGTTCTTAACCGAGTTTTCTTTGAAGTAAAAATTCTATTTATGAACGTATAGTATTTATACGTATAAATTTAATTACATATAAATATAATATGTTTTCTTTTCTGTATTATGGAGATATATTCATATATTATTTACCATTAATCTAACAATTTCTTAATATTATTTGTTTTTAATATAATTTTTGTATAATAAATATTTTATATATAGTAATACAACATTTTTAGTGCACACAAATTAAATTAAAAAAAAAAATTGAATTCTTTTTCTTATTGATTTAACTAAATTTAATATTTTATATATATATCATAAAATATTAAAGTAAGATTGACTTGAAGAGTGGACAGAGAAAAGATCAAATAATTAATAATATTAATTAAAAAGTTTTTTTTTTTGCCACAGGAAAATATCTTTGCGATGGTGATGTCGATTTGCGAACTCGTTATGCCGCTCCGCCGACAAATGTTGAATAACTTCAGTCTAATTCCAAGCAGACTTGTACATAATCTTACATATTAAAATTCATTTATTATTACAAAAGATTTGTAATTGACTCTGCCACGTCCACAAAAATTTCTTTTTATAAAATTTAGAAATAATTGTTTATAGATATTTTTGAAGAGATATGCTTCATAAGGTTTTTTTATATTCAAAGAATAAATTTTCTTTTCAACTAAATTTCGTGTTTATCTTTAATAAATATGAACATTGTTTTTACGAATCAGCTTGTAAGTATAAATTTTGTGATTGAAACTATATAGGTCTTACAAGACCTTAAATTTTTTGTAAAAATGTATATTATGCAAAAATTAATAAATTTTTTATATCGTTTAAATAAATAATGTTAAAGATTTTTTAGTTTACGTATATTTATCAGTACAATTAAATAAAATATATTACGTTTATAAAAATATATATATTTATTGAAGTGCCTATTCGTCATATTTTGAAAGATCGAAAATTTATTAAAAAATCAAAATAATTATAATTATAAATACTTATCATCTTGAGTATAAAAATTAAAGAAGTTGGATATAAATTTAAAACTTCAATTTTTTTATATTATAAGAGGAAAATTGGTTTGTCTAAATTTTATAATTTTATGAAATATAAATAGACCTTATATTAATACTCGGTATAATAAAATAGATTAATCAAATGCTGAATTATCGTGTATTAAAACCAAATTTTAATGAATTAAGTTATCTTACAAAGTGCTTAATTTGTTTCTTACTTGTTTATATAATTATTTAATTGGTATTCTTTATTTTATAGCTTTCGGTCAAAGGTTAAATTGAAAAAGTATTTTAATATAAGAAAAACAAAATTAAAAATATCTTTATTTTTATTATCTAATATAATATATAGTATAGGGAACCAAAGTTTTTAGATTGAAAGATTTAAGATGTATGTTTTTTGTGGAAATAAAGGCAATATTTAAAAAACTTCGAATGAATGAAATTTTATTTAATAAAATTATTTTCTTTTTATATTATGTAAGACATTATACATTCATAATTCTTATATTTCAATGTACTTACGACGAAAGAGAACCAAATAGCCATATTTTCTTATCAATTCATTATAGGTTCAAATATTGAAACAATAAAAAAATTATTATATTGCAAGGAAATCCAGCGTTTTCGTATATTAAAAAGAGAAAACATTTATCACATTTTTGTGCTGATACACAATTCGAAATACCTTCCATAAAAGGTATAGTCATTTTTGTATGCATAAAGAGAATGACAATTTGAAATATGAATGTGTACAATGATTATTTGTGACGTAATTTATAACAAGCATGAAACGACGTGATCGGTTTTTTTAGTAAAATAGATAGTTTCTATTTCAGTGTCTTCTAGTGTAATTTTTAATATGAAAATCAAATAACTCGTATTTCAGAAATGAAATTTCAAAAACATCGTTACTATTTTTATTTAATATTAAGCGCAATTTGAAAAAGAAGATTGCATATAATCAATAGTGTGTATGGTGTATATTCTCGATATGCCGGGACTCTTAAAAAGGAATCAATCACAGTCATAGACCAGAGATGTTGATCACTGAAAGAATTCTGTATCAAAAACTTACGTTTTTAATCGATCGATCGACTCATTTTTCAATAAATTTTAATTCGAAAATAAATGCACAAGCATAAACTAATTATATAAGTGTACAACATTATACGAATAAATAACGTTATTATTAAGTATTTATATCAACACACGTGGGGAAAAATGTACAAACAAGGAACACATTGACTAAAAATCCTTATTCATTATAAAATGTGTATAATTATTATACTAAAAAACTATAATTCGTTTAAGTTCATGATTATATTTGTAAATTAACAGTATCATTCATTTTTTAAATTACTAAATCTATTGAATATTAATGGGAAAATCCAAAACATGATGTAGCTATACAGTTTAAAAATGTGGAGCACATTATTTCTATAATAGCATTACATTACAACATGGCGTGTTACAGCAAATTTTTTAATACAGTACTAATACAATTCACTAATTGTTTTAATAATTCGTAAAAGAATAAATTTACTTGCATAAAAATTGTGTACTTTTGTTTTTATTATAAACAGATTTATTAGGTGAATTTCACATATTTTTCACAATTTATTTGCATTAACAGTATCTGATTATATGTAGATAAATAAAAACCTGTATGGTAAAAATGGAGATAAAGTTGATTAAGTATTTGACAATCATCACATGTTTGATTGGCACGAAATTCGATCAAAAATTAAGAAAATCATTAGTATGATTTATAATAAGAGACACATTGAGATCACAAATACTGCAGTATAATTAAGCAGTAGTATTAATAGTTACTGAAAATCTGCATAATGTGATTTTTAACTACTGAATACACTATTTTTTTTCTTTTTTATCCTAATTATTTGCTTTTAATGAATACACACACGCGCGTACACATCAACGCAAAAACATACACGCGCGCGCATACGGAATATACGTATAGTGACATCGATGCTCAATCGATTTTAAAAGCTTGCATAAAACAGAAGAAACGTTAGCGAAATTCTCGAAATAAAATTTCTATGAGGCAGTGATACTCCAATATGAGCAGACTTTAGTTTAGTGTCAAGAATTTTCATGGCGCTTCTAATTCTTTTAAAAGCATTATGAGTTGCTTTATTATAAATAATTAAAAAAATGTTTATTAGTAAATAAATATATACAGAAAATAGAAATAAAATAAAAATAAGTCAAAGACGTGACGAAAACAAGATTCATGAAGAATTGTAATAGTGCTATGATTACTTCATTATACGTGTAGATTTGTTTTTGTTTCATTTTTATTTTTATCACTTGCGATTAAGTTAGTCGCATGATTATTTCAATGTGGATTCTGATTATTTCCAATAAAATATTCTTCTTCAAAAGAAAAATATTCGATTGTTTTTATAAAGCCGTTATTACGAAACACTCATAAACGAAGATATCGTAAAATATTTGCACAGTTTCAGTCACGTATAACAAAGAAAGAAAAAAAAAATGAATAAAAGAAAACAAATAAAACGTCATTAATAAAAATGAATTCTATGAGGTTTGTGTAGCTAATTATGTTTTATATCCAAGGAAGAGTTATGAATTTCGGATCTTGATAAACTCGTAACATCCGAAGTCTCGGGTGCATATGGTCTCGCAGCTTCGAGTTTCCGATGGATTTCGTAACTATCGCAGAGCGATTCATCCTGGATCTGTTTGACGAGTTTGTTGACGAGCTCAGTTTTACCATTGGTAGCTTCGATCAACTCCTTAATCGAGCCCTCTTCACTTTTGCTGCTAGTTGGCGAGTCTTTCTCCTCAGCAATCCTCGGTAGCTGGCTCGAGTTAGGCAAGCTCATGGCAACACTTGCGATATTAATAGAGATGCCGTGGCCGAGTTTGGCGTAATCAGCTCCAAGGCTCTTCTGTTGTTCTATTGGAGGCTTCTTATCGAGTTTAGGTGCTTCTTCTTTGCCGTCACCGCCATCGTCCGAACTCTCTGGATATGTGCTTTGGGCAATAGACATTCGTGGCGTTACTTTCACTACGTTGTTTGCCAATGGCGAAATTGAGGTCTTGATCTCGGCTGAACGTGGGTGGAGTCTATCGGGACTGAGGGCACGTCGAAGCAAGGGAGAGCCCGGTTCTGCTGATTTGGGTCGCCCGTACGTCTTTTTCTGGCTATTGGGTGTTGACAAGGAGGCGCCTGTATCAAAATAAAACCATTAATTTTCAGTTGAATGTAGACTTACTAAGGTAATAACTATGGTGAGTGTTGGTGTGTGGTGGTATAGCTTACCTGGACTATAAGACTGGGTGGTATTGGAACTGCCCGGCTGATGTCCAGTAGGGAATGCAAGCGGGCTAGGACTACGCGTTGGACTCGCTGGGATCGGCGAAGGACTAGGTGTCCTTGCAAGTGGTGAGAGCGGAATGTGTCCGACTGATTTCCTTCGATTCGGCGAGTGGATATTTTTTGCAGCGGTATGCAACTTGTGCTTGAGTCCATGTAACGTGCTCGGCCTCTGATAGTGGGCCTGACTGCCCAAATTGTTGCCACTGCCATTGCTACTGCTTCCTGTACCATTACCACTGGTGCCGCCACCTCCTCCAAGGGAGCCACTCGAGTTGGATGACGATGAATTAGAGCTTGAACATGGACTCACGATACCTATTTACAATTTTAATTATGTCAAGAACATTGGAGCTATTTCTTTGAAACATGAGTTTGAAAAACATAATGATTTTGCAATAATGTGTTTATTCTTAAGTTATATACCAGTCGAATGATAAGTTTCAGAGCTAGGACGGTTCATAGGTGGGGACGGACTGAAGTGAGATGGACTTTCTAGTTGCTGTTGTTGCTGTTGCTGCTGTTGAACTGAGCGAGCAAATGACTGGAAGGAGCGAGTTGGAGTTATCAAAGATGGAGAACATATGCCTGCTGCCATCTGAAACAATATTTATATTACAGTATCAAGAAGTTATTCAAGCAACAAACTTAAAAACCATTTTATTGATATTGTTCGACATTATGTTGTTTATTTTTAATGCTAAAATAATTAGATGTATAAAGCAAATTATGGGAAAAACAAAAATAAAAAAGCGTACCATAAGAGGTGGTTTACTGTCACTGGGTAGAATGGGTGCTGACAAAGGACAACTGATACTTAATGGCTGCAATAAAACAAATAAAACTGTGCTTATAATTATGGTTTTGAAGCATTTGCATAATGATGAGTGGAATAAAAATGTATACTATTGATTGATCTTTTCCTAGCATCCATTGATTAAACTTTGAATTTATACCTGTTGCATTTCAACGCTAGCTCTTTTCGAACTTATTTTTCGAAAGAGTGAAGTCTTGCGTTTCTTGTCAGTATGATCTCGTTTCGGTTTTCTCTGACGTTGGTGCAGTGTACGCCTTGCCATTTTACTTTGAGCCGGTTCACGCTTACGACCTCCTGTTTTAATACTCGTGTTTTCTAGCGGTGTACTCCGGAGCGTTACATGATCTCCACCACTGAGCATCAACTGAAGCACTTGAGTGTGATATAAGCCTTGAACTGCCTCGCCATTTATGTGAGTTATTAGGTCGCCGGGTCTTAAACCAGCTTCAAATGCAGGACTGGATTGGTCAACAGCCTATAATCGAATATTGATTTGTTAAGATTTTCATCATTTATCTTTCTACAATGTATTGTAAGAAAATTGTGATCTTAACCATAACCAGGTGATGCATCGTGTAAAAATCACTATCCCCATAATACACCCTTATTGTATGCACCGTAAATCCAAATCCACATGGACCCCTTCTTATAATTATAGGAGGTTTTAAGCTCGTTACTAAAGGGCTTAACTCTCGACACGGTGATGTATCTCGAGATGAAGCTGTGGATGAACCACCTGGAGATTCGATCGCCTGGCTCGAGGACGTAGATGGATCGACTTATTTATTTTATAATAATATTTTATAATTATTTTTTCATTAATACTATAAAATGAAATTAACAATATATATTTTTTATTTAACACTAAAAATACTTACACGAAAAGTCACCAGTAGGTATAACCAATGAGAGACCACTGGTAGACGCAGATTTAATAACAGAGCGTGATTTTTGTTTGCCTGATGGTAATATAGATAAGGCAGTGAATGACTCAAAGGAGTCTGTACTAGAATTGTGCTTATCCTCAGCAATTTCTCTATTTGCTACTGTTAAATCAAGCCTGAAAATATAAAGGATTTTTTCTTAATTATGCTGCATTTTGATTTTTTTGATAATGCTACAAATTAAATTTTTTCTTCTAAGTAGCAAAAATGTTGGAGGTTCTTTTTTTTAAAGGAAAAAGAATAAGTAAAAGCTGTGTACTGTACTGACTTACATGATGTTAGTGTCATCATCGAAGGAAATACTGAACCTGGGAAGCTTTTCACGTGAATGGCCGTGCCGCTTCCTTTGAATCTGTGGACTAATATCATCAGATTCAGTTTGCGAGCTGTCTGGCGTACTATAATAAATTCCAGAATTTGATTTAGCTCCTGGAAGATCTTTCTTCACTACTACTAGTGGATCTGAATTATCTGATGTTCCTGAACTAGTAGATTTATTTAGCTCGAATATTTTCGTGTTACCTGGCGGTGTTATACTGACAATCGTACTACTGACGTTGAAGGAGCTCTTATTACTATGGTCAGCAATTTTTTCCACTGTTTAACAATAAATTTTTTAAAATAATTGGCTATAATCTATTAATTCTTTTCATATTCTTACCTGAATCGTCCAATTTGGATACAGTTTGCGCCATTAAGACAGTTGAATTTAAGGATAATTGAGACACAGTTCTTTCAAGTTCTGATCTGAATAATTGCTTCTTTAACGGATCTGTTTCTATATCTACATTCAAATTTGGCGGACGCGATTGAGAAATCTTACGAGACTGGGGGGAATACGAAGAGAAGGAACCAAATAATGGAGAATCATCGGTATCGTCGGTATCATCTCCTAAATCGTGATTATATCGGTCCATACGCGCTAAAAAAATAATTTGTAACAATTATATTATCAATGATTCTACTAATTGAAAATTCATTAGTAAAGACGTACTATCAAAATAGCTAGTATCTTCATCGTTTGCTAATTGAGGGACAAATTCAGCTTTTTGTCTAAGAAGACTATTCCAATTCACTCCATAAAAATAAGGGTGATCTTTCACTTCATGCGATCCTCCTGTTCCTAATCGTTCTCGAGGACTTTGTTGCAATAATGCTGCTATCACACTTTTTGCTTCTGGTTGAACAGACCAGTCTTCTTCATCTGGCCATTCAATGTCATCTAGAAATAAATTATTTTTATAATATTTCAGATATTTTTAATATAAAAGAAATGTTAAAATATCTTCACCATTTACAGTGTGCGCAAACAGTTCTTCAGGCGTTTCTCCAAAAAATGGAACGCAACCAATAAGAAATTCATATAATATGATTCCCATTGACCACCAATCCACTGGTTTGCCATAACCTTGACGTAGAATAACTTCAGGAGCAATATATTCAGGTGTACCGAAAACTTGTTTGTCGGAAAATTGTCTGGTATCCTTTTCAATATATCCTTCATATAAGTTTGTAGCAACTAAATTTTTTTTTTAATTGACACAATATTATTCTAAGCATATACAAAATGTTTGCATAATGTTGAATAAGTCATTAGATACATACGTGACATCAGACCCATCTTACTTAAGCCAAAGTCCGTGAGTTTAATATGACCCAATGCTGTAATAAGTAAACTGTAAAAGTATGAAAAAAAATTATTTAAATGGAAAATAATTTAAATATTAATATATATATATATATATATATATATATTTATTTATATATATATATTTATTTATATAGTAGCAAACCCCTACTTACTTATCAGGTTTTAAGTCGCGATGAACGATTCCGTAGCTATGAAGATACTCTACAGCAAGAACAGTTTCAGCAAAATAAAATCTTGCCATATCAGGAGGTAATGGACCAATATTTTTTAATAGATTTGCACAATCTCCACCTTCTACATATTCCATCACTAAGCATAAGTGTTTCTGCAAATTTTTTGTAATCGTTATAATAAATCCTGCATCAGTTATAAATTAGATTTACCTACTTTTGTTTCAAAGCTACAATACATGGATACTACAAATGGATTGTCTGTAAAGCTCATAATATCACGTTCAGCGAATACTTGTTCAACTTGATTTCGGAGCATTAAATTATTCTTATTAATTTTTTTCATAGCAAATCGCTGCCTTGTTAATTTTTCTTTAACTAAGTAAACAGCTCCATATGCACCATTACTAATTAATTTCATTATCTCATAATCACTTTCACACGGAACTCGCTGCTGTAATTTCTCTTCATCTTGTTTATTAGGACTTGATGTGGCTAAATGGAGGTTGTGAATGCTAGAACTTACTGAATCTTCAATCTTATTCATTTCTTCTTGCAATTCTGTATTAAATAAAAAAGAAAAATTAATATGTGAAATAAAATAGGCTTAAAAATTAAAATAGTAAATGTTCTCGTAAATGTCTATATATATATATATTTAACTTGACTTACCTGAAATTGGATCACGATTTAAGGATAATTTATTTATTATATACTGCGGAATATCTTTTTCTATTCCAATAGCTATTTTTGCTTGGCCTTCAGCTTGCTCAAGAAGATGATAAAATTCCTCTGGATCAAACTCGAGGCACTCAAGTAAGCGAGCGGGGCGTGAAATTATCAAAAGAAGCTTTTTTATAAGGCCTGTCAATCGCGTTGCTGCTTCTAGTGATTTATCTTTGGTCTATAAAAATTGATAAATATTGATTACAATAATCTAACTTATTACAACACACAAAATAAGAAAACTTCATGTTCAACCTCTATTAAAAGATGTTCCAGATTTTCACTCATTTCATAAAAGTATCTAGTTGTAATTAGTTTCTCTTCTGACTTTTTTAAGCAATCACGAGCCATTTCGATAACTTGATGATGAACAAATCGCAATATTGGTAAGGAATCTTGAGTCATTTGAGCCACTGCTTCGTATTCGTCAATATCCTTGTTTTCATTGATAAAGTTTGTTAAGCGTTCTTCCATTTGTTGCGTTGCCTAAAATATATAATAAATTCTATTGATTTTGAAATTTAAATTGCTTTAAAATAATTGATTTTCAAATTGAATTTGAAATATTTCTTAGAAGTTCAGAAGAAAAATATAAATAACTTGATTTATTTTCTTCGAGAAAAACAAACATTTCTCACTTTCATTAAAACGTCGACGAGCAACATAATGTAAAATATAAGATAAAAGATTCATGTAGGAACTACGTGCATTATTTTTGTAGTGACAATTTGCCAGGGACTCCAAGAACGATGCGTATTAATTAAATGATGAATCATCAGTGCGATATAGAGAAAGAAGGAAGCCGAGGTGTCTTAGTATATAAGTTAAAAAGTACCTTGGGAAAACGCTCTTTGTATAAGGTATTCATCATGACGATCTCACTATCGAGGATAGGCGATCGGCTAGGACTACTGAGACTGCGAGAGCGGGGTCGATGTAACGGAGATTTGCGTCCAGTCTCTTCGTCGACAGCATGAGATACGTTGCTGCCAGGAAAGCCAGGATGAACCGATGAACAGGGTGTGCCAGGTTTAGAAAAATGACAGGACAGCATTCGTAACTCATCCTTCGTCGGAATATTCGGAAGCTGATGAAGACGCTCCTGGCTTGAACATTGAGACTGCGGACAAAGAAGACTCGGATGTGCGAGAATCTGAGATATAAGGAATGGGGATCAACATACCGAAACATTACTGGATCCAGGAGTGGTACCGTATCCACTAGAAGGTAAACTGGCTACTGACCAACGCCTTCCATCTCCTGAACTGGTCGGAGCCCCGCCGATTCTGTTTTTTATACATCCAATGATTATTGACATTTTTAGGATTTCGTCTTATGCTTAGCATCTATTACGCATTAAAAAAATAATTCAAGGGCATGAAGATAAAATTAGTACCTTTTTATTGGAACGAAAGCAAAGTGTGGACTGGATGACATCCTAGGACTTTCCAAAGGACTGCCTACAATTGGGACGAATGCTGGGTTGCAATAAAAATAAAAAATACTAAGAATTAAAAATAATATAACCTCATAAAGTAATATGAAGGTGAAGCCAGTTATTAAGCTATTGGGATTTTTATAACTGTTAATATTGCCAGCAATCATAATGCTGGCATAAACTACTGAGCCGCAATTATGAATAAATAACACTTGCCAAGAAATTTGTAAAATTTTGTCACGCTACCAAATTTTAACAACATGCTATCCTATAGATTTTTCGAGGTTGTTTTATTGAAAGTCTTGAGTTTAGGATTTCAATTGATTTTAATTTTCTATTAAGTGATAAGCATACCTGACAAGGGAGAGTGGCATCGTGGAAGAGTTGGAGATGTCGTTGAAATAAAAGATTTTCGATGGGATGCTTTAGCTGCTCGCCGTGACACGTTTAAATCTCGCTATAACATCACAGTAGTTGGAGGTATTTATTCAATTGCATATTAAGTTTATTATTACAATAAATACTTACCATATGAATTGAAAGAGATGGTGCTGATTTTCCTATAACGGAATTACGCATACGTACCAAGTTTGAGAGCTCAGAACTTACTGCAAATATTTTATACAATTATAATGATACATATATTATTTGAGCTTATCAAAAAAAGATTTAAATTTAAAATTCTTTACAGCACTTTGATCAGGATTTTATGTTTCAATTGTTATCCTTAAGCATCAATTTATTAATAACTCTAATTCCGTACATTAAAATTTAATATTATTTTATAAGATGTCAAAAAGGCATTTTCTTATTTTATGCGAAAATAGATTTATATATGTTGTAAATAATCAATAATACGAAACTAATCTGTTACCCCATATTATAATATTAAAGTTATGCATATGTGAAATTAAAAAAATTTTTTTTTAATATACATATAAAAGTTTTTCCCAATATTATATTTCAATATACATATATACTCTTAATAAAATTATACTCTGAATAAATGGATTTTAAATAGTAATTATAAGTAGTTAACGTTTTATTGTATTACAGGAAGACTTATTTTTATTATTAATTTTTTTAATATCAAAGAAATGTTAAAGAATTTATGTACGCTAATATAGAAAATACAATAAACAATCATAATCAATATATGAATAAAAATAAAGTCATACCTGGGCGAACTGGAGCTTCCTTACTTTCAACTTTTGCTGTCGATATTAGTTTACAAGGTACATCAGCTTCCATTTTGTTAGCAACTTGTTCGGTTTCTGGTTGATCAAAAACTAGAACTCGAGCAAAATTGCTATAGGTACGAAATCGCGGCCTACTTGGTCTATTCTTTGGTTGATCCATGACTTAACAACTCCCTAACAAGAAAAAGATTTATTATAATTCTGTAAATATTCTTGAAATATTTTTTTAGATAAAAATTTTGAAATTTTAGTTTTTATTTTTAAGGCTTAAATTTAAGTCAAATTAGAAAAAAGTAGGTAAACTTTTGTCTTACATTACACATTTGTGTAACGTAATCTATATGGGTAAGAAAATGTTTATTAATTTTAAATGAATTACAAAATGATTGTTTTTTCTTAAATGTAGATAATTATTCTCAATTTATTTTTAACAATGATTTAATAATAGTTATTATTAATATAAAAGAACATATATTTTCAACAATCATAAATGAAATATCAGATCAGAGTTAAAAAGTCTCCAATAATATATATATTTAATATAGAACATCTAATATAAAACATTCAAGCAAAAGAATCAATTTGTCTTATTATTCAAAATAATAAAATAGTAATAACATATTAATAACACAAACGCTGGCACATATGTTGATTGCTTTATATTTTAGTCTGTAATTGTTTTATTCAACGGACAATATCATATGCCAGTCATTAATATTGTATAAATAAATCTCAAATAATTCCTCCATATAAAAAAATAAATACAGATTTATAACACCTCAAACGGTATCGAATGGATTTTATTAATCAATGTCACTCTCAAAATCAAAATCAAAATATAAAATATTGCCAAGAACAGCTATTTTCTGTCATTCTAGTAGTAAATTTATACATACTAAAGATACCTTTTAAGTTCAATAGTTTTTATTAATTGCAATCAAGTAAATGATAATAAAGAACATCTAAGTTTCGAAATAAAAAAAAACAAAGAATTAAACATAGAAAAAATTAAAAACCTGGTATTTAAAAACAATAATATTGAAAGTATTATGCTTATGAAATTATGATAAAAATTCATAAGAATATTAATTTTTTATTTGTGCTTTTAAAAATTACTATAAATATTATTGGATATTTTAGTTTAAAAATATATTTACAAAATTTAATATATATAATATAATTTTCCTTGAATCTAGTAGTTAAAATTTTAGTTTGTTGGTACGATGTTAATGTTAAAGAATTCATAAGTACGAACGAAGGCATTGGTAAAAAATGTAATAATAAAAATTAAAAAATGATTAAATACTAGATTACATAAATGTACATTATAACAATAAAATATGGCTTATAAAGCATACTGTATTATGTAAAAATATCAAGTTGAAACAAACTTTGTTATAAAATATATGCTTAAATACACGAAAAAAAGTAAAAACAGACAATCTTTTTAATATTTAAAATTATTATCAGATATTATATAATAATAACTATGTTTCATTTATTTTTCTATTTTCTGTAAAATGATACTGATATTTGTTAAATTACATTTGCCATTACCATAAGCAATTTATTAATATACTATAATTCGCATAGAATGAAAATATTGATTATAATACTGATTATTGCAAATGTAACAATATTTTTAATAGTCATAGCATTTATTTTGACATTTATTTGTAAATGTTAAGAAATAATTATTCAGTATCTTATGCTCTATCTATTTTCTTATGCTTTTCTTAGGTAATGATTTTAAGAGACTATTCGGATCATTTTAATTTAAAATATCACCATTTATCGAATGAATGGTTTTATAAAAACTTTAGAAATAAAAATGTTATATGTAAATAAATGTTATAACAAAAATTGAGTTAGCTCTATATTAATAATATCGACATAATATGATATTTCCTATCCCTTTTTTGTGAGGACATTATTTTTTATAAAACGTAAAGAATCCAACCCCAGCGTTTAAAATAAAACTAATTAAAAATAAATTGTCCTATTAACTTATTTCTTCCGTATTCCGTATCTCATCTTTTAACATTAAATGTGTATAAATTTATTAAACAGTAAATTATAAACAGTAAATTTTTATACAGTATTGAAATATTTTTTTTACTATGATTATTTTCAAATTGAGTTACCTACTATATATTATTTTATAACATGTTTTTTTACTAATTTTTGTACATTCTTTAATGTATTTTTTTTATTATTTTATATTAATTTTTGTGTCAAATTAAATAAAAATATAACAAAAACGATATCAATAGAAAAAATTTCTTTCTCTTTAAAGTAAGTACTACAAAGAGTTTAATAATTATAAAACAATAGAAAAGATTATTTTATTAAATATAATAAATTTCAAGTTAAGAAAAGTACAGATAATGTTTCCCAGATAATATGTGTAGTATACGAGTATCTACGTAGGCAAATGCAAGTTCAGATAATGGTCACAGAACAGGCAAAACTACATGGACGTATGCGTATTATATATTCATAGATATAATGTCTGCTATCACACAGACCTATTGTTTTCAACTTTCCTTAATGTTTATATTCATAAAAAAGTTTTATTTCATGGCCATAATTTTTTATATTTATTTTTATTATCAATTATTTATGTAATATTAATATGTAAATCGACGAATAATTTAGGTAGCAAATCAAATATGAGATTAAAAAATAAAAATTATAAAATGCTTATTTTATTAATTGTAAATATATTTATATATATATAATCTAAAATTAAATATAAACATATATTAAATACTAAATTTATAAAAAAATATAACGACAAAACAATATTTAAAAAATATGAAAACTATAGAGTTAAAAATTACTGAAGCAATTTTTAATTTTAAAGATATAGATTATGCACATAAATATAAATTTAAAAAGAAATTTAAAATACAAATAAAAATTTACGAACGTAATTGAATTCTGATTTATTATTTTCTAATGCAATAAAACTACAATTAGTATTGAAGAAAAATTGGAGAAGAAAATGCAAATATATGGTAATTTATTAAACTGTTCGATGTTAACTTTATTAAATTAAGACTAGTATTAGTACAAATTATACGGTATACATAATATTTGCGATTAATTATACTGTAATAAAAATTCGAAGGATATATTATTTTTTATTTGCTACGTTTACTATATACTTTTTCTGTTTCGTAAAAAATTTATAGAAATGTGAGATTAATTTAATACTTTCAACGTATAATAATTTATTATGCTAATAAATTATGTTTTCATTTCACTTTCGTATTTTCAATAAATTAAACAAATTCATCTTTATTATTTTATGGAAATTATTGCTTTATACGGTTAAGGAATAAAGATATTTATTTTTGTTTACTTTTATTTATTCCACATATTTTCGTTACATCCTCCTTTCTTCTTATCGTTTTATGTAACGAATTATTTATCATCTTATTCTAAGATTTTTAATAGATCTAAATTTTAATCACTAATATATGGGATTTAAAGTTATTATGTACATATTACATCAATATATTACCGTATTCGTATGCATTATATTTAGTGTAATTTTATATAAGGTTTTCTTTTTATAAAAGATATAATATAAGATTTTAACGAATTTCAAATTTACCTACTATTACTAGAATTAAATAAATTTGAATATTTTGAATTCTTATTTACTATTTTACAATATTTTGAACGTATAAAATTTCAAAATTTTCTCTAAAATTCGTATTTATATGTTGAAGTTAAAATATTTAAAAAATCTTAATTGAACAAAATTATTAAAAAAATGTAAAATTGTAAAATAAAATATTGTATTAATAGATACACACGTCAAAGGAGATGTGTATGTTAAGTCAAAATTAAAATTTTAGTCTAAATTTCGTAATAGCTTTCTGGATATTTAAGTCATAATAATGTATTTTTCAACCGCAAGTAATTATGTGTGATTATACGTGTAAGTATGTGTATAATATATTCTTTACAAATATTTAAATAAATATCTAGATGAAATCAATATAAAGTTTTTTTTTCAAATACTGATTGACATTTGAAACTAGAATGTATATTCTTAGTATTGTTCTTTCAGTTTAAAATTATCTATAAAAGTATTACATATAAATTTGGTTATTTAAATTAAGCTATTACCTTTGAACATAATTAGAGAAATATAACGAACATTTGCTTGTAAAAGGTTTACAAAATGATAATATATTAAAGGATAATGCACAATAGTAATAATGTACCAATACGATTTAATGTAATAAAATAAAAAAAAAAATAATAATAATAAATAATTGTAATTGATATTTTCGTAGTTTTATTAAAAATTGCATAATAAATATTAGGGAATTTTTAAGTCGTATATATATTGTTGTTAACGTTAACCTAACCTTCTCGATGCGAAATTGTGAACATATCCAAGCTCCACACTCGTGTCGACCTCTGATTTTATACAAATCTTTCATTATTAATATGGATTAAATTTGTATGTTAAATAAAGGATGATTTAATTTTTTTTTTTTCATCAATAGAAAATTTTGTAAAAAATATGTAGGATGTAGTCAATTAAATTATATTAATAATATTATGTTTCACATTTATTTTTATAACACAGCAAAAAATTTACATTTGTTTTCATTGGAAAGAATTATAGAATTAAGTGTACTTTTAAATCTGATTAATAAGCAACATTAATAATTAGTGTTAAATATTGTTTGTAATTTTATTTTATCTAGTAATTTATCAATGTTCAATAAAACAATAATTGATTAAGAGGTATAGTAAGAATGTAAAAATTCTAATTCGCCAGCACAGATCAATATATAAAAACATTTATTGAAAATAGTATTAGTTGAGATAAATCAAACTACAGGTAGCAATTATTTTTTACTTTTCTTCTGTTAAAATATTTTAAATATATTTAATATATTTTTAATTTTATTATTATTATATAATTATTATATAATATATAATTATTATTAATTGCAGAAAAAAATAGCTAATTTTGTAAACTTTGTTTGCATTATCTTTTAACAAAAATGTATAAAAAAAATTATATTTTTTTTAGTATTTAACAATAAAATTTTTAAATCAGTATTTTCCTGGCAAAGTAATCTTGTATGCGTTATAAAATTTAAAATCCCCCTTAATGGCTGATAGTTTGTTCAATTAAAATAACAAGAAACAAAAATTGTATTTTAGTAACCTCTTTGCCATTAGCTCATCAAATATAGTATAATATTCTAATTACTTACTACAATTGAAAAATAATATCATATGAGATTTATCATATAATCCTTTGATCATTATATATATATATATATATATATATATATATATATATATATATTATTAAAGGTAAAAATTATATAACAAAACTTCTTTATATCCATACACTTTCAATTAGATTATTAGAAGGACTATGAAACCCGAGTTTCATAATTTCACTTTATATCATACTTTAATTTTTGCTATTTTAAAATTTATTTATCATTGATTCTGATAAAATATTCTACATTAGAAATCTTAATTTGGCAAATACCACTTAAATTAAATTCATATTTGTGCAATAATTTTTTTAAAATTGAAATTATTTATATTTTTATGTTGTATGCTATGTTCAAAGTTGGTTATGGTTAATTTTATTATTTATTCCTTTTCACTAATAAATATGTTTAATGTAGAAATTATTTGCTTTTGTTTCTGTTTATAATTGAATTTCTAAATTTATAATAAACTATATTAATATTTTTATTTTATTTAATTGACTATGTAAAATCTAATGAAGTCTTATAATTTGTAAACTACAAATTCTTAATAAATTTATTTGAAGTTATATGTAAATTGAAATAACAATTTTAAAACAACTTGTGTATCAGTTTTAAATAAAAATTTTATATTTAAACAACCTTGAATGTCAATTTGAAGTAAAGTAGATAAAACCGTTTGGTAAAAAGCATTAAAGATCAAATGTATAGAAAATTGACTTTAATGTTATTCTAGAAATTTACAAAAATGTAAATATATAAATTCATGTTATAAGTATTATATATGCATATAAGTAAAGAGTAAACATTTCAATAGATAGGATTATTTATTGCTTTTTACTGATATTATTTTATCTCATTTGTTTATTATATAGATTTTGTATCGAGCTATTATTATACAGAAATAGATTAGTTAATAAATAAAAAAATAATAATGCAAAATTCAATTTAACTAAAGTTAATTTAAAATCAATGTAGAAATACTCTTACTTACACCTCCATTAATATGAATTTCCAATAAACATCTAAAAAATTTAAAAATACATAAATATATAAACATTTATGTAAATACTATGAATTGATTAAATTTTTAATACAATGAATTCAACAAGGATATGGAAAATATTAATAATAATTTACAACTAATAGTAAAGAATTTTGCATTGACGTTAATTTAAGAAATGAATTTTAATTATTTTCTGTTTATGTTTTACAAAGAATATGTTAAATAATACTTTTTATATAGCAACATTCACAGCTTAGACTCATATTTAATTAAAAATATTTTTTTAAATTTTTAATATCAACATTTTATATTAAAAAAGCATTAGTTAAATTAATGTTTTAAAGACTATTATAATATTTTTGTTTCATTTTTATTAAAGCAAACATTATGATGGATGAGATATTAAAATTATAAAATTTTTATATTTCAATCAATATATTTGTTTGTTTCCTCCAATTTGAATTTCTATCAGTTATATACTGATTATAAGTTGTGTTGCCTTCCTTCAAAAGTTTCAGGTAACTATAATTTATTATTATTATTATTTACAAACTTTACATACACACACACGCGCACACACACACACACACATATATATATATATACATATGCATGTGTGTGTGTGTGTGTGCGCGCGCGCGCGCGCGTGTATATTGATCTGTCGCGATGATAAATTAATACCTAAAAAAATTAGTCATTTATAAAGAAGCTTAAAGTAGTTTTGTAAGGTATTATGGTTGATTATGATAAGTTTAGAGATAAATACGTTAATACAGTCGGTGAAGTGTAGGTCTGCAAAGAAAATCATTTTCTCTAGCACAAAATGACGAATTGTTTTCTTTCGTAACTTCGTCGCAGTTCTCGAGGCAGACACAGGCACTGGTGCGAAAGCGTACAGAAACAACACATGGTTGATGTCATGTAAACTATAGGCTCACTGCTGAAACGTAAACAGAAGCAATAGAGCCGCGACAGCTATATTCCGGTATTGGTGATGACGAGAGGTTCGTGCTAGCACGTGGATGGCCTTTTTCGAGGACGCAACAAACGAAAATGGATCGATCGTACGTTCGACTCACCAGTGAAAAAACTAAGTCACACAAACAATCGACTTCTACGAGACAATTTGAGTACAAACAGCCGCGTTGTTCGTTGGGGTGGGGCGGAGCGGAGCGGGCGAGCAAGGGGAGTAGAGTCCTAGATCAAGTTTGCCGTGTGGCTAAAGGAAATAAAGTGGGAGTGCGTATGAGAGTGGGATATAGAGAGTGAGTGAGTGAGAGAGAGAGAGAGAGAGAGAGAGAGAGAGAGAGAGAAGTCTGTAAGGCCTGGTAATGGGAGTGCGCAAGTGGAAGGGGGTGAGCGATCTGTCGGACAGGCTGTATGAGCGAGCGCAATTACTCACCTGGACAGTTGGTCTTGGACGGATCGTGACTAATGGGTGTGTGGGCGAGATCGAGGACCGCGAGAAACGAGCGTTCGGGCAGAAGCATCGGCAGCCGAGGCCGCGGTGCCTCCCGAGCCTCGACGACCACGATCCGAGAGCATGTCGAACTCTTGGATATGTGTTCCTGGGGCGGTGGCAGCCAGATGGACAGCCTCCCACCCTTTGAGCCCCAGCCCGTGGAGTTCCGTTAGCAGCAACACCGTGAGGAACACTATATCCTCTTACGTTGAGCGCAACCGCGAGACTGCGTGAAAGCTCGAACCCGAAGCGAGCCTATCTACTTTAAGTGGGACTTGAGAGATGACGGGTGCGCGCGCGCCAAACGTACTAAGAGAGCACACTAGACTGCACCAGCCAATGAGCCTTCGTACAATCTGCTTTATCGGGCGAACGAGCCCCTTCTGTCCCTCGCTCTTTTGCCCTTCTATTTTGCCTCATTGTATACCACTTTTACACTTTCCTTTATTTAGCTACCGCTGTTTCCGTTTTCCAAGTTAAGAGGGTGATTATCAATTTTGTCAAACCCTTCGGAAGTTCACGACCCCAACTGTAAAGTTATTATAACTAATGATAATTAATAATAAATTTTCTTAATGTTGTACGATGGCATTCTTTTTTCTTGTCGCTATTATCTGTTATTGCTATGGTATAGTTACATCAATGCCAACTCTGTATGGATTCTGAGGTACAATACTTTTACTTCGTTTACAAGCATTGTTAATTGTAATATAATAATTTTGATACACACGTTCGAATTCATTCCCTTCTTTTCATACAAATAAATAAATTCTTTTTAAATATAACCAAATAAAAACAATGCAAAAATATTTTTAAAAATGATTGACAAATACTTAAGAATGTAAATTCATAACATCCTAGAATTACGCTTTTGATTTAATCAGAAATTTCTATTACTATTTGTTACAATAAAATTTTATTACCTACAAAAATAAATAATATAATCTAAATGTATTTTTACACTTTACCTCTCTTACATTAACTTTAGATATTTTAAATTGTCAGCACTAAATTTGTATTTTATTATCATAATTTTATCATAAATCTATTGATTTTCAATAAAATATAATTACATGTTTTTCTTATCTTGCTTTATTAAAATAATATTTCAAGATTATTAAAATATTTAATTTACTTCTTACATATATTGCTCAATATTTTACTCAGTGAGAAAAAATATTAATAGAATAAAGCATCCATTTTTTTAAAAAGTATTAATAAAATGTTAAGCACATTATTTTGTTATTTAATGTCAACTTATCATATTAAATTTTTTTTAATTATGAAATTATTTAAACAAATCTTAGTATACAAATATATATATAGTACTTTTATTGTAAAACAGTGGTGGAAGATAAAAATTTTTTGGAGTAACTTCACCTCTCCGACTAGTATCTATAAAAATGTAAATATTTTTTTTATCTTATGTTCATATTAAATATTAATATAATAAAGATTATTATTAATCAGTCCACAATAGTATACTCGGCATCATCTAATCTTGCTTTTGATTTTGGAGGATTTAAATCTTCAATTTCTTCATTATCAGAAGAACTGAGAGATCTTTTATTTATTCTTTTCATTGTCTGATCATCACTGTCTTCATCACTACTTTCTTCATCATCATCGTTGCCATTTTCATTATCATTGTTAATATTATTACGATTCACAATCGATGCATTATCAGAGTCTTTAAATTCAAGAGGTCCACTATTTACATAAAAACCTCCATGAACAGTGGTTACTTCTTCAGGTACAATTTCATCATAAGCATCAGTATTGTCTATAAAAGAATCACTTTCATCATATCCTGCTCCTAGATCAACGTAATCACTTTTTTTGCGATTTCCATACTTTGATTCAAAATATCTAGCCACATCTAGTATTTTCTCATCATCCTCTGTATCCTCAAACGGAGTTAGGCCATTGGTAACACTATTTTCATCCTTTTTTTTATCTTTCCGTCGTTTCTTTTCAGCAGATTTTAAAAGTTGTGCATAATTAAATTCCGGACATTTTTCTTCATTGGATTCGGGAAGATTGAGCACAAAACGAAAGGACGGTGCTATTTGTTTAATCTTCTCAGACTTCTTTGATGTTTGACTACCATGATCAACACTTTGTAAAGGTACACGTTTTATCTCAGCCATTATGAGGATTTTTGTAATTATTAAATTTTATGTTACTGTTACTAGATTTGAAAAGAAATAAAATATTTAGAAATTATAATTAAAAAGCTTATGAATAAGATGCATTTTTTAAATTTATTAACCTTTCCTGACGAAACTAATTCTTCACGTCTATTTTTTATAGAATTAAACATTATCAATATATTTTTTTTTAAACTTTTAAAAGATATAAAATTAACAATTGGTAATTATAGTAATAAAAAATGAACATATGTTTGATAATTTAGTTAGAAAAAATGACAAACGAAGTTTTATACAACAAAACATTAAAAAATTTTCCAACAGCTGACTTGTTGAAATTGCGCATGCGTATTTTATAAATGCATATGGCGCTTATCACAGTAAATTTAATTTTTTGTATATTACTATAAAAAGTTCATGTACGGGAATAAATATTAAATATTTCAGTGTAGGTGGCTAATATTTTATATTAAATAATTTTAAAGCATAAGAAAAATTTCAATGCTAAAATAAGTAATAAAAAATCAAAATTATTCTTCTAGACATTATTCGTTTATTGAATTAAAACTAATAAAAGAAATGAAAATATCAAAATTCAATTTATATAATATTTATAAAAATAAAGAAAGTATAATATCAGTTTTGGCATTCTTTATTTTACTTCTTCCGTTGCAATTACAGTCTAGTTGAAACAATTATTTTGATCTCGCAATAGACAATTTATAATATTGCATATATAGCGCATTTATGATTATAATAGCGCAAGAGAAGCGTTTCCAAATTTAGTTAATAATTTTTTTAATACCTGGCTTTTGTATATATAAATTTATACATTACCAAACTAGCAAATGCAATTAAATATAATATGATCATATTTTTGCACATAATGATGAATAAAAATGACGAATAAAATTTTTTTTATATGAATACAGAAAATATTTAAATATAAAGGATTTCTATCGTAAATACTAAGAAAATTGAAAATGGAGGTATTTGTATTCTAGTTGATTGCAAAGTGAAAGTACAATTGGCTTTACTTTTCTTTGTAAACAAGATTTTTTTAATTTACTGGTATAATAAGAAAAGTTATATTGACTGTTTCATTCGTTACAGTATATTATCTTTTTGAAAAATTGCATATCAACATACGAAACTAATATCGATTAGCCCTTTAATTTATTCGTACATTTTCATTTTCACCTAATTATTTAAACTTTTTCTTTATGTTATGATACCGCACTGAAATATTCTCGTGCATTAAATAAACCTTATATAATTTGTTTTTATCCTTACTGTTAGAAATCTAATTATACATTGAATTTTTTTATTTGTTCTAATAACTTAAAAGTAGCCAAAATTAAATTTATGTATGTTAAAACTTGTAGCCGAATTTTGAAGAAAAGTTTTACAAGAGTTGTGTGACAAAATATAAGTTAGACAGTCTAATTTCATTTATTTATTAGATTTGAAACTGGAGACCTTGAATACCGTCTTTAATATTATATTCGAATATGACAATCTACGCATGCATAATTTGATAAAAATAAGTAACTGTTCAAGGGTCATTAATTTTTCAGTGTCTCTTTGAGTTCTGATTACAATTTTGTGCATTAAGCAATATTAAACAATTGAATATTCACTTAAATTTCAGATATAAATTATTTCTTTTTTATATTCAATTTTAGTTTATAATAAAAAGATATTCAAATAATTATAATAAGAAGATAATCGCAAATATATAAATTAAATCGAATATTTTGTTTCATCTGTTTTTAAACATATACATATTTATTCATTTTTGTATACTAAAATTTTTTTACACATATTTATGTAAAAACAGATGTGTATGTATGAATGCACGCATTCAATAATATACAAATCAAATATATTAGATTAAGTATATATCAATTTTTGTGGGATAATTGTTACTCATTCGGACGGCGGCATGCCTTGATGTAAAAATAAGACATTACAATAAAACATCAGATATTTCTCTTTCAGTCTCGACATTCTCGTGAGTTTTCATACAGTTTTTCTGATTTGCTTTGACAATTTAACGATCTTTAAAATTTCTATTTTATTTCAGCAAAAAGTAACATAATGTATTGATACTTAATAAGTATGTACATATTAAAATAATATAACAATACGCTCACTACTATTTAAAAAAAAACATTAATTACCATTTATAAAATATATCAAATTTATATATAATTGTTAATAATTTATAAAAATTTGAAGATAAATTTAATACTAAAAATATATTTTATTTAAAATCAAAATAATTTTTAATAAATATTTAATTGTCTAGTATTTTCTGAAATAGTTTATAGAATTTTAGAAAATTGATAAAATAAAGTGAATAATTATGATTATAAATAAATTCACTTGTATTAATATAAAATAATAATTTTCTAATTTCTTTAAAATACTAAAAATGAATCGAAATTTAATATTTTTCGTACGTAAATTAGACTAAACGAGGCGTGATGCGTTACAATTAATGGTCAATGATTAAAATTATAATACAATTTATAATAAAATAAATGATACTTTTCGGGCTTTAGCAAAAGCTGTCAACAATGTAAGCTGACTACGTTTTTATTATGTAGAATTCTATTTGATAAATTACTTTAGAACAAAATAAAATTGGTATATTACTCATTTTTATTTGATAAAAAGGTCAAATAAATGGTTATATGTTTAGAATATACAATTCAATAAATCATTAAATTTAATTTAAGAATATTTCATCATATTAGTTTTTTTGTAATAATCTTTGAAATGATAGTAAATTTCATTTGAAAACAATTAGGGTGAATTATCATTTAAATTTACTTCATAATGTATACCATGCATAATATGGGGGAGTATACCTTAAGAGTTAAATTTTAATACTGATTCACGTTGTTTAGAATAAAATCACTATGCATTGTATATAAATCTTTTAGACGATAATATATTCAAATTATACATATGAATACATACACGCATATATATATATATATATATATATATATATATATATAATGATACTTATAAAAAATTGTTTTATAATAATATAAACCATAGAAATTTATTTGAATTTATTAAATAAAACCAAATATTGTTATAACTTATGAATTGTATTAAAAAAAATTAGAGATTATAACACTTGTCATAAAAAAGCACTAAAAATAATCAACATAGATTATCATATACTTTTTGGTAAAGGGTATTGTGATAAAAAGATTATTAACACGGATCAACGAGGCATTTAATTATGATAATGATGTCGATAATAATTATAATAATATAATACTAATATAATAAAGTAATATAATGATAAAATAATAATAATAATAATAATAATAATAATAATAATAATAATAATACGAGTGAGCACAAAGCATGAAATGTCGATTTTTTAAAAATAGATTAACATTACAAGAGTCCAGAATTCAATAACTTTCCGCAAAAAGAAAGGAAGCAAAAAGGATGAAGAAAAAAGTAATTGAGAAAAGAATTGTAGATTTCAATAGATATATAGTAATCTAATAACAAACTATTTTTTCATTTGATCAAAATAAATGAAAAATTGTTCATAGAGTACAATAAAGCATAATAGTAATTACACAAATTACATTCTCTTTGTTTCCTTCCGTTTTAATAACTGATAAATTGACTTACTTTCTCTTTCATTCTTGTTCTCTTAATAAACAACTACTTGTATAATGTCAAGCAGATTAAACATTTTTCACTTCAATTATACGACTAGCTGAGGCCTGTTTGTTGAGATGAAAAAGTGACATAAAAAGTCACGTGATATCACCTAATTTACTTTTTTTCTAATTTTCATGCATTCAATCGCTCGCCTTCTTTCTTTCACTCTTGCTTTCAACGCTTGAATTTATGATCACACGTGTACTAATAGAAAAAGGCCTCTATATCCAGTTTTACAATTATCATTAGCTACAAGTAATTCAATTATTCACAATTTACTTCTTGAGACGTACATACTCATCATTACACGGCAGCACACATTTGACACTTGACTATACTCAATAGAGCTGCTTCTAAATGTCATTATGCATCATAATAATGACGACAATAATTATTTCATCTATTAAAATACATAAAATATCTATGATTGCATAATTAAAAGTTTTCTTGGCAAATTACATAAATCAATAAAAAAGTATTATGAAGAGGAAGCAGTCGATGGCCGACTAATAATTTCAAAATATGAAATTACTTCGGAATTAGTTTTTAAAAAATGTTAAAACAAACGATTTTACTGCATTTACTTGTTTTTTTTTATGATTCGTTTAAACGAAATACAAAATAAAACAAAACAAAAATAATTATGAAATAATTTTTCTGTTATTGTTGTCAACATACAATCAATCAAAATGCGCAGCATTTTTCATCGTTCAAAATAAGTGAAGAAAGATTTAAGATAATTAGATAAAAGTTCGGCGTGTTCAAGAGTGTAGACATACACCAGCTTGAGATGCCTTCGTCTCAGAGGCTCGCGTACACATTCGACAATTTAACATACAAAAAGACAAACGTACATACGTGCATACAGACAAACGTACAGACGGACACACAGACAGAGAGACAGAAACAGACAGACGGACAGGCAGGCAGGTAGAGGAAAAAGATTAATCCAGCTGCGACTCGGTGCTGTACTGCTGGGGCTCCCCAGGTGGGGTGCCATCGTTGGAGCTGTTGCCAAGTTGCGGCGTTGCTGGCGTAGCGGGCTGCATCTGTGGCGTCGCACCGGCCGTCTGCGGGGCGTAGATGAGCCGATAGCCAGCAGGCAAAAAGAAACTGCCGTGCGGTGCGTAGCTAAAGGCCTGCAACGCCGGCTCGTGGTAGTGAATGTAGCCAGTCGAGCCGGCCGAGCTCCCGGCCATTGCGCTTGTGACTAGAGTACTCGTCGAGCTTCCCTAAGTAATCATAACAATCTCAAAGTCAACAAATGTAACTCAAAGCTCTTGAGCAGGCTAAATGTGACGAAAGCTAATGATCGAAAAAATAACTTTTCTTCTGACAGTGCTTTAAGCTGTTCTTCATACTTTCAATTGCTAAACTAATTTCTATTCAGAAATCTTAATAGTTATATAACTAAATATTTGAAATCCGTAAATATGTAAAATGTAAATAGATCTTAAAAATTAAGTAGAACAAAAGATATGTTAAAGCTGAGCCATAAGAGTCAATGCATTGATAAAAAGTTTGTTTGGGGACCTGTGTTGTGACGTCTGGCAACGTAGTAGGACCAAATTGATACTGCGACTGTCCGAGCACCTGGGTTGTTGGGCCATTGGTCGACACAACTCCGACATCCGGTATCTCACTCGTGGCCGACGTCTGAGCGGAGCTTGAGATGCTTTGGAGATTTTCCGAAGGCACTATTGGCACTGGTATGACGTAAGCGTGAGGAATAGCCGAGCCGGCGCTCTGCGCCGGCTGCTTCAATTTCTGCGTGGCCAGCCGCAGTGTCTCCTCCGTGTCCGGGGAATAGCTCAGCTTTCGCTGCATTGGTGTTTGTGTCGCTGGACTAAACATTATGTAATCTTCTAACCCGGGTACCCTAGATTGACCTGTTGACACAAATGTTTCTATTTTGTATTCTATTCCCACCTCTTTTTGAATCATAATTTATAAATAAAATTTTTAATAAATGTTACCTGTTATAGTGTGATAAAGTAAAGGGTGGTGTTGATGAAAAGCACTAGCTTGCTGCTGTTGTTGTATCAATAATTGCAGTTGGTGTTGTTGAAAGCGCTCTAATTCCTCTCTATGCCTTCTTTGAAGAGTTTCCAATTCCATTGTTTGCCTACAATATGTACATGTTTATAACTTATTTAAATAGCTTTTTACAAAAAAATTTACCTTTTTATAAGAAGTTGATATTCTTCACTAGGGGTTAGCGATGGGAATCTTTCTTCTTTTTCATATTGCTGTAAAATGATACATTTTTCAATAATTTTTATAATTAAAATTTAGATAATATAATTTTAGATGAAGTACCTCAGATAAGGGAACGTTACTCGAAATTGAATTTTGAATTGGAGGAGCAGAACCTTCTCGACTATGTAACATTTGGATTGGCGTTGCACCATCTATAAAATATTTATTTTTAAATAATTTTTTAATTACTTAATATTATAAAAAATAACCAATCATCATTAGATTAGATATTTTTTTACTTGAATGTTCATCAGTATGACAGGATCCTATACATGTTCTACTCTCCACATTTTTTCCGTCGTCTAAACTCTGATTTTGTGATGATGTTTCATTCGTAGGTGGACCAGCCACTTTTGAAACCATGAACCTAGAGATTTTTCTCACTGGCTGATTAAGCGTGATGCGCTATAATTGATAAAAAATAAAATCAATTCTGTTTAAGTATTAACGAATATTCCGAAACAAATAATATAAAAGGAAATCTTTCTGAATTCATTGATATTTTACAAATTCAACCTATAATAATCACCTCTACGGCAGTGACAGAAGAATTGTCTTGATTTTCATGCGAGATGAAAGTTTCAGCATTAGAGAGGGATGTAACGACGTTAGATGCAACAGGGGCTACTGACACATTATTTAATGGTTGAATAGTTGGAAGAAGTGCTTGTTGTTGGTACGGTAGATTTTGAGCTGGTGCAGAATAAATCATTGTCATTGGTGCAGAGATTATTGAATTTTGAGAAGATGATGTTGCTGTAATAGAAGATTTTTGATGAATTTTTGCAAGTTCATGCTCGAGCTCTTGCAGTCGACAACCAGGTCTTTGCATACGAGATTTAGCATTTTCTTTATTTGGACTAGCCATTTCTTGAGTACATAAGACACCTCCTCCTGATACTGGAGTTGGACTTTCAAGATCTAGATTCTAAAAAGATTCACATACATGTTATATTATAATTTTACTAATTTTTATTATAAGTATCTTTTAATTATAAGTATCCTATAATGTTTTAATTTAATATTCTTATTTGTTAAACATTTAAAATTTGATATAATAATCTTACATTTATGTTCTGAAATGTGTTATGAGAAGTAGACTGTTCCATTATTGCTCCACTTACGGAATTATCAAGCCCACTACTGTTTTCATTAATAAATACAGAATGACCAGAATGGATTGTAGACTGAGGAGAAAGGGAAGTCTGCAATTATGAAATTATTAATAGAACCTTCAATATAAACAAGTCCTCATAAATATCTATCTATAAATTAATACAACATACTAGCGGTTGAAAAGCAGTGGCAGGTATACCAGGTATAGTGCCGAATTTTTGTTGTAAAGTAATCACATGTGCATCTTGTATGCTTGTTATTTGTTGAATATGAGGTGTTGCTGGGTGACTGATTGGCGGTGTACTAACAATCAAAGATTCTGACGGCTGACTAGTTAATTGTACCAATTTTTGTTGCAAATCGGCAATAGTTTGTGGTCCCCCTATACAACTCTCCGTCGGTTTATCTAAAGAATTTTGTTGGCTCAACTTTCGATGTTGCTCTCGTGTCATTTGTTGTTGATAATTAGTGGTTTCTACTGATTCAACAAGAGTGTGCTCTGGAGTTATGTCATGACTGGAATATTCATTTTCTGAAGAAATTACTTGACAATCGGAGCTAGTACGTCTATAAATGATAATATATATATATATATATATATATATATATATTAAAATTAAATTTGTAGAAAAAATTACAGAAAAATATAATAAATGATAAAAAATATATCTAAAAGAAAAATATAACTTTTTAGTTACAAATTTTAGTTAAATTAATTACCGACTAATATTACATTCAGGATTTATATCATCAGTTTTTGTCGCTATATGTTTAGCCTCTGGAAGTTTCAGTTGTAAATTCTGTTGTTCAATTAACATTGAATTATCAATAGATTCTGATATACTTTGTTGATGTTGTATCTGAGTCTGAGGTTGAATTTGCATTGGCATCATATGCTGTAAGGTTGCTTGACTTTGTATCACATGAACATGCTGTATGGGTTGAAGCTGAATAATATTTTGTCCTGGTAAAGTTCCATAAGATGGAACTACCCATTGTCCTTGTATAGCAGTGTGGGATGGTAAATTATGTTGCTGATTATGTAGAATTTGCGATTGTAGTTGCGTATCAATAGGTTGTTGAACATTGGCTTGTGAAACAACTTGCATTAATCCTTGTTGTAAAATGGGCGTTTGAGTTGGAATGTTTGATGGAAAATTCGTTTGTGCTTGTATTGTCTGAATTATACAAAAATATGATTATATGGACATAATTCTTATTTAAATATTTTTAAAAAATAAAAACTTAATATCTATGAAACTTTAATATTTAATATTTAATATTAATTTTAATAATAATATGAAAAATAAATCTAAATGATTAATTATTGAATCAAGTACTTATTTTATTTTAAAACAATAAATATCATTCAAATACAATTTTGCACGTAATGTAACCCAATTACCTGTTGCATATTTTGTTGTAATTGATGTTGAATTTGTAGATTTTGCATACATATTTCAGGTTGTATTGGCTGAAAGTATTGTTCGGAATGAAGAACTGGTTGCATAACTGTGGAATTTTGAAGTGGCTCGTGACCTTGAGCCATGGAATGGGCAGATTTTGATTTAGGATTTGATAAAATATTTGCTAAGTTTTGAGCAAGATCTGGCAGTGTCGATGACACTTCTTTCACTTTGGTTTTTGGTGCAGTTTCAGTCACTGTAGTTGTTTGAGATGGAATTTGAGTACTAGCAGAAGGCAAAATTCCTGTTAGTGTTGTATGCAAAGCATTATGATGAGCAACTTGTTGCGTTTGTTGAGCAGTTTCTACAGTACCATTTGCTATCTGAATACCATTAGAAATGCCATCTTGTGACTGCTGACTCAAATATGCCTGTTGCTGAATATGTTGATTTGATATACCAGATACTTTTCTTTCTTCCATATTTACATTATTTGTTTCTGATTGCTGTGAATCAGTAGAAATATTTGAGTTATTTGATATATTTGAAATTCGACGATTTCGTTCATCTGTATTTGGCTGCTGAAGAATTTGAGCTGAATTTTGAATATTAACGTGTTGTGGTTGTCGCAACTAAAAATAATAAATTATCTTTACAATTAAAAAATTAAATTTATAAATATAATTACAAAATATAAATTAAGAGATTACTCAGTTTATACACATCAAATTTAAATACATCTAATTTAATTTTTATTCTGTAACAGATGAAGTTATTATATCTTCCAATTAAATATATTCGTTTATTATATAATTATATAATACCTATTAAAAGTATGTATAAATACTTTAGGTCAGTGACAACCAAATTTAAAATAAATGCTTCAAGGAAATGTGAGAGAGATCTCTCTCTCTTTCATGTGAGAGAGACAAATCAGAGAGAGAGAGAGAGAGAGAGAGAGAGAGAGAGAGATAGTGTGCGACAGTGATATTATTGAAGAGGAAAAATTATATCTTGGAAGGGAGGTATTGAATATCAACAAATATATATATCTTAATAAATTAAGAATTTTTCTTCTTGACTTTTATTTCGATTGAAATAAAAGCCTTTCTTATTGGAATTGTAAACGTAATTAATGTATCATAATATAGTGAAATATATCAAGTTTAATAGAACAAGTTTTGATATTTACAATATTCACGAAAAATCTTGTACAAGAAAGCCAAATTAGATTAGGATTTAGATTTAAAATTAAAAGTATTACTCTACGATTGTAATTTATATAATTTTTAATATAAAATAATTTCTTTATTAAATATTTAATAGAAAATCTAAAAACTTATTTTGAATAGGTTATTAATTATAACTGGTCATTTATATAATTTAACTAAATAATTTCAGACCTGTTGTATTTGAGATGGTATTGAAATTTCATGTTGCATTTGACCTACGTGTGGTATTATTCTTGGATTTTGTATTGGTATAGAAGCTATTGAAAGATTTTGTTGAATATCGACAATTGGAGTGGTCACGACAGTATTTTGTTGACTTTGTAATACTGAGTCAATATCATTGGCAGCACCTTGCTTTGTATGGATCATATAACCGGTAGTAGAATTTTGAGTTGGTATTTTATTTATCTGAGTTGCATCCATTTTTGTTTGCACAGAATTTTGAAGAAGTTGCATTGTTTGTGATTGTTGTTGAATTATTGCTTGTTGAGCCTAATCAGCATTTTAAACGAATTGATATTACAAATAATCTGTGTTTTAAGAATAGTTACTTTAAAACTATTTTAAATAATACAAACATAAAAAAAGTATAATATTTATTTAAATAACATAAATTATACAATTAATTTAAAAATTGTAAATTAAAGTTATGAGCATTAAATTATTTATATTGATTTAAAATTAAAAATTCAAATAATTTTACCCCAGTATCAATTTCTTCAATAGATGTTTTAGTACTCTGTACATTTTCCGTATAGTTAGAATGTATTATAGTTTCAGAAGCTCCAATTGTTTCTGGTTTTATTGAAACAGTCATTTTTTCTACAACTTCATGTTGAATTGTCATTTCTCCTTCGGAAACTACAGATTTTTGTTCAATTACGGGACTAACAAGAAAACGCGAAATTTTTCGCATTGGCGGGGCCGTAAACTTTTGACTTTCAATATTCTCCAAATTGATTGTATTCCTATTTAAATTTTCATCTTGGGATTCTTGTTGATTTTGAATAATTTCTTCCCTTGATTCATTACCTATATACGTTATGGACCATTAAAAAGTAATTGTTAAAAGTGTAATCATTTATATTTTTATATAATTTGTTCAAATGTTTCAAAATAATTTTTTTCTGAAATGTTTAATATTTTTTATGCAGATAAATTTATCGGATAGTAATCAACGAGTAATATATACCAAAGTATATTTAATTTTATATTTAGACAACATTATTTCATTTGATTAAAATTTTACCTATGAGTGTAACATTTTCATTTTTTTGTGCTATAGGGTCAACTTCTTGTACAGATTTAATAGTAGATTCAGGTAATAATCCTGTGATATTATTAGACATCTCTGATTTTAATTCTTGACCATAACTATCAGCTTCAATTACAGTTATAGCTGAAGTTGTAGAAATTATACTTTCTTGACTATCTAATAAATCAATAGCATTTGTAGGCGTTAGAATGTCAGTATTTTGTGTTGAAGTAGATGAACGTCTTGACGCTTCAGCCGATTCTGTACTCGGAGGAACTTGAGTTTCGATCATTCCTGGAGTAGTTTCTGTTTTTTCCGATAGAGCAGCATTTGTAATGTGTGATAGTATCTGATCAATTGGCAACATTTTTGTTGGTGTAGAAGCATTTGAAGTTTCATCTCTCTGTAAGAAACAAAATTTTATCTGATTAATTTTTCTTACATTCTGTGAATACTTTTATACTTCATGGCATTTTAACTTCTTAAACAAATTTAAAAGCAAAATAAATCTTCATTGATTGATTATATTTTTGTCCTATCCATGTAATACACAATAGTTACAGGCATTAAGCAAACTTTGAAAGTATTTTTTTTTATAATAAATGATACAAATTAATTTACACATCAAATATACTGTTATAAAATTTCAAAAATTTATTACTTAACAAAAAATGTTGAAGCCATTAAAAAAATATATCAACTGGGTTAATTGTACAACCAAAAGTTTAAAAATAATAAATACTAAGGGATACAAAATTTTGTTTATCTGGTAATTAGGAATCTAACCTTTCCAAAATAAAATACTTATAAATATAATACTAAATAAGTTAAATTATAAAGAAAAAGTCATGCATATAAAACTTTTAAAATTAAATTCTGTTCGTCTGTAACTGCTTCAAAATTACTGAAACAAATTAAATAACTTAAGTTTAAGTAATAAAATATTCAGGACCTTCTGCTGCCTGAAAAAAAATTAAACTTCTCACAAATAACATTGAAAATGCACATCAATAAAAAGGCACAGATATTATTTTACTGTCAACAATTTTGCGAATATCAGAAAACCAAATAGAAGGTCGAATTGAAATAAGAAAGAAACACGAGATAAAAAGTGTATAGAATCATAGAACAAGTGAATAGAGAAAGAGAGGAAAGGATTGAACTCACCGAACGGTGCCTACGATGAACTTTGTATGAAGAACGGTGGCTGCTTTGTCGAGTTAGCGAGCCATGTCTCACCTGCTGCGTCCAAAATCACACACGACAAATATACATACGATTTTTATATCTTTTTATTTACCAAATTGTAGATTTAAAAAAATGTTATATCCAAGAATGCCTTAGCAAAATTTTCATAGTTCTCGGATTTTAATAAAAAGTAATACTTTGATAATCTTATAATATTAATAATGATCAATACTTTACCTTTGACATGTCAAGGCTGTGATCACGTTCTCGAGGTCTACGACTTGTAACAGGACTACCACCAGCTGATTGATCAGGCGGTCCATGGGCAACTAGCGGTAGATTTAAAGATGGATCAAGACGTAATTGTTTGACAATGTCTTCTATTAATTCAATAAAAGTTTCGCGTTGAGATTGAGGTAGTAGATTTTCTGCTACCTTTTGTCAGAAATAAAAGTTATTTTTCATTTAAGTGATATGTCAAAGTTTAAGGCTCAGAGTTTTAAATATATTTATTATAAATTTACCAAATTATTTGCTATATCAGTTGGAACCATTTCATCTCGATCAAATTTAAACGTCACGGTCTTTTGTTTACTAGTATCTAGTTGACATTCTACAGATATCGCATGACTTTCAACATTACTGACCGAGAGTACAGTTAATTTTATTCCTGGTTTTTTTCGTTTTGTTCCTGTTCGTTTGATCTTGCTTTTTTCTGTAGTCATTGTCGTCAAAGTTGAATTATCAGGAATTTCAGATGGGTTTCTGCAAATTTAACATAAAAATATATTTAAAAGATAAAGATAACGAAATAAAGATATTTATAAATAAATTATTACCCATCCGTTGTTATAGGTATAGTTCCAGATGCTATTTGAATTTCTTGTACATTTGAAACAGTTTCTAATGACACAGAATTTGGTAATTCCAAAGTTTCTTGTTTTACAAGGGTTCTTTCTACCATCACTGTCTCTGTTACTTGATGAAAATTCTGTTGTTGCAGAGGTGGTTGATGTTGCTGTAAATGTGGATGAAGTATTTGATGTTGTATAGATGATTGCTGTGACTGTTGTGATATAGCTTGTTGTTGGGATACAACCTGCTGTTGTGATAAAGATTGTTGTTGTATAGATGTTGATTGCGGTTGTGATATTGGTTGTTGTATACTCTGTTGTTGCTGTTGTGATATCGATTGATGCATACTTTGTTGTTGCTGCGAAATTGATTGTTGCATAGTTTGTTGCTGTTGAGATATTGATTGTTGTATATTTTGTTGCTGCTGGGGTATGGATTGTTGTATACTTTGTTGCTGTTGGGATATCGATTGTTGTATACTTTGTTGTTGTTGGGGTATTGTTTGTTGTATATTTTGTTGCTGTTGGGGTATCGATTGTTGTATACTTTGTTGTTGTGGTATTGATTGCTGTATACTTTGTTTTTGCGATACTGATTGCTGTATAATTTGTTGTTGCGGTATATTTTGTTGTTGTGATATTAATTGTACGTTTTGTTGCTGCTGTTGTTGCGGTATTGATTGTTGTACACTTTGTTGCTGCTGTTGTGGCTGTATTGATTGTTGTACATTCTGCTGCTGCTGTTGTGTTATTGATTGTATATTTTGTTGCTGCTGTTGTTGTGTTATTGATTGTATATTTTGTTGCTGCTGCGGTATGGATTGTTGTATATTTTGTTGCTGCTGTTGTTGTGGTATTGACTGTATATTTTGTTGCTGCTGCGGTATGGATTGTTGTACACTTTGTTGTGCTGCACATTGCGATTGCTGTATGGACTGCTGCTGTTGAGAATTATTAGATCCTTGTGGTACAGCATTTAAATTTTGAGTCATTGAAGTTGCAGGTGGTACAATAGTAGTACCTTGTGAATATTGCATTTGCATCATTATATTCTGTGGAGCTTGAGATTGATGTGCTCCATTTGTAATTAAACCTGGTGCAGTTTGAATATTTGAAATTGACGAAGTCTGAAAATATTTTAATTAAATTTAAGTATTTGTACATTTCATATAAAACTAAGTATCTAAAAATAAAAGAGCATAACTAATTTATAATAAATAATACAAATATCATTAAATATATCCAGTAATTTATAAAACGTTTTATAGATTAACAGAGTTTGCTTAACTATTAAAATTAAGCATATTTATAAAATATAATATATTATAATATATCATCAGCATTTTGCTCAGTTACTCATTTTTACTAACCTGTTGTGGTAAAGAAACTTGAACTTGCATCGGCTGAATATAACTAATAGATGTAGCTACTGTATTATTTCCAGATGGGTTAGAATGAGTAGTATATACTTGTTGAGGTGGTTGATTTGGTAAAACATCAATATGTCCACTGGTAGAGTTTGTTGCATAACCATGAAAAATCGGTTGAGATACATTTTGTTGAAAAATTTGAGATGGTGGATAAGTTGGCATAGTAGCAGTTCCTTGATGATAAAATGACTGTGCCTGTATATTTGGAACTGTGGATGAACCAGCAACAGGAGTTTGTTGTATTTGTTGTACATGCTGTACCTATGTAATTTCCATTAATAAAATACTAGTTTATTAATTTTTTATTTAAAAATGTTTTATTTAGAAAATATATAGATTTTTATTTTGAAGTTATTTTGTTTACCTGAGTTTGCGTGTATTGAATAGTTTGTTGAATTTGTGGAATCTGCATTGTTTGTGGAGGATGTGATAGCTGTGGTGTTATTCCCATTTGATTCAACTGTATATATTGTTGTTGTAATTGTTGTTGTGTTACTTGAGAAAAAGGTGTTTGAGCTGGTACTGTTTGTGGTGTTGAACACTGTGAAGAATTTCCACTCATTGTTTGAGATACTTGGGTCATTTGCTGATATTGTTGTTGCTGTTGCTGATATTGAACCTGTTGCTGCTGTTGTTGATTAAGTTGCTGAATTTGTTGTGCTTGTTGGGGCTGTATAACTGAAGTTTGTTGTTGGATCATAGGCTGTTGTTGAACAAGTTGAACAGGTTGTGGTTGTAAACTATGTTGAATTTGCACTGAATTTGGAACCTGCTGAATATTTATTCCTGGTTGAGTTTGTTGTTGCTGAACTTGCATTTGCTGTATTAATAAGTGGTTTTGCAAAATGCTTTCATTAGCCGCTGTCGTTTCTGCATCTTGACGTTCCTTTTCTTCTTTCAATTTCCTTTCTTCTCTTTCTCTTTTTAATGCTGTAATTTGAGATTTAAGCATTTTTGCTACTGTTTTAGCATCTTCTTCGAGAATAAGACTTGATTTTGCCATTTCAGATGCTACTTCCTCAGCATTATCAACTTCTATATCAAAATCAAATTGAATAGCTTCATTTTCTTTATGCTTATTACTTCTTTTTTTTGGATCAAGAACCCTGAGTCTAAATTCGACACGTGATAATTCTGCTTCTGCAACTGCAGTATCACGCGATACCATTTCTAATTTGAGCCCTATATCATCTACGAAAAATTCATGATTTAAAAGATCTTTTACTAATGGTCTTTCTTCTTTTTTCAATCGTATACACATTTCTATAATTTCTCGTACTTCTGGATTTTCTACTTTATCATAACTTTGTGGTTTTACACCCTGTTAAAATTTAGATGTTTATTGAATATTTCATATCTTATAAGATTATAAAATGTGAAAAAATAAAACATAATATGCTTTAAACATATTTTTGATAATAATATCTAATATAATTAATAAATAATAAGAAAAACTTGCTTACCGATACGACTCTTTTATATATTTGTGCAGGGCCTGTGCATTCAGAGTATGGATATTCACTAGTCGCCATCTCTAGCATACACATACCAAAAGCGTAAACATCCACAGATTCATCATAATGTTCTTCATACATTTCAGGTGCCATGAATTCAGGTGTTCCAATAACGCTTTTTGCAAAACTACGATTTTTTAATGTTGCAAGACCAAGATCGCCAATCTTTACACTACCTGTAGTTCCAGTAATAAAAATATTATCGCATTTCAGATCACGATGAATAATTGGTGGCGATCTTGAATGAAGAAATGCAAGTCCTTTTAAGATTTGTCGACACCAAGATTTTAAGACTTTGGGATTAATTTTTTTAAATCTTCGTAAATACCTATATAGATATTTAATAATAATTTAATTCTATTTTCAAATATTGAATTAAGAATAATTTATTTAGTAAAATGAAAATAAGAATTACGTTTTTAATGTGCCAGAAGTCATAAGTTCTGTTACTAAAACAATATATTTTCGTCTTGTAAGTGTTACTTCCCAGTAGTCATAAAATCTAACTATATTTGGATGTTGTAAGCCTTTCAACATTTCAGCTTCCTCTCTAAATCTCAGTCTTTCTATTTTGTTTAATTTTTTCTCCTACAAAAATATTAATTTTTAACATTTGTATAAATTTAGAAAATGTTATTTGATACTAATTATTTACCTGTAATTCACACCATGCAACAGCTACACCAGTCTGTGTATCTAGACCTCTATAAACAGTTTTAAAACTACCACGACCTATTTCTTCCTCAAATTTCAAAAATCTTTGATCGGGAGAAATTCCTACAGCTTTTTCCTCATCATCATCATCTTCAACTGTCTGAACTTTAACTTTCATTAATAAATTTCTTACTTCATCCATTTCCATAGTTTTTTGAACTAACTTTTCATCTGTTTTAAAATTCTCGTCAAGAAGTGGTCCTATGAATCCTTCTACTGTCTCTTCCTGTACTGTTATATCTTTTTGATGACTTTCTTCAGGCTTTACTTCTTCTTTAATATTTTCTTTTAATGTAATTTCAGAACCCATAGGTAGAACTTTACCCATTTTACTCAAAGATTCATGAAGTGCTTGAGTTGCAACTATATCACTAATACTTGTTCCATTATCATCTTCATCGTAAATAGTGACTTCTTCTTCTTCATCTTCATTTCTTTGACATTCTTCTCGAAATTCTTTACTTTCTAGATCGATTGACTCTCTCATAACACTGGATGTCGTGAATCTTAAATTTTTTATTTGTTCAATGTTTATATTTTTAAAACAATCTTGGGCAATATCATGATTATCCAAGCGGTTTTTTTCACTTTTGTCCATTACTTCTACTGATATATTTTTACATTTTAACTTTCCATTAGACGATTTTCTCGATGTTGACGGCATGCTACTTTCGTTTAAATTTCTATAAAGTAAAAAGATATACATATTTATTTTTAAATATAATCAAATTCCATTATATTCTTATACTTTTTATTTAATATACACTAACTTTTGTTCATTTAGATTGCTACAAGAAATTTCTAAAATAACATTTGAATCCTTTTGAGTACAATCTTCATCTATATTATCTTGTTTAAAATTGGATTTTCTATTGGCACCATCTTTATCAAAGTTCACTAGGGAATAAACGGAGGTTTTTCGTTTATTTTCGCGAACGTTTGTATTTTCATTTAAATTTGGCTTTTTCTTAAATGAAAGGGAAGCATTGAAGCTTTGAACTATATTTTCTGTTGAGGTTCTCCCTTCCTGTGAAACCGACGATAATTTTTGGCTACCATCATTATCTTCTTTTGACTCAGAATTTGACGAGTACATACTTTTTTCAGCAGTCTTTTCCTCTTTACTTACTTTTCTAGAGTTTCCCTTTCCCATTGGCGTCAAAGGCATAATAATGTCTACAAATAAAGATTATCAATTAACTATTATTACGAATTTGTCTTCTAAATATTATAATTCTATAATTTTTACTTGATATTCTTGAAAAATTTTCTGTAGCAGTAATTGCTTCCTCTGCATCACTGAAACTATGATTGTTTTCATGATCAAAAGATGACACTAAAGACTTTTCAACAGGATCAAGGGAATTTTTTTGTCTCGTAGATTGCGAATTCAATGAGATTCCATTTTTTGTTATTGTTAGTGCTGGTGGTTGTGAATCATGCTCCAATTGACTGGATCTTGACTATTTAAAAAATGTTAAAATAAATATACAATTATTTATGAACGCATTATGTAGTGACTTATTTAAAAAACAAATTTATACAAGTTATACAATTGTTTCAAAATATGATTATAATTAAAATTAAATAAAATTAAAATTAAATATTTAGTATATATTCTATATTTTATATTTGTGTTTATTATTGTATCAATTATTAAAATATTATTTGTAATTTAATTATGATTTCCAAAATAAAATTCTAACTAATGATATGTGTCACATGCATTATTTAATGTTATTTTAACAAACCTTGCGATCAGCCAAATTACTCAAGCCACTACTACTAGCTGCCTGTGAATTTATAGAAATTTTTCGATTACGACGATGTCCCTGATTTTTCTGAGAAGTAACAACTCCACAAGATGTTTGACTTTCTTGTGGGGTTAAATGGTGACCCAAGCCAACATTGCTTTGACCACTATTCCCTGTATTTGTGACCAGCTTTGGACACAATCCAGAAAGGCCAACGCCACCCCCTGTTCCCCCTGATGATCGCTGTCTGCTAGTTTCATACCTGAAGATGCCAAATCAATTTTAATTACAATCAATACATCTAATCAAATTGATTGATAACACTTTTTTAGCTAGCATGCCAACGTAAGTTTACAATTATGATCTACACTTGATTGTTTTATCAAAACTTATAAATAGAGCTTTTACATGTCATTTAAACTCGTAACTTATACAACTTGAATTAGTCAATTGATTGAATATAATCAATTTAATTAACGATCATGTATAAGCTGAAAATGTTAAACTAATAAAATAAAAAACAGAATCTAAAAACTATATTAGGTCTGCAAGTGATTTGCTGTATGAATATAATTTATAGTATTATTATTAATTATCTATGAAAAATTTATAAACATTTACAAAATATTCCAATGTGAAATATTTCTATTTGGTAAATGAAAAATGCAATAATGTAAAAAGCGTGATTTTGATACGGACATCATTATACCTGTCCTGCCTACTATGGCCTGAAGGAAAAAGTCCTCGCACTGCGTTGCCTATAGCTGCTCTTTTCTTTGCCTCCTTTTCTTTATCTCTATGCCCACTGCTTCCACAATTGTACCTTGATTGACTTTCTTGTCTACTGGATTTGTCCTATAAATATATTTATTAAATTAAGGGATTAATTACAATTTTATAATTAGCAACAGAAAATACAATAGCTATTTAATATTTTCCTAGTATAGAAATTAGTAGAGTTAATATTATGTTCAATTATTATTTATATAAACAACTTCCTTTATTTATATTTTTAAAAAATCTATACTTATAAAAATATTATCATATAAAATAAAATAAATTTCAAATATTAAAAAAAAAATTTTTCTATCTAAATTAAAGTTTAAAGTTCATTTTAATGCTATAGTGGCATAATTTACCTTTATACCAATTAATTTAATAAATCCAGAATTAGTATTAGTTGGAACTGGACTGAGATCACAACGAACTCTTCTATGAGATCTCTCAACAACTACAACAGGCGCTTCTTCAATATCCAATTGTTCCCCACCACTGATAGAGAAAGGTCGGGAATGTGTGAGTAAAATATTTTCTGCGTTGTGTTGCTGATTACTGCTCACCAACCTCAGTGATTTATTCTCATTGCAGCATCTCGGCATTGCACGTGTGTAAGTCTAAGAAAAATATCACTGTTTTCTAAATTTTGAAGATAAATTATAATTTTGTTAAATTTCATATATTTGATGTAATACATGAGAGTAGTGGCACTTATAATTGTTCAATATTTATTATTAATATTAATATTATTGAAGTATATTTAAGTACAAATTATTTCAAATTAATTATTATCGAACAAATAAAACATTTACCTTAATTCCACTTGAAAACAGTGATTAGCACAATTCACTAAATTTCTAAATTTAAAATCTCAATTTGTTGAATAATAAGATCTTTATTTTAAATCATGAAACTTTTTTTATAATTACTTCAGAACATAACATCACAAATATTTATAATGATTTATCATTATCATTACTTCAAAAACTCTTAATATAAAATATTTTGTATACATCTAAAATAAAATTATTTTTATCTTTTTACATATTTATACAGTGTTTATTTGTTTCAACAAAACTGTATTATAAAGTTTTTACCAATGATAGTAAAATCATCTGTTCCAACACTGATTTCACAGATGCAGTCAGTTTTTCATATTAAATTACAAGTATTATGAATTCAATATCAAGTTTCATACTGTAAAGCTTTTAGTTTCCATAAATCATTTTAACAATATCTTTGATTCATTGATGATAATACTGAAAAATAAAAATCAGATTTATTTAAAAATAAATTAATTAAATGAAATATATATATATATATATATATATATATATATATATATATATATGGGTGTATGTGTGTGTGTGCGTGCATCAATATTAAGAATTTGTAATGTATATATACATCCCCATATAAATATATATATATATATATATAGATTGATAAATAGATAGATAAAAAGTGTTACATAAATTTAATTCATAAAACTAATTGTTTACTGATAAAATAAGAAAATTTAATGTTTTTGCATATAAATAAAAATTAGTTATGTATGTTTGTAATAAACTATATGGAAATAATACTTATAAACTTATGTAACTGTTTAATAATTAAAAAAAGATATATATTATTAAAACTATATTCTTTTTAAAATGTTACAAAACTAGCTAAGGCCTTGCTGTATAAAACAAATACGTATAAATTTTAATAAAAGGCCTAAATATATAAAATTAAAATGAAACGGAAAATTACGCCTTATAACACTTGCACTCATAATACATTAATTTTAAAAACATGAAAAATGTTTCGCGTAAGAAAAATATTAAACCGAACTGAAAATGCCAAAAACTTTTCTAAAGGTCAAAGCACTGCACTTCTACGTATCAGTCGGCTTGGCAAAACTTTTTTTCTTATTTGATAGACAAAGAAAGAATCGACAGCAGGTGACGATAGGTTGATATTATTGCATCAACTGCCTGTGTGCCTGCTTGTTTATATCAATTGAACATATAAATGTGAACGCGTATACAATTTCACACGTGTGTGCAAGAGTATGAAATAAGAAAAACATATCAAGAATAAAAGAATGAGAGAAATAACAAGTATGAGGGGGTGTAAGAAAAGAGGGAGGAGCAAGTGAGGGGGAGATTGAGTAGGAGAGAGAAAGAAGTATATTTAATCTGATAGATATGCTTATAGACGTATGTCTATTTGTTAACAACTTGAAATTTCTCGATATAAAATAGAGACTACATATTTTATTCTAAAATTTCAGATAGTGTGCATATGATATACGCAAACGCAACGTACGCTCTGATTGACTCAGTACATATGTGTGTGTGCGTGTATCGCATACTCGCTCACTCACTCCACACGCAAATATGCGCATACCCACACACGCATAGCTGCACACAAGCTAACTGTGGCATATTACAGAGAAAGAAAAAGAGAGAATGACTATGAGAGGAAGGGAGAGAAAGAGAAAATGAGAGTTTGGCATTTCAGAAAAGACAAGGGTTCTTAGGTTAATTTTTTTAAATCCTTGTTATGTTGGCAATATTTTTATCGACTTGATGAATATTGTTACTGTATATGAATTTAATGCATGTGAAATTAAAAAAAATGTAATTAACATAATTTGCTTATTTGTGCCCTCCCTTTCTCTGTCTTTATCTGTAACACTTTTTTCTCTTCTTCTTGTTCGTTGCCATCGACGTTGCCGTCTTCGTCTTCGTCTTCGTCTTCGTCTTCGTCTTCGTCTTCGTCTTCGTCTTCGTCTTCGTCGCCGTGGATATAGTCACCCAAAAAACGGAATCGTAGGTATCCGAAATTAACGTATTTAAAAGAAAGGAACGATTCCCGAATTTCGATAGAAAGCACAAGTTAGAGACAATGTATTCACCATTTGAGGTTGGACTTATTCCCATTTTTCACTGAAGCAATCACGAGAAGGCACACGGCAGTACGTATGAAGACTGGACAGCAACGTGAGCACGACGCGTAAAATAATCGTGTATATCATCGACTACTAACCGGTTACTTACATTTTCTATTTTTCTTTTTTCACACGCAGGAAAATCGTCGTCCGACTACACCCAAGTATTCACCATTTTTCTACTGCGAAAAATACAAGGTACAAAGTCCGATCGACACGAGATCTTGTGGCATGTATGCAAACTTCAAGATAACATAGGAAGCTACTTTTTTTGCAAAAAATTTATCCTAAAAAAATATATTTTTACTTTAATTTTATTCGATAAATATTAACAATTATTTTTACTCGTTAAATACAATATTTTGTTATTATTTATACATTATATATTATTTACAAGTATATTTGCAATCACTAAATTGTTAATAAATAAAAACTATATATATTTATTGTATTACTAAATTTTACATCTACGCGCCAGTAAATCCTGTGTTTGAACAAATATAAATTTCCTTTTCGTACTAAAAAAATATTAATTTTAATATGAGTAATAAAAAGTTTTTTAATTTTATTTCATTCAATAATTTGTATATTGTAATATGTATATTGTATGTATATTGTATATAATATATAATATGTATAAATATACAATAATATATATAATATATAATATATAGTATGTATATTGTATTTACGTATTTATTATTTTGCTTTTTATTTATTGCGTCATTATTAAAATATTATACAATTAATTAATGAAAATGGCATTGCATTATTTAATTTTATTTAAAAAAACGATTCTTAATTGTATATTATCTATAACTTGGTAATATTAGGATATATATATCTTTTTAGGCTTATAAGAAAAATGTTATGTTCCATTGTTAAAATAAAAAAGAATTAATAATTTAAGATAACATAAATTTAGGATCTTGAATATATTATAATTACGAAACATATATTGGTTTATCTGATTTCATTTTGGATTAGTCCGTACGCACTCTAAGCATGTTAATTTACTATTAAATTATAACATGAAAAATAAACTGTATAATACAAAAAATTTGTATTACATACACTTTTTAATTATTAAATTTTTAAATTTAATAAATATTTAACAAACATGAAATAATCTATATCAAATAAATATTTTTTAAATTTCAATATTATATATATGTCCATATATATGTTAATTTTTGTATTTGTTTTGTTCATCATTGAGTTATTCAATCAATTGAAAATAAAAAATATAAACACATAATATTAATATATATAAACTAATTAATTAATGAAAAAGTAATAAATAAATAAGTAAAATTCATTTATTTATAAAATTTTTAATTTAGTTTAATAAATTTAATTGATATTTACTTATATTACTTGTAAAATTCATATTATAATGCAGAAAATTTGTATTACATTTTAATTTTTAATTTATTATATACATATGTACATATTTATATAACTTTATGTATGATATAATAATATATGTATTAGATCATACTGTTTTATTTGAAATAGTATTAAAGGCAGAACTTATTTCAAGCTTGCAACCTTTAATAACAAGTACAGCTTGCAGTAAAATTCAAGGGAGAGATCGACAAATAAAACTATAACTAAAAATTAGTATCTAAACCAGTCTTACCAATAGTTTAATCAAGATTATTAATCACTATGATCAAAGGTAATGTTAGTTCAATTGTCATTATCGATAATATCTTTGAAAAGTTAAGAGTTTTGAGAGAAATAAGCCTTTTTCATAGATGTTTTAAATGATTATAAAGTAATAGAAAAGAATTGTTGGCGATTTAAATGACCATATTATTCAAATAGTTTAAAAAAGCTGACGATAAGAATTTATAATAAGGACATCAAAGCTTAAATCTATATTCATATGTATATATATATATATATATATATGTTACGATAGACGCGCAAGACTACTTTATTTTATTTTTCAGTGTTCTTTTGAATTTTGATCTCCTATTTTCTAGACTTATTTGATTGAAGTATTATTACAACATAATATACAACATAATCTATAATGAAATTATAAGAATATTTAATAAAAGTTTATAATTGTTATACTGAGTATTATTCAATGAAAAAGTAATTTTAAAGTTACTATGCAGTAAAACTATGGAAGATGATAATGATAATATTACAAGTAATTATTCATTTTCATCTACTCTATCAATAAATAATATTACAAGTATTTCAACTGAATTAACAATAGAATATCTTTACAATGAAACTACTGAAATTTATACCCAAAGTCATTTGGAAAACAATAGTCAACAATCTTGGAATTTAACAAGAGTGAAAGATTCATTTTCAAAAATACTAACAACAGTTAGCAGCAGTTTATGCACTACAACTGTATCAACAACTACAGAAGATCCTTTTGATGAATTTGGACCACCGGAAGGAGTAGAGTACATTTTTGTACCTCTTGGTGTAATAATATTTGTTATAGTACTTTCTGCTGTGGTAAGAAGTTCAAATATCTACTTAATTTTATTAGAAAAAATATAACTCTTAATAATTTGAATATATTTTTGTTATAAATTCATCTTTAAGTTATATATAGTATCAATTAAATCAGATTATTTAAAGTTATGAAAATATTAAGATATTAAAAAAAAATTCTGATGGCTGTAATATTTGTAAAATAAAATATTTAATTTTATATTTTTAAAAATACTTAAAACTTATTTTATGAAGTATTTTAATAATAATGAAATTTAAAATATATTTTATACAAATTTCATTATACATTTTACAAACAAGCTAATAAAGAATTTATTATTACATACAAAAGAATGAAATAATGATAAAAATACTGATTTTGTTAGGTAATAATTATATCAAGAAAACGAAAACTAGAACGTTTACGTCATAGACTCATGCCTCTATATAACTTCGATCCTGGAGAAGATGGTGAAGATGACTGGGAAACAGAATTACTTGATGAGGGATTTAGCAGCCGGCAGAGACGAGTTAGTAATTCTATAGCCACTTGAGCATAACAAACAACATTCTGAATAATAAAGGCTTAATTATGCAGCAAGGATACCAATCTATGAATAGCAAAGAAATTGCTGAAATTTTTAGTTCTGCTCATACACAAATTTTTAGATAGTTTTTTGATGTTAAGCTCATGATAAAATATTTTTAAAACTAATTATTAAATCTACCAATATGTAAAATCTAAATAATAGCCTGTCTTAGGAAATATGCACATACAGGTAATGTATTATATGCATCATTTGTTTATATTAACATAGAATTTATACATTCTAATTTACTTTGACAGAAAGCAGTTTGGACAATCGCAATGAGGACAAAGAATAATATTATTGCAATACTTCCTTGATTATATAAGATATTCTTAAAACTATTTATATTATTCCGTTTAAATAAACAATATTCTAAATTTACGTAATTAGTTATCTCATATATACGGTTTATATATATATTTTCATTTTTTACACATCGAATTTAATTTTGAAAATGTTTTTTCTTTGTATATAACTTGCACATATTGTAACAATTTTTATCGTGCATTTTTATACTGATAATATTGAACTGAACTTATTAATGATTAGTTGAATATTAATTTTAATAAATTAAATTGCGGTAGATGACTAACTAGAATATATAATTAAATAAAAATGTAGTTGTATTTGTTACTTTAATAATTTAATAACAGTTAATGATACTTAAAAAATATATAACCATTTATCATATTAATAAATATTACTATTTGAGAAATTAGGTAATTATTAAAAAAAAATAAAATATTTATTCTCCAAGCTTATAAAATAATTTATATTTAATTATTATAAATTTAGAAATCATTAAATCAATAAATTTCTAGTCATTTTATTCACATGGTATCAAAATTTTTGCAATTAAGTAAATGAAATAAAATACGTAAATGATAATTTAATTTATAAAAAAAAATATATATCTATATATGCATATGTATAAAATCGAAAAGGAAAAGTAAAAAATTAACAAAATTAAATTTCGTATAATCACTAATTTATATTTATTAAAGTACAAATCATTTTTTATTTAAATTTAAAGCCAAATTGTTATTAGAATTTAACATAAGTGTACATTTTTTATAAATTTTTTAGCTTTAAAAATAAATAATTTAAGCATAAAAAAGTTTTTTTACAAAATACTGTTAATAAATTAATATATGAAGACTTAATATACGTATAATTCTATTTAAAAAATCAGTTTTGTCATAATACAAGTTTAAAGTTCAATATTAAACAATATTCAATATTTAATACTTTTGTTTTACATATATATAATTTCCTAAGTACAAAGTTATTCATATCTTCTAGTGATAATTATATTTACTGATTTAAGTTTTCAGTGATTATAATAAACATAATACCTGTACATTTATTAAAATTTAGTATTGCAAATTTTAATTAAAATTTTTTTATATGAACATATATGAGTTATGTTAACTACTCTTTTGAAATTTTGTGACTGACCTTACATTTACTACTCGAATGCATTGTATACCTAAAAACAAAGAAACTGTTGATATAAACCAAAATAATGTATTTCTAATATATAAGAATTAAAAATTATATATACAGTTGATAAAATTAATAAATATTATATGCGTAATATAAAACCTTGCCTTTATTTGTATATAAAATTAAAATTTTCTTATTATAACAAAATTAACGTTTCCCGAGATCAATTGAAATAATAAAATATATATATCTCTCATTGTAATTTGTATTTTTAATGTAATTAATTTCAGTGGTTTAAGGTTTAATGAAAAGTAAAAAAAAGTTAGTCACAAGATGTATTCTGCGAATTTATTTACTTTAATACAAATTTGACACTCACTCAAATTATGTTTGCATAGAAATAGGACTTTTTTTATTATTTACTTTTCATATAGTAATAAAAAAAAGTTCTTTCTTGCATCCGCGACATACACAAAGCATCATTCACTGTTGTAACTTTAATTCCTTAAACTTGGCTGGATTCAATTTGCACAAGAGTCAAGATAATGAGCTTATGAAGTAATGATACACCATATACAGTACAGACGGAGAAAGGAGAAAGTGCACAATAAAATTCTACTCTATTCATTTAAATAAAATCGAAAACATTTGATTGAGACTTGCCTTTGAGCCTGGTCAATTTTGTAAATGGTTACCCACAAATTTACTATATTTCCAGTATCGGATTATTGGATTGGAATAAAATTATTTTATAGAAATACATGTCGCTGTATAGTTTATACTACACATTTGCGTTCAGTCCTGATTTCTACAATTTTTTTTTCTTTTAATTTCGACGCTTTCCAACTCAATGGATATTAATTTTATTAATTTGTTCATATTTTTGGCGATCTTTCCCTTTCTAACGATTCTTTATTTTCTGTACTTTAAAAATAGGATTTGAACAAACTGTAGTCATTAAAAGGGGATGAAGAGGGCCTAATTACGATTTTTCAGTCTAAGTATTATTATTAAAAAAAAAACTTAAAATTCAAAGGACTTGAGTGTGAGTTGTCGTCGTTGACGTCGTCGAAAGAGAGAAAATAGAGAAAGGGCTTGTGTTAAAAATTTTCCCGAGCAATAATCTCTCTTGTTCAATTTTCTTCTTCTTCTTCCTCCTCCTCTTGTTCGTCTTCTTCTTCACCAGTGCTTTCAGGTTTTTCTTCTACCTTTTTAGGTCGTCCACGGCCACGTCCGGATGATTTTGCTGCACTGGGCTAAAGTGTTTTATTTCAAATAAGCATTTTAAAATTCATCTTAAGGCCAAATGAAAACCGACATAAATATGCATGATTAAACAAATACCTTCTTCTTGTGAGATCCCTTTGGCCTTCCACGCCCCCTCTTTGCCGGTACTTCTGGCGCATCATCTTCATTATCAGATTTTCCTCCTCTTGCAGTACTATTCTTTTCTGCTGCTGATCGACCTCTCTTTTTGGGTTCTTTTACTGCATTTTTCTCTGTCTTAGCTTGTCGGCCTCTCTTCTTTTTTTGATCATCAACAACAACTGAATTGTCGTCAGACATGATTTATTTATTCTAAGAAATATAGCGAAATACTAATCTGAAATCAAACAAAATTAATTAATAATCATACAAATTTGTGAATCCACTATATTACGATTAAATATTGGGTTTAAATAATTATCAATTTAATCTATAAACTCTTAAAGAAAAACGAGGGTTGATCTTAATTTTTCATAAAACGTATAATTTAATAGATAGATTATTAAAGTAAAGTTTACGATTATTTTTTTATCTTTCTTTCATTAAATAATACTGTAATTACGTTTACATTAAAACGCAGAAATAATATGTTCAAACGAGGTTAAATTAATGCTCAAATTGGAAAATATTTAATTAAAAATCTTAAGGGAAATAAAAAATAAAATGTACCTTAAGTTACGAATAGTAATTAAATTAGCTAGTTCGGAATCATAATACATTGTTGGAGAACGGAATTGTGTAATTCTTTAATGAAGCGACATTTCAAAATTCGTGAATTTAAAGTGGCCAAAATAAATTGATAGGTATTGTAGGATAATCGAGGAAGAACTACTTTGGGTATTGGGGGGGTGGGGGAAATATAGTGGAGGAGGAAGAGGGGGGTCTGGCAACATACGACTCTTCCTGCTATAATTATAATAATTCATAGACTTTTAAAACATTTGTATTACGACAAACTTGGAGTAAAATATATCGTGCTTGCATAATATTTACTTTAAAATGGTATGTCGAAAGAAAAATTGTATTTAAAATTAGAGAAAGGTGAAACTGTAAGTAAGAAAGTTTTGTATCGTTCATGGTTAGAGCATCGATTGAAGAAGAAAAATTAAAAAGTAACGGTCGATAAAAGTATGCGAAAAAAATATGACAAATGCGGAAATCTTATGAAAGAAGCCTTTTTATTGTCATGGAGGGCAAGCTGCTCAGGTATGGAAGTTGCGCGCGCGCACTCTTTTTTAGTCAGTATAACAAATAAATCGGAGCAGGGTGCATATGTCCATTCTCTAGATTCGGACTGAATGAGTTCGCGGCGAACAAGGAGGAAGGGAATAATAAACGAGAGAAGAAAGGATAGAAGATGCCGAGAGAGGGAGCAAAATAGAGTCGCATATGAGAAAATCGCAACAAGCGATTCGGTCGTTTGAAAGGCAGCAACACATATGCATTAGCATTTTGACGCAGCGTCCATACGCGTGCGTTACTGCTGCCCTCAATCGAAATCCATCGACCTTTCCCGCCCTTTCGCGGCGCGCGCTTCGCCCGCCTCTCCTGGCATCGGGGGCCCGGCGAACGGATGTATCGGATGGACGCAGCGGCGGGCTCGATCGTAAGGATGGATGCCACCCGTCATTTAAAAAATGCTCCGAATAAACAAGCCTTCGGCGTCGCCGGGAAGCCGTCAACGTCTTTGTAGTCGTTACCGTAGCCGTCGCGGTCGCCGTCGCCGTCGCCGCCGTCGTCGTCGTCGCCGTAGTCGTAGCCGTCATCGTTACCTCTGCCACGCGCAAATATACGGCGGCCTATGTGAAATCCGTAAAGAAAACGTTACTTGACTGATGATAATTGGCGATTTTCCAGTGTCGGCCGATTTTTCGGAATTTTCCGAGCTCGGGGCCGGGCCCAAACGCCCGCGCTCCCAAACAAACTAAGCAAACTGGAACGCGCGCGCTTCCAGACTCGGCTCGGCTTGGCGACGCCGCCATGACGGTGGACACGGTCATGGGTGCCGAGTGCGTCGCGTCTCCGCCGCGCGGCTGCCGAGACGCCAGACTGTTTTCTTTGCGGCACTATGTGGATAAGCGGCCACCCCGAACCTACTCCTCCGGCAAGGCTAAAATACCAAGGAACTCGTGAATAAAGCCCGGCTCCGAAAAATGCGCGGGCCGACAAGTTCGGCGGCGGTTTGCGCGGGCGCGCGACCGAGAACAACAAGGGACCTCGAGCGGGAGGCGGCGGCGGCGCGCAAAACGTCCCGGGGTGGCGCGAACAAGTTGGCCGGCCTCGGTGAAACTCGACGATACCTTGGTTTCGAGCTCGGTGAATACCATCCGCTGGTACTTGGTTAAATCAATGGGGAAAATGAAAAAGCTACCTGTCGCGACCTCGGGCCTCGGAGCACAGTGCTGGGGCTCGCCTGGAGGAGGACGAGCTGAGGAGCGTGCGGCTGATGACTGTCCGAGCGGTGGCGGCTGCTGCTGGTGCGTCTGCGTACTTAGCTGTGCAACGACTGACGCGAGCGGCGAGCGGCGACGGCAAGAGTGGCGAGACTATGCGAATCAGCGAGCGGCGGAGAGGCGAGCGTCTCTCGGACTCTTGGGGGCTTGGGGGCTCCTCTCTTGCCGCGAGCAGCTTCGCGTACCCGCTTCCGCCCCCTCCCCGCTTACGGCACGCAGCCAGCAGCAGTGTTTGCGCGCCGCTGCACCCCTTCGGCCTTTGCCTCGTCGCCTCTTACGCCTCTTACGCCCCTACCGAGCCGAGCTGCTCCCTATGACCAATTTAACGCTCGCCCACTCGGGTAGTCCTGCTGGCGTTCGAATTTTCGGCCCGTACGATGGACTCACGCGACTCGCCATTAGCAGCCTATCAGCAGCGACCAGCGACCTTGGATTTTCACGTACGCCCGACTCTCGTTTTTTGATCCGCCCCCCCCACCACCGCCACCACATCACTGATGCCTTAAACGACATTTCTATCGTTCCGAAATCCCATCGTCGACTCTTGCCCTGTATGTGCTTTTCTGCCCACGCGAAGCGGTCTCGCGGGCGCGCTACTCGATCTCCCGCCAAAAAATACCATGCCTTCGAGCATCGCGCCATTTACCGTCAAGACATTGCTTGTGGTTTTATTTTTTTGTCCTCCCATTTATTAATTATGCCTTTTTTGACAGTTGCCTTATATTTCGTAGGTGGCTAGCTTTATTGGTGTATTTGTAGCCACCGATCAATGCCTCGAGTACACCAGCCAAGCTTACATTTTACTTGCGCGCGCTTGTGTTCGTCTCATTCGTGTACGTGCATAGTTCTCCGCGTGCGTGTCACTATGTACGCCTGTAGATGTGTGTTTACGTTTTGGGGAGGAAGAGAGAACGAGAGATGAGAGAAGGAAGCTCCGTTTCTCGTATCGATTCTCATGATGCGTCGACGACTCTCCATTTCCATCTCTATATCTATACATATTTCTCTTTCTGTCCCTCTTTCTCTATCGGACCTCACATGCTCAAGACGAGTGACGACTATGTTGAACTGTAAAATTTAGCACGCTGTTGCCAAATCATTTATAATTTTCGGTCCACTCTTCATTATAATAACAATCAATTTACCCATTATCTACAATAAATTTAAATACGCTAAAAAATCATTAGCCGTTCATTATTAATTTGACCCATTAACCTGCGTTTATCTCGGCAAATGATACATGATATGCGATTGATGCGTCTGTAGAAACAATTAAATGACATTGTCTATTATCAACTTTGAATCAATAAAAAGTAAAGTCAAATATTTATTAAGAAGTCAATTTTTTAGTATTACCAATTCTTTTAATGGCAAACGCGTAATATTGTTTAGTAATTGTTCCTTATTTAATGTTATTTCGAGTACTGTACGAGCTACACTCTTATCTCATATTCAAACGCTTCAAATGCAAAAAGACTGCGCGGGTGATTAGGATAATGTTTGGCAACATTGTAAATATCCGAAGCGTCTCTTCTTAATGTGTGATAATTCTTATTTTTTAATTATAGCTTTCGGTTATAATTATTTCATGATAGAAGATTTGAAAAATTAAAATTTTTTTTTTTTAATATATTTCAATAATTTTATTATTTGTTTATTATTATTTTTAAAATATTTAGACCCAAGTATACAATTGATTATTAATTTTATGTTAGGCGCGTCTTCCGGCCATACAATTTCTTTTAACAGTCATCGGTAATTGGCTGACGATCATTTGAAAAATAATAGTAATTCAATTTAAAATATGTATTATAATTTAGTCTACAAAAGTAATAAAAATCAATTATTTAGACATTAAATAATTTTATTTTAATTATCGATTTTATTATTCGGCAGATTAAGGACATTCAAATTGATAATGATGTATCGAAAGCGCGCCGGTAATATCGTATCGATTATTCATACCATGATTAAAACGGTCGCAATTGCAAATTTTCTTCCCGCTCTTGAATACGTCAGAATATTGGGGGTGGTGACTTAAATGGAGAATTATTTCTATTGGTTGTAACTTCATCTATGGGGGAAAAGTCGATGGTTTTAATGGCAGGAGTTCACACTAGGTATAATTACAGTTAGTTGAAATTTATTATTATTAATTTTTTATATTGATTTCTCATATATTTAAATGGTATGGATGTATTCGTAAATAAGAAATTCGCAATAGATCAGAATAGAGTGTTTTTAGCTTCTTTAATTGTGAGTAATATTAATATATTTATTATTTCGAGGTTATCTTAGCGTGTAAATTTCAGCTTACCAACTTATTCATGACAATGATTTTATTTAAAATATATTATAATAATAATTTGTAAAAAAAAATTTAACTTCACTGTGTTATTTAAAGCATTTGTTATCAGTCAGGTGGTTTAGCTGGTACTTTTGTTGACATTTCACTCTTCCCAATTGATACTCTTAAGACGCGCTTACAAAGTGAACATGGATTTATGCGATCAGGCGGCTTTACACAATTATATAAGGGTGTAACACCAGTTATATTAGGATCTGCACCTACTGGTAATAACAACAGTACTATTAATATTCACTAAGCGATGTCTTAAACAAATTTATAAACTTCATTGCAATCAAAACTACAGAGTGATCAAACTCAAAATCTTTAATTAAAATATTATTATAAAAAATGCTTTTAATTTTAATTGTATTTTACATTTAACTTGGCAATAATTTATTACAAATATCAAATTTAGATATTAAAACTACAATATATACAAGTAGTAATATTAAATATTGTATTTATATATTATTTTAATTAAGAAACTATTTAAAATTTTATTATATAAAAATTATATATTAATAGTGTTTTTATAAATTATATTTTCTTTATATGTACAATATTTAAATTTTGAATATTTACAAAATAAGAATTGAAAAGAATTTTATAAATATAATTTAATTGACAACAAATTTAAAATATCTCCATTCAAGCATTGTTCTTATAATTTTATTAAAAATTATCTAAGCTAAGGAGATTTCTTTAAATTTTATAGGTTAATTATAGTTTGTAAAATTGTTTTCAAATTTTTTTAAAAAATAAAAAAAATGAAATAGTGATTTTGTAAATCTATAATTTTGTGCATATAATATATTGGTTCTACAATATCTTTGTTTTATAAAATTATTAAATTAAGGTTTATTTCTTTTTAAAAGAAATTGTTTATTTTAGTTTAGTATTGTTTTTTCAGCTGCTTTATTTTTTGTTACATATGAAAATATTAAAATGTTATTAAATGAAAGGGTTTCATCCACATATTCTCCATTTATACATATGGGCTCTGCTTCAATTGCTGAAAGTGTAGGTATATATATTTTGTTCTAAGATATTAAACTTGATAATTATACTATGAATTTATAGGTGTCTTGTTTTATTCGTGTACCAGTTGAAGTAATCAAACAAAGAAAACAAGCTCTTTTGTCAGATCAAGGAAGATTTAATATTAAGTTACTTTATAGAGGTTATTGGAGTACTATATTAAGAGATATGCCTTTTAGTTTAATTCAATTTCCATTGTGGGAATATTTTAAACAAATTTGGACTAAATACGTTCACAGAAACGTTTATCCTATTGAAGGAGCTATTTGTGGAGCTTTTGCAGGAAGTATTGCTGCAGCAATAACCACACCTCTTGATGTTGTTAAAACAAGAATTATGTTATTCAATAAGAATTCTTATGATTCATCAAAATTATCAATTTTCAATGTATTATTTTTAATATATGAATCGAATGGAATTAAAGGGTAAGTCATTATGTATAAATATTCTTTTATTTGAAATTTTGAATGTATGATTTCAATCATAATTATTTGCTTTAATAAAAAATAAATGATGTTTCAAAAACTGCACTGCTATATATCTTTCAATATAACTAAATGATACAACTGGATACATTAGTATTATTAATCATTTAAAGATATTACAATAATATATCGATTTGCGTGTAATTTTTTAGTTAAAAGATGAATTTATATATATTGAAAACTTATGAGCGAGGTTAAATTAAAAATGTAAATATAAATGAATACAAATAATAGAAATGAAAGTTAAAATTCTACTCTACTGTTATATCTACATATACACTTACAGTTTTTTTATTTTATATTACATTATAACAAATATCTAGACTGAATAAATATATTATTCTTGATGAAAGTAAATTTAAGTTGTATTATTTAAGAAATATATTTTATTTTTACAGTTTATTTGCTGGTATATTACCAAGAACCACATGGATTACAATTGGTGGATTTATTTTCTTTGGAGTTTATGATAAATCAAAATTACTCTTATTGAGCTAATAAATTATAAAGAAATATATTTTTTAATATAAACATAGTATTTATAAAAATTTATAATCTAAATCTTGCGACGTTGATAACAAGGATTATTGTAGTTTATTCAATTCTTCATATTTTGTAAATAAAGAATAAGTATTAATATTAATTTATGAATTTTTAAATTAAATAAAACTATTTAATATATAAAATAGTTTATTATTTTATTAATATAAAACACTTTACATAAAAAATAAATTCTTTAAAATAATTAATGCCTCTTGTTACTAATACCTTTCCCTTTCAGTTTTGCACAAATTTTTTACAATTATAAAATATGCATAATAATTACCTAACTTCATTTTGATATTGATTTATACAAATACAATTTCATTAACTTTGATTTTAGAGTTTTGACTTTAAACTAGTCATAAGTTTTTCTAATTTCATAGCTTTTTGAATATTTCCATTAATTTTTAATTTTCCCATCATAAAAGCAGTTGTTGGTTTTAATTTACCTGAATAAAATTACATTGTAATAATTCAAAATAAACATATATTGTATGAAAATGAAAATAAGATGTATTACCTGAGAACATAGCAAAAAAATTAGCGGAATCCATAGTTAGTGTTGCATCTACGGGTTGATTCGGTGATTCTCCTTTACCAGTAGAGCCTTTGCCATTTTTGAGGTCCAAATACCAAGTACCAGCTTCATCTCCTAAAAATAAAATATTTCTATACAGCTTTTAGTATATTATATATTTAATATCATTTTTATAGAATATAAATTGTGATTTAAATTTAAGCTATTACTTTTAATTAATATATTCAATTATTTAATGATGTATTTAATCATTTTACTTCAGAATATTTCTGTTATTAAACATTATAAATACAAAAATTGAACTTTATAAATTTTATATATAAAAATTGTGATACTTCATATGCCAACCTTTTAAAGTAAATTGAAATATGGCACTTGTTTTGTTAACAAGTTCAGAACTTATATTTTTGTCAATTGCTGAAAATATTTGAGCAATTTTTCCTGTATCTGCTTGTGCTGGCTTGGGTTGTACACTACTAACTATTCTCATATCTGTGCTATTTAAATCAAGAAAAAAGTCTAACATTAAGTTTTCCTTATTAGCTACAAAAATATATAATTTATAAAATATATGAAAAATAAATATAAATTTTTTTATAAATATTCGTAATAAAACTAAGTACCTGGATCACATGCATACTGCGTAAAATCAGTAATACCCTCATTCTTTAATATATCTTCGTCAATAAAAAAATTACCAGTAATTGACTTACTATTTTTACACATTAGAGCATAAGCAGCATCTGCTACAATTTCAGGTTTTCGACTAGTTTTGCTAGACTCTGCACCTACTAACATTTCTATAGCTGCTGTATGAATAGCTGTGGTTAAAAAATAAATATTTATTTATAAATGTATTGAAGAGTTAAATGAACAACAATGAAATATATAAATTTTACCAGTTTTAGGCCATATAGCATTAACAGCAATGCCTTTTTCTTTGAATTCTTCTGCCATGCCAAGTACACACATTGACATACCATATTTTGACATTGTATATGCAACATGATTTTTAAACCAAAATGGTTGCATATTAAGAGGTGGACTTAGATTAATTATATGTGGGTTCTTACTTTTTAAGAGATATGGTAAACAAATTTTGGATCTGTAAATATATAAAATTAGATTATAATTTTATAAATATTATATTATTAAAATATCAGAAACTTACACAAGAAAAGTTCCTCTGGCATTGATGCTATTCATTAAGTCATATCTTTTCATTTCAGTATTTAAAGTTCCCGTTAATGAAATTGCACTAGCATTATTTATTAAAATATCGATTCCTCCAAATTTGTCAATAGAACTTTTAACTGCATTAAGTACCTGATTTTCATCTCTTACATCAACAATACACGGAAGAGCCTTGCCACCAGCTTTTTCAACTATAAACAATACGTATACATTTGAAGTATCAATGAACTGTACTTTACTTAAATAAAGTGCTCCATTAATATTGAGATATTTATAAACATTTTGTTTTATTTATATAAGAGTAATTTTGAGTTATTAAATTATTTTTTATTAATAAACATTGTATTCGTTTGAAAAATAAGATTGGTATCATATATTAAATAATATAAATAACCTTCATCGGCTGCTGTATAAATAGTACCAGGAAGTTTTACAATATTTGCACCATCTTTTGCAGCTTTTAGAGCTATACTTTTTCCAATCCCTCTTGATGCACCAGTAATAAAAATTGTACAACCAGCAAGCTTCCTAACACAAATAAAAATATGAACAATTAAAAAAGAAAAAAGTTTTTAATTATAGAATCTTGTTGAAGATATTACCCTGTATTAATCATTTTTTTAACGAAAATAATCTATTTTATTATATTCATTAACAATTTTAATTAAACTGTCGCAATTATTAGTTAAGTGTAAAAACTTGCAATTCACTGTAACCTGATTATGCGATACTTTAAAGAGATCAAAGTGCGAAGCAGATTATGTACATGCATATAAAATACGTTGAATGAAACTTGTTTATTGTTCTAAAAAATGCACTCACACATTCTACATCTATATATGACATAAATTGCATTCACACATTTATACACTGTGCAACTGCATTATTATATTCATATTTAACTGTATAGTTACTATGTCATTATGACGTCATCTACAACCTTCAGAATTTAATGATAAAAAAATTAATTACTTATCTATTTGCATCGTTTGTAAATATATATTTTTAAAGTACACTCCCTAAATATTCTAAACAAAATTACAAATATGTATTACATTGTTCATTTTTTCAAATTCATTTTTTGATAATTCTAGGCCATATGAATATTTTCTTTTTAGAAATTTGTATTTATTTTATTTCCATTCTTGATAGAATTTATTTAAATTAATGTACTATTTTATTAGACTTTACGCATGCGTGAACATTCTGATAAAAAGCCCGCTGAATTTGATAATTATTATATAATATACTCATAACGAAATTAACAATTCTAACAAATACTCCAAATATTAAAATTATTTAATATAGCTATTATATTATCTAATTTAAAAAAAGCAAAATCAATCATTACTTCAATCTGTAAAGTTGATATTTCAAAGAAATAAACTTAATTTAATATAATTAATCTTTATTCGAACTACACTATTGTATTTAATTGTGCATTATTACATATTTGTAAAACAATATATTTAAATAAAATATATATAAATTATTATAAAATAATGTGTAATAACGAAAGCTTGAATTTTATTAATAAAATAAAATATTTTTGATCCTCAATAGTGAAATACGATTGTTAACAAATATTCAATACACTAAAAATATTTTTCAAAGTATACTACACATTCTTTAAACTTAATACTGCTTCCATAAATTATTTTTTTGAATAATTTTGAATAATAATTTTTTTTAAATATATTATTCGTAAATTGATGAATGTAAATAGAATATTGTTTTTTTGTTTAAAAAGGTGTTGTCTACATTTTCTAAATGGAATGCAAAGTTTAAATTAAAATAAAAATGAATAATACATATTTAATATTACAGTATAATTAAAATTTATAATCGAATAAAATATTTTTTTTTAATTTATAACAGAAATATATTTTATTTATATCTATAAGCACATGCAAACATCATTACATTTAATATACTTATTATGTACACATGCAAATACGATCACGTAACTTATATTTAAGTATATTTATAATATATACATTAAAATATAATATGTAATACACACACACACACACACACACACACACACGCACGCACGCACGCACGCACATATATATATATAGGTATATTAAGAGGAATTCCATTCAACTTCATTTGCTATTTGGAATAAATTATCTGCCATTTGACAAAAGCTCCTAGATGCTTCACAATGATGCAAAATATTAGGAGGAATATTATTATCCCCATAAAAAGCACCAGCTATTGCACCAGTCATGCTTCCAATAGTATCTGTATCTCCACCAAGGCTTATCTAGAAAATTGAAATTAATTTAATTATAAAAATAATATTTTGTAAATTATTTTATTTGTTTATTTATTTATTTACAGCATATTGAATTGCCCTTCTAAAAGGATTTTCTGTTTTAATTCCTTCAATTGGTCTTTGAGCTCTTAAAAAGCAAAATATTGCTGTGGGCACTGATCTTAAACCACTAATATCATTGCCTAGTTGCTCAATAACTTTTTCAGATATTGGTTCTTTATCACCTTCTTCCAAAAGTAAAGTTTTCACTATATTTAATTGATTTTTATATGGCTGCACTTCCTCAAGATCTAACCTATATAATAAACAAAATTAATTTACTCTTTACATGGTTCATACAAACTTGTTTATAATAAGTAGTTACCCTTCTTCGTCAACTTCTATAAAATTCATTTTATGCACAAGTTCATCAACATAGTTTATAACATCAAATTTATCTTCAGGGTGTATATGTAGACTTTGCTGAATGGCAATAGCCTAAAGCAATTCATAATTATTGAACAAAAAACTTTGTATACCTTATTTACAAAATAATGTTTAAATATTAAATTATATTACATTACCTGTAAAATTGCACCATCTATACCTATTTTATGAGTATGTGTAATTAATGATTGTTTTTTTGTCATATCTATTAAATTGTTATAATTATTATAACAAAACAAAGCAATGGGTGTAGTTCTCATAGCAGCTCCATTTCCAAACGATCCTTGGCCGTTAAACTGTTCTTTTGCAGGTAACAAAATATCTGAAAACTTTGATCTTCTAAGTTTTTCAAATACCTAAGAATTTAAATATTTAAATTTCAATAATTAATTGAAATCAATAATTAATAGCCTATAAGCTTTTTGGAATTGAATTATGTATACTTTAATAACACCAGATCCGTATCCACGATAAGGCTCTTGATAATAGTTCTTGACAAATCTTTTTACTAAGTCAACTAAATCAAGGTCTTTTTTTTCAATTAAAGATTCTGCCAATGATTTACTCATAGCAGAATCATCTGTGTATTGTATAACTGGAGCTGAATAAAATTGTAGTAACATTAAAGAATTGTTTGCAATAAAAATAATGAATTTTAGACCTTTAGAATAGAATACCTTTGAAAATTGGTCCTTCAAGCTTATCAAAAGAATTTTGTAGCACAAGTTTTGATCCAGAACTCAAATCTTCATTTTCGTAAGGACTTCCTAAGCAGTCGCCTGTCAAAACACCAAGCATCGAACCACGGAATTTTTTTCCAAATAAAGAGATATCAATTTTAGTCATGTTTTATTATGTCACCAACAAATTTTCAGTATATATCGCGTATTTGAATGCGTATGTGAGGGTACGTGTAGAAGTGTGGAAAAAATGTACATGAGTTAAAGGCTAAAGTAAAATTTACAGAAAAATCATGTCATTAAATGACATTCAAAATATAAAAATAATACAAAAATAAAGATAAAAAAGTATTTTCTGATTTAAAAATGTTGTTAGTTAATTAGTTTTTATTTTATATATCAAACAATCGCTACAAATATATTAGTTGAGTGCGTAGGTTAATTTTATAGTTAGCTACACTGACCACCAGTTAAAATGATTAGTTTAAAATTAATGTTTACGATTAGTTTAAATTTGTAACTATACGTGTGTATTTAAATTAATCACTTCATTTGTTTGTTCATTATTTAAATATTAATATTTTAGTTTAAGGAATTATACGTATTTTAACCATAAATATGTTTCGAACACCGTTGAAAAATAGTAAGAGTGTTAATAAACCATTTAAATCACCTTTTGATTCTCCAATTAATAATAAGGAAAAAGACAAAATTAATAATAAAATTTCAAAACAAAATCATGAAATATTGGTACATTCATCTCTAATAACAAGGTTTATTTTTATTTATTTTAATTACAGTAAATATTTTATATGAAACATGATTTTATTATAATAAGCTATTGTTATGATTATTAGAAAACAATTTTGTAATATCTATTTAATTTATTATTATTATTAAAATTAATAATAAGGAAAAAGACAAAATTAATAATAAAATTTCAAAACAAAATCATGAAATATTGGTACATTCATCTCTAATAACAAGGTTTATTTTTATTTATTTTAATTACAGTAAATATTTTATATGAAACATGATTTTATTATAATAAGCTATTATTATGATTATTAGAAAACAATTTTGTAATATCTATTTAATTTATTATTATAATAGTTTCAATATATATTTGAAATATAAATTATATTATAAAAAATTATACATAATAGAAAATATAATAATTCTATTTTACTTAAAAATTTGTATTATTTTTTACTATTTTAGATTGCTGTTGTATAAATGATATATTTGTTGAAATAGTGTTAATAATCTTAGATACTTTATTAATATATACATTTTTTTTTTTAGGAATTTAAAAAAAAAACGAATATTAGACGAAGATGAAAAAGAAAAAATGGAATTAAAGACAACAGATGATGAAAATGAAAAAGCAATTTGTCAAAATTTAACAAAAACAGACTTACTTGCTATAAAAAGAAAAATTTTTGAAATTCGCCAAGCTTTAGATAGGTTAAAATCTAAAGCAAGTTGTGCAAAAAAGGTTTTTTATGACAAATTTAATACATTTTTTAAATAAAATAGTAATTTAAAAATATTTAAATAAATTTTTATATTACAGCATAATCCCAATGATTTAAAAATATCCATAAATAAATGGAAGATTGTTTGCCAAAATGCACTTCAAATAATTTATTCAGAACTTAAAGAAAGTGGACAGAATCCTAAAATTACAGATATTCTAAATATGTTAGGGATATCAAAAATTGTAGTTAATTATTCAATTGTAGATGACACATTTATTTAAATTCAAGTTTAACTTAAAAAATATAAATGCTTTTAATTTCATATAAAGTTCATCTTTATGGCTTTCAATTTAATTATTACAATCAATTATTTAATTAATCACTTATTATAAATAGTTTATGAATATACAATTATAAATAATATTCAATTTGTATAAAATAAACATTAAAACATTATCAATTTAAAGATGTAAATACATTTATTTACAAGAATTACAAAACTAATATATTGTATTTAATACATAAACATTGAAATATAAATGTTATCATTTCTATATCTGCAATAGTTATTGTAGACTATATTTTCGTTTTTTTCCTTTTTTTTTATGTACTGAAGATTTTTCTTGAAAACTAAGATTTTCTTCATTGGAAACTATTTGTTTTTTAAAACTTTTCACCGAAACTAAATTTTTACTATTTTTGCTTGATTTCAAAGCATCAGACCATTCTGACTCACTACCTTTTATTGCATATTGTTGAAGACAACTATGCTTCAATTTAGCCAATTCTTTTTCTTGTTTTTTCTTTAATTCTTTATCAGCAATATCAAGTTCTTTATATAAGTTTGCTTGATTTTCTAAATTTATTTCTATGTTTTCAGATACATCTTTAATTTTTTTGAAAGAATTTCCAACATTATTTTTTATAATTTCATTAAAATATTTCGTTGATTTTGATATTATACGATTAAACAATCCAAGTACTTGAGAAGAAACCAAAGTATTAGCGTCATTCGTTGATGATTTATTCAATTCTTCGACTATTTGGTCAACATTTTTATGCTGAAGACCTAAACTTAATATAATAGCAGATTGAACTGGAGAAAAATGTAGTTTTCCCATTAAATTAAAATAATATAGTCGAGCTAAAGGTGGCACTAAATCCATTATTAAATGATAATCAGCCATATTGTTACTATATTTTTCTAATCTTCCTATATCATAAGATGTAAAATATACATCTAAAATATTTTTATCAATGTTCTCGGCTGGTAATTTTATATTATTATTTGTTAAAATAGCAAGTGCTAAAGATGGATTGTAGTTCCTAAAATTAAAATGTAAAAAACATAATTATAAATTCACAAGTAGATAATTCTATATAATATGATTTAATATTTTGAAATTGAAGATTTAATTTTTTAATAGTTCTGTGATATACTATATAAAAGAAAAATGATATTAATAATATAAAAATTCTTTAATTGGTGTTAGATAACCTTTTATAATTATTTATGCAGTATCTTCTACTATATTAAAAGATACTAATTTAATATATCTATAATAAAAAAAATATTAGCACCTATATATATATTATTTTTTTCACTATATTGCATAATATATATTATAAAATCTGTAGTACATAAAAGAAACCTTTAATTTAAATATTAATATTTATAAAATATGAATTTTATAAATATAAATATAAATTAGTTTTTGTTTGCAATAAATTATATTGTAATATTTATAATACCTGAAAGATGAGGAAAGTAATGTAATAAATCGTCTCCGAAAATCTTTCCAATAAGCCACCAACCAATCATCAGAAGTATCATGTAAACTAGACAACATAATACATGAATTTTCCCCCGTGATTTCATTAGGAGTTTGTCTTAAGTATACAGGAATGAATTTTGCCCGTTTCCAAAATTTTAGTAATGATTCGGTAACACCAAAGGAGACACCAATATAGTCCAAATTTTCAGGGCGACGTTCTGATAATTTAAGTAAAAGTGGTGGTAAAGAGGTTTTAGGTATAATTGTTTCCTCTAATAAATTCACTTTAGAATCTTGCACTTGCGAAGCTTGACTAATATTTAAAAATTGCAGTTCTGTATCATCTGCTTCTAAATTTGGAATACAAAATTGATAGTATTGTCTAAGCAAATCAATAGCTCGGCTTCCATATCCCATTCGTTGGTAATCAGGATGTGTTGCGATACGAACAATTCGAACACCACTTAACGATGGAAAATCTTCATCTTGAAATTGTTGAGCAACTGTCCATGGTATCAGATCACCAGCTGCTCTACGACCTCTTCCTAAACCATCGCTAATTGTGGATTTATTAATTTGACCTTCTAAACATACCTACAATTATACATAATAGAAGTATATAATTAAAATATGTGATATTATTTTACTAATATTAAAAAATTTTTAAAAAATTTTTAAAATACCTGTAAAACAACCAAAATTTCTGGTAATGATTTTTGATCAGGATGTATAGGTCCTAATAAGCAAAATAAATGGTGAGCAGGTGCATCTGACATCATTTGTAAATCATTTGGACTATTTTTATAATGAGAAGACACACATAGACTCATTAGTCGTTGTAAAAAAAGTTCTGAAGCTTTATGATAAGAAAATAATGTATCTCTATTTATGTAATAAAGTTGACAATCATCAGGTGTAGGACAACCTGACAATACAGAATCAATATCAAGTGTTGTATCTAAACACAACAGATCACAAAGCCACTTTTCAATATTATCTCCACTTTTATATCGAATTGGTTCTTCTAATGTTAATTCTTGCAATTCTCTTTCTCTAGTAGCTTTTAATATTGAATTCTTGTCTTGTTTATTAGCAGAATTTCGTGGTATTGTTTGCGTTCTTAGTTGTTGTAAAAGTTTTAGTGTTAATGAACGTCCTGTTCCTTCATATCCATTAATCGTTGATGCCATGAAAATTAAATAAGGTCCTAGCATAGCCTTTACATAAGGTAATGGTATAGCAGCAGCTTCATCAATAACCAATAATTCAGCTAAACTTATTTTTTCTTTAGCATCTGCAGGGTGAATATATTGAATTGTTTGCCTATGATCTCTAAATATATTTACACGAATAGTTGCTTGATTAAATTCTGGATTAGTAGATTGAAAAAATTCATAGTCTGTATGCTCTTGATAATTCAAAGCTTCAAATCCTTTTGAAATAAATTCAAATAATGTTTTTAAATTTTCAGGACTGGGACTTGTAATATATATATTGGAATATCCAAATGCAATAGCTCCAGCAATTGCTAATCCAAGTGTTGCAGATTTACCACGTCCTCTTGCAGCTGTTAAAGATATAGTGGATCTTAATGTTTTTTCAGAAATTGCTTCAATAAATTTAAGTAAAGCTTGTGCTTGATCACTAGTTTTACAACAATTTACAATAGCTCCAACTGGTTGAGTATCTTGTAAACTTGTTTTCAACACTTCTAATGTTGTATCAACTGCATTTACTGCTTTATTAACTTGAATATTTAAGTTGTGTGAAGAAATTGGAAGTACTTGTAATTGATCATCAACAACTAAGCAACGTTGACAAGAAGCTAGTGATAATAAAAATCTTTCATTAAATCTACAAACAACATCTTGATGAGCTTCTGTTCGAAATCTTTGATGAACATCCATATTCATTGTATACATTTGCTTTAAAGAATTCATACTTTGTAAAAGAAATATTATAATTCCACCACCTTTAACAGTTTCTAAAGTTCTGGCTAATAAATTTGGAGTTAATGCTTCAAAATCCTGTAGTATACATATGTCGTATGTATTACCTAAAATTTTGTGGGTTTCATTGTAATAGCAATATCGAATCTTTGTTGAAAGTATAAAAAGATCGAATGGATCATCTTCATTGAAGTTTAATCTGCCAGATTTAGCTTTTTTTTGTAAAGATTTCATACGTTTTTTCCTATGACTACTGAATCCAAGATCTTTTTTATAACACCAAAGGACTGTCGGTTGTGCTTTTACTGTAGACTTTAATAAAATATGATGCAACAATACTATTTGATCTTTTGCTTTTTCTCCAATAACAATAAACATTGTTCTGTGTCCACAATTGACACCATCTTCAATTAAAAGTCTAATGCGATTATCAATTTTTTTTCGTACCATTTTTATGTTAAATTTACTGCAAATATCTATTTAATATATTATTTTTTAATATTCGAATGGGAGGTTACATTTAAAGAAAAGGAGAGAAAAAGATGTTATAAATAATCGGTATACAAATAATCCCTTTTATTATGAGATATTCTTATTGTTGAATGAAACTATTAATTTAACTGTTTATTGAAAAACTAAAAATAAAATTATATCATGCCGTTTTTTTACCATCAACCTCGTGGATATTCAACAATATAGGAATGAACACTGGCTAGCATTGAATGAAGTATACCTAATAGATAGGTTTCATATATGTCACAGAAATTTCATTTGATTGGTTCTTGCTTTTGCAGGGATAAGATATCCAAATATTTGAATATATTATATTAATAAATTGAAGAGTTTATAATTTTTCTTAACCATTTAACTATGACAGTCTATTATTAATTTAGATTAATATTATACTATTTAATATTATATTACTTTATTATAATAAATAAAATAAAAACATTAAAATATTAATATAAATAACGAAATATAATAAATAACACTTGTTCATATAAATTTTACATAATTATTATTATTTTCGAATAAATCTTATAACATAGGAATATTAGTCAGAGATCTAGAGAATTTTCAATTAATCAATTAAATTACAATAACGATACAAAGTTACAATATTTATTATATAAAAAAGTGATTTGATTTAAGCAGATTTTTATTAGGTAAATGAAATATATAATAAAAGTTATTTATATAAAAGCAGACAAAACATGTACTTACATAAAAAAAGTAATTTTATTGGATCACAACGATGGCTGGAACATGGTCGATACAAGGACAAATGGCGACTAAAATTTAACAAAAATATCTAGATGTACTGTATTTTTAAATATTTAATTAAAAAATTTGTATAATTTTTATGCTTTAGTAAAATTTGTATAACATATTTTAATGATTCATTAAACTGATGTCATTTCGATGATTTATTAAAATGATAAAATTATAATTTATTTCTTCTTTGTATTCAGTAAAGTATTTAATTATTTTACACAAATTATTAAAACTATAAGAGAAATATATTTTAGAAAAATAATATCTCTGAATTCTTGAATCGTTAATATTAAATTTGTAGCTCTTATCGTAGTGACATTTGAATTTATTTTATAATAAATTGATGAAATTTTATACATTCAAATTTTATGATAATGATGAAAAATGTGAATTTTTATAACTTTTTAAAAATATTATGTTATCTCTTTGAAATCTGAATTTTTTTTAAATAATTCATTTGATTGATTATTATTGTTTTTATGAATTACTTACATAACTATATAATTATTATTGAATCATTGCGTATTATAATATAAATAAACATTTGTTATATTTGAATATTGTCATTAACCATCATTGCCAAACAATAATAGTAAATTATTATGTTTATAAATGTATTTATACATTATTGAATTGTACTTTATAGTATACAATGTCTTAATTTAATACAATATTAAATTATAAATATATATTATATACTGGAAACAAAACCAATAAAGTATCCATCGGTGCTATTAGTCATAAATCTACGCGGGTGTCTTTGAATCATTGTCAAGATACCTGAATTTACCTGATCAAATAATAGGAGCGATAACTGAATTATATTTCCATCAAAGGTATGAGTATTTTATAATTAAAAACAACAAGCAAGATTGTCATCGCAAGAATCTTTGTATTAATTTCTCAATTGTTCTTTTTTTTATTTCTTATTTTTCATTCTAATTTTTTTATTCCAATGTTTAAAATAATAAACGAAGTTTTTTAAAATTTTTTCTAATATAAACGAGGATGGCTTAATAATTATTAAATAATAATAATTATAGATAATTGCATTAAGTATATCATTTATTTTTATATTTAAAAATAATTATAATATCTTTGTTTTTCAAAAGTGATACATAATATATATGATAATGTATAATTTTCAATATTTTTCATAAATCTAAAATGATGTATTTGAACTGTATTTAAATTTATTAATTTTCTAATTTTATGTATATAAAAATAGGTATATAGAAAAAGAAAAAAAATTAAGTTAAGTAACTTTTTATTTGTGAAAATTGTAATTTCCAATATTTATGTTATAAAAAGCATTGATTTGAGCATTTAAAAAATGAAAAATTTTTTGAAAATATTTATTAATAATAAAAGAATTCCAATGGAAGTGATAGATCTTAATGACTGAGATCAAGATGGACTTGATATCTCTTTGATCAAAAAATATTTTTCCACGAATGCCGGTCTGTTTGCTTTAGCTGTTAAATTTATTCAAAAACTTCATTATTTTGAGATCTTCCTAAAACTATAACGAATTCAAAAGAAAGTTACAAAGCAAGCAATGCAAATACTGCTCTCATCTTTACTTTGATGAATTTTTTTGGTAATTTTTAAGATTAACTCATCTCAGCTCTGTTACTTATAAAGTACAACTACTTATTATTTTAAACAAATTTCTGCCATATACCTCTGATCTATATATATATATAGATTAATGTTTACAACATATAGCGTCAATATATGAGTACATATATTGAAACAGATCGATAGCTTTTAGAAGAATTCTTTTATAATTTTTTTTTATATTCGATATAAATTAATTACTTATTATATTAATATATCTTATAAGTAATATGTATTTGCAATACTGATGTTCTATAATGATATATATAATTTATTGTATTCGATAAATAACAAACATTTAAACTTACATTCGTATAAAATTATAGAGATTCATAATTTGTATTTGTATTATATTATAAATATTTTATTAAAGCTATTCAATACAAAATATATTGCATAGTATTTACCTTTAAATTTAAATTAATGAAATATAGATTAATGATAAATTAAGAAAAAAATAAGTTAACAATATCAATGGAACTAGATAGAATAAGAAAAACGTTTTACCTATATGAATATTTCTGAGTAGTTTATGGAATATTTAATTAGGAAACACTTTCAATAATACTAATTATTAAATATTAATCTATTATAACTAATAAAATTAAATCCAACCAATATATACATTATATTTACAATAATTATTGCGAATAAACGACTAGCAATTAAAATTATTTATCTATGTATGTCGTTTGCTATGGTATCTTTGATCCACGATGCATAATATTGTATCTTGGTATAGACATCGGGATATCCTGGTCGAGCGCAACCCGAACCGAAAGATGTAACTCCGACTAGTTGCCAAACACCATCTGATCTGCGGCACTGAAGTGGTCCACCTGAATCACCCTAAAAAAATAACATTTACAAAAAGACAGTCCAATAGTGATATTTTAAATTCAATTACACTATTTCTATTTTTGTCACTCTATTATATTTCCCTACCTACCTGTCCCTCATCCCTAATCATCTGTCTGTCTATTTGACTGTCTATCTATATATTTGGTTATTTGTTTGTCTCTCCCTATTTATTTATATATATATATATATATATATATATATATATTTATAAACATAAAATATAATTATATTTAAAAGTAATAAATACTAAATTTATTTGATTTAATTAAGTTTATTTTATTCATAATTTCATAAAATATTAAAATTGATGTTTATGAGAACAATTAAAGTTTATATGACAAAGCATAGTACGTATAAAAAGTAATAAATTAATAAAATAATAAAGTAATAAAATAATAAAAAGTAAGTAATTATAAATTTATTAATTACAATTATATAATAATGTTTAGACAAATAAAAATATATTATAAAGTTTCTACAATTATTTTTGTTTAAAAAAATGTTTATTCAATGCTGATTATCGAAAGTATTCAACTTGTTAAAAGGACACCGACTATTTAAAATGTGATATAGCCAGAAAAAATAAAATATGTATCCAAAGATATGAAACGGATACGACATCCATGGATATTTTCGTGATTTGATTACCTTTTCAAATCGGTCTAATTCACAAAGCTAATTGAAAATTATTCCGTAAAATTTATAATTGTAAATGAAAAATTTTTTTATATATTTTATTTTGAATCAATGCATGCAATAAGAAATTGTCTGTATTATTAATAGAATGGCATAGAAGTTCAATCTTTTATATTACTATTTGACATCAAATTTTAATGATACTTTTTATGCTTGTTTCCAGAATTGTATGTATTTATTACTTACTATCGTTAATTCTCAATTAATTGCAGATATAAAAGACGTTATTTATAAATACAGGAAGTAACTTTTCATAATATTAAGAAATGAATGGAAAATTTTTTATCTGGCTTTAATAGACATTACAAAAATTTTTAAATTTTCATTTATGCATTATAATTATGAAAAAATCTTTAAAATCGTGGCATGAAAAAAATTGTTTGTAATTATAAATCACTTTATGTATCTATGTATGTATTTTCTTTTGTCCTGGAAAAAGCTTAATGAAATAAACAAAGGCCTTCCAGTGAACATTTCAAATTAACTTACAACGCAACTGCCGGAAGAACCGTCCGTGTTGCCCGCACACAAGTGACCCTCGCGTATCGGCACGGACTTTCCGTAAGCTTTGAGGCACTGGGCAAGCTCTAGAAGTGGTACGTTGGCTTCGAGCAATGCCGTTGAAAGGGCAGGCGAAGGCCCCGAGCGGCCCCATCCTGATGTCACGCACTGCAAGCCCGCACGCGGTTGCTCCTCTTCACCAGGCAGACAGATCGTACGTACCAACTTCGAAAGAGGTGCTGGCCTTGCCAGTTTCATTAGTGCTGCAACATTACATCTGTTATCTAGATTCTTCTCTGAACGCTCAAAGCAAACTCTAGTGCTATTAATGATCATTTCCGGAGATGTTTCTTTTTTTAAATTATCAACGATCGTAGTTGTACTTATAACAATCATGATACAAGGCTATATTTATCCCATAATTTCACAATTCCACGAATCTATAATGTTTACATTTACCTTGATGATTTAGCCCGATATAATCAAAGGCAGAGTTCGGAATCGACTATGGTCAATGGTTTATTCAACCCATAAGAATAAAACATTTATTTAAAATAATGTAATGTAGTAGCTTTGATACAATACATGCTGAGAATAATTATTTTAAATCGTATCATTCAAATTCAATGATTTTTTCTCTTTTTTAAATACATATTTACATGTAAGGATTTACAATATGAATGTTTACAATAAGCAAATTTAAGAATAATTTGTATAAAATTGTCGTTATGTAAATTGTTTGTAGCAAAATTACGAAATTATGTATATAAATATTCATACATTCTACAAATACATAAATTTTTAATTAATTCACTTATTTATATCTAACGGAATCTGCGAATTACAGAAGATTAATATAGAATTGAATTGTCAGTAATAATTAAATACATGATAAATCATTTAACAGCCATTCAATTATTTATGCTTATTCATTCTCATAGAAAAATAAAATTTTATTCTATAGTAAAGAATTCTATCAATAAGTTCCTAAATTACAACTAAATAATTGTAAATAGAAAATTTAAAAATAGTTAAAAATTGTTATGAACTTGCATAATTAATACGAGTAAAGTTCTATAAATAATAACCTGGAAATTATCGGTTTTCCAATAAATTAATGTTATTTTATAAATTTTAGATAAACGTAAAATATATTTAATACTTGAAAAAATTAAAAGGAAAAATAACTACAAAAGAGAATCTATACAACAAAAGCGCTAAAAATATTATGCAGTTGTAAAAATAAATAAATTTTAGAAAAAAAGCATATAATAAATTTATTAAAATTCTCTATAAATTGTTAACAGAAAACTATTGTATATAACCATAACAATAATATTAATTTAATTATTTTAAAATAAAAATTGAAATTTCGATCTCATATCATAAAAATCATAAAATAAGGATTTAAAACATTTTTTTTAATTAGTTGTATATAGAAATATGTAAGATTTAATTATGCGTAGGGTATTTATTCATCCTTGTTTCACATTGACATAATTATTTGAAACATGTAATGGTTCTAGGGTAGTTCTCTACATTAACTTTAATAATTTTACGTAGCCATTGCGTGCTTATATCACACAGATATGTCTGTATGGAAAAAAAAAATATATATATATATATATATACATGAATAAATTAGGTACGATTTTTTTATGATATTTAAAAATTAATAATTATTTGTTATCTTTGCTAAAATTGGTATTATACGATATATAAATAGTTGCACATTACTAACTTAATTTTTTTGTATTTGTTTAATATTTATATTATATTAGTCATAGACACATTAAATACAAACAAAATTAGAAAATTTTTCTAAATTTACTTTTAAATTTATTCTAAAATTACTATGAAAAAAACATTTTTTAATTAAATTCTATGATAATGAAAAACTTATTATAAACATGTATTTTAAAAGACAATTACAATGATATATTATTAAGACTGATACGGGAATTGAATTTAAAATAAAGTTAGAATTTCGTTTTAAAGTAATAAATTAAACAATATAAATTAACAATGACCATAATAAACGTTCTAATCGTGAAAACGGGATATTTTTTAAATATGTGAATTATAAATTTAATAAAAATAAGAATATATGAAATAATATTTATAAAGTGAAGTAATGAATAAGACTAATTTGTAATGAAAGTATTTGTAATGAAAGAAGAACAAATCACTTATAAATAATAACGATAGTAATTTCGCTAATATACAAACTATGAAAAATAATTAAATGACTTTTTACATGCTATTTTATAATCAAAATATTAATGTAATTAAATAATATATTATCTTTAAAATATAATAAAATTTTAAAACAATAATCTAATAACAAATTTGTTGTTAAACTATTTAATTATAATTAATCAATGAATAATATTTTTAAATTTTAACCAATCTAAAACAAATAAAAGTTTAATAAAAATAAAATATTTAATACATTATTTATAAACAAAAACTTATAATCTATAATATTATTATCAGAAAAATTATCTAATATTATCGTCTCGTATGAAATAGTATTACTAAACAAAATCTTTCAAATAACATTCTTAGAATAAGCTTACTTTTTGTACGTAAATTTCATTTCCATTACAAATATAATAGTATTTGAATATATTTACTAATTTTTTATTTGTACTATTAATAAAATATATCAGATACAATGATTTATTTTATATATTTGATACAAAATAATTTTCAAATGATCTTCTTTGTCAATTTATTATATTAATAAATAGAAAGCAAATATATATTTTACTTGTGTTTTATTTACATTATTATTGTACATATTTATTGTACAAAAAGTTATTTGTATTAATTTCATTTTAAATTAATGGAGTATTTATACTTACTTATATATTTTTATGTTTTATTATATTAGATGAAATACTATTAACATAATATATAAATTAAAAATTACTATTATTGATATATATTCTATATTGTCTATATTCTATATTGATTCTATATTGTCGATGAAAACGAATGAATATTTTATAATTTCATTTTTTGCAATCAAAAACTAAAAAATTTTGTTTGAAACATTCAATTACAAATAAAAAAATTTATATTTTTGTAGTTTCATAATTTTGTAAACCTAAATAACATCTTAAATTAATGTTCTTAATTAACGATCTCAGAAAATAACTATCATTTTAATTATTTTAATAAATGTAAAAGTATTAATTAGATCATTTTTTTATATTTTTTGTTTATATACATCTTTTCTGTATTTTTATGCATTTCAAAAAGTCAATTTCTATCTCAAAAATTAAGTCGATATAAACAAGTATATCGATAAAACAACTGGGTATGTAATTCATAATATGCTTATAATATGAGATGATAAATTAACATAATTTTAAAAATAGTTTTCTATATTTGACAAGGATCTATTAAATTTAATGTATAAACTTTTTCAATATATTTAATAATTATTGTTATGAATAAAACTTCTGAAATTCTGCACAATACATTAAAGCTATATTTTTCTACTAATTTAAATCGATTAGTTTTCTTGTACAATGAAGACAGAATCTTTAATAACGAATGGTTATGAGCGAATATAATTTTGCACTGTTAAACAAAAATCTAGATAGAATGTGATTTGAAAAAAATCATAACGAGTTGAAGATATAATCGTATGATAAAATAATCAAATCAATTCAAATTTGAATAATTTATTATTTCAGTTATTCATTGTAACATTAATTTTTAATTTAACCTTTGTAATATTTTATTAGAATAAAATTTTATTGTGATATATTATAAAAATCTTATTAAATCGTATATAAATCTTATAATCTAATAAATAAAATTAATAATTACGTAACTGATGCATACACGATAATAGAATTCTTATATATTACAAGTAATTATATAATACAGATTACAAAAAAGATGGCTATAAAATTTTAAATTATAAAATATCAATAAATATACAAATAAATAAAATGATTTATTATGTATTATTTTTTATTTCACTTTCATTTTCTTAATGTATAGTATTTAAATTATGATTTCTGTATGGAAAATAATTTTCATTTTGTTTGTTTTTTAAAAATATATGTGTTAAAGTTAATTTTACGAAATTGTAAAAACATTGTTTTTGGTTTGCAAAGAATTCAGTGATACATCCGACACAATGTGGATTTTAAATGCGAGTGTAAATGCACATGCTCGAGTACTTGCAAATGGATACATTTTTCTATAAAACCTTATTACCAACGAAATATATTAGCATACTAATTGTACTACTTAATTTTTATTCACTTTTACTGGTGACAGAAAAATTGCTTAGAGTTAAAAAGAATTCTCATAATGGCGCAATAGTTTTTTATATTGTACAAACTGTATAATAGTTTTACTTATATTATATTTATATACGATGTATATTTATTTATTGTTTCATATAATAGTAAAAATAAGATTATATTAACAATTTATCAGTAGCATTTTATTTCATTAATACTTTATTGATACAAATATTTTTAACTTTATTTTAGTGGACATTAATTTTGAAAAAAATTTTGAAATAATGAAATTATGGCCTATTACACAAATTATAGAAATGTACATTCTTCGATTTTTTAACCTTTTATTGTTCTAAAATAAATATTTACTGTAATTACAAGAAATTTGCGATTATTAAAGCAATACAATTTGGCACTTGGTGTTTTTACAAGATACGTACTCTCTGTGAAGATTAAAGATAAACCTTAGTTATTCAGAGGTAACTCAATTATAATGTGACTTTTAAGAGTTTATGTATTTATTTGCCTTTTAACAATTAAGAAAACACATTATTATATCATACAAAAATTATAACATTGAATATTTATTACTCTAATTAATAAGTCATAGATGTAATGATTTTAGAAAAAAGTTATCTTACCAATATCGTGCACGTAGTTCTCAAAACGTTCGTGAAGGATAACTCGTTCAACCGGCAGACGGGCAGAGCCTCGACCGCCTGTATCCAGCTCCCATTCACCTACGACAGCCGTCCACAAAGCTCCGATTGGCAAGTTAAATAGATCACTAAATGAAAATTAAAAACGGTATTCATATATACAGAAATCCTAAACATTTATTCACTCTTACTTTAAATGTATAGTATTTTCAGTTATGGTAAATTTATTACAAATTAAAAATGTAATAAAATCTGCGCTTTTATTTAGAATTATTAACGAAGAAGTAACTGAATAATAAAACAATATTTAGTTGCATAATTATTTGTAATGTAATATACTGTTATTTGTTATGTAATATTATTTGTAATGTAATGGCACATTCACAATCTATCAATTATAATGCTCATAGATCAATTAATTATTCTTTATATCAATTTACCGATAAATCAATCGAGAAAGATTGCTGTTTATACTGTCTTTTACAAAAATAGCTACCAGAATAACTGTAAGTGATTATAGTTGTCTTCATAAATTATTGATCTAGTATATACATAATAAAGAAATTAAAAATGAATAACAATATTGTGCTATAATATAAACAACCGTAAATAATATTTTTTGTGAATACATGGATATTAAATTTTTTTCATAATTTTCTCATATTAATTTAATCTCAGAGATTATGTCTATTTACTATATTTTAGGTATTCAGAAAAGGAATAATCAGCATTAATTATATCGATATCGTATACATCTAAAGTTATGTATAACATTTACAAATTATATACGATAACGACTTATTAAATTATTTTTAAAAATATTATTTAAAAAATAAACAAATATTTAAAATAGAAATATTAAATAGTAAAAGAGTTTGATGCAGTAGTAATAAGACGAAATAAGTAACTTATTTCTACTGATTTCTAAGTGAACGCATATATAAAAAATTTCAATTCATATATATATATATTGTATTGACAGATGAGTACCTCGTAAAACCTTGTAAAAAGCTAATGTATTTTTCAAAAATGAACTTATTGTGAGATGAGCAGTGCATATAGAGTACCAATAGAGTACATTATAACTAAAAGCGTAGCTATGAACGGATAAGTGTTGAAATTACTTGTGTATGCAGTGTGCGGCAGTCAGGACCCAACTCTCATCAATGAGCACACCTCCACACCAATGGCCGATAAATCCGAGCTTCGGGTGGAGCAGCTGAAGCGAAACCTGCCAGGGCCAGGAGCCCCGTCTACTTGGCTTACCATTAAAGATGCGCCCGGTTGTCATACCATGATATTGCTGTTGACGCGGCTGCCGCTGCCAGACTGCTGGACATCCACATTCTGCCGTTCAACAGCGCATATTTTCACCTCACAGCCGTGAAGCTACCGTCACTACCACACCTGTACTTTCCCTCTCACTTATCATTCTTTTATCGAGCAAAATTTTCAGGTTTTCACTAGTTGAGGTTATGTACAGGGTGGAGAAGGAGCTTTTATTCTCGAGCTACTTTAATTACTTTAGAGTAAATATTCAATTTTTAATTTGACCCTGAGCTAGAGTAGAATCGTACTCTTGTTAGGAAGTATTGAATTATGACGCTTTACGTATAGCGTATAGCAATTTAGAGAAAGGAGAAAAAACTTTCATACTTCATATTACTAAAAGACTTTTTTTAATTTTATTCTTAGTTCTGTTTTTTATTAAAATGACCCAGAATTAAAACTTAAGTGATTTTATTTTAGAGATTTTCTTAAGATGTGAAACGAAGCCAATTTCTACTTCAAAAAGAGTGATTTTCTGATCTTGTAATTTCAAATATCACTCTAAAAAGTTAATATTCTCATTTAAACAACTCTACATATTTTTCTGGGGTAAAATTTATCTTATTAGACCTGCTTGAGGTTAGTAACTTAAATATGAAATTATATATAAATCTTTATAACGAATAAAAAGATATTCTTAATTTACATTTTAGTTAAAATTCAATTTGCTAGTATTGATATTATATATATTTTATGATTTAAACACGAAAATATTAATTTTATTTCTATTTCTATTCAAAATACAATATCAATAGTCATCATTAAATTTTTTATTAATTTTTTTATAATATATTCGAATCAATAATCTATTAAGATGAAGATTCAAAATAATTGATTATTAATTATTACAGGGAATATCGATACACAGAATGGAGAGTTGGAGGTTGACAAGATTGGGAAGTGGGTGAGTAAAAATGAATAGAAAATTGTGTCACTATTTTACTTAGTCATCTGATTAGTTCTAAAGTAAAAGGTATATAATATAATATTTTTATACATTTGCTTGTATTCTATTATTTATATTTAATGTTATTTCTTGTAACTGAATATTTTCATTTTATATTGTTTTATTAAATGTTATTTAATAATACTGCTCTTTTTATTTATAATAAATTCATCTAAAAAATTGATTAATTATCTACGTTTCTTTATATATCTATATATATATATATATATATATATATATATTTATATACATTAGTATGCTTACAGTATATGAAATAAATATTATTTTCTAATCAAAATTTTATAAATGTCACAATTCTGTTCATATATTTCAAAGAATATATCGTAATATTAAAAGTATTTCACTCTATTTTCATACATCATATTTATAAATATGAAAATACTTTAATATCATTAAAATATTAAACATTTCAAATACTTTTTAAAATAAAATTTATAAATTTATATTTAATCAACAAATTTAAAAATTAGAATTATATTTAGGACTATTGTGCTTAAAAAATTATAATTAAAACTCCAACTTTAACAATATATTAGCAAATTTAATAATACATTTAATAATTTTATACATTTATTTCAACTGTTCAATATATCCGAGGATTTGGAGTAATAATATCTTTACTAATATAATATCGTATAAAAATATTTTATTATTTGGTATTATATTAATAAATCAAGTAATACTGAATTTGTATTAAAATAAATTAGATAATGATGTTGTATACATACAATAAAATTATTGCAACCTTATATAAATTGAAGTTTTTAATAAAATTAAAGTCTAATATAAATTTGTATAACATTAATATTTAATTAGGTTGTGTTTCACAATCATATAAAATTATATTATGATAACAAAATAATTTTAATTGTTTTGATATGAATCAGTTAAAATATATTAAAACAAATTAAAAAAAATTATTTTAAAAATTTTTGTTCTAAATGGATTATTAGGAGTACGGGGAAATTAAAAATTTTCATTATCTATATTCTTAAGTGAGTCTCATTCTAATTAGTAGAAAGAAGTATATATTTGATTACAGCACAATTCTCAGAACCTGGTACTACTCATTTTAAGAATTGTACTACTGATTAAAATGTCATTTCTAAATTTATATCAGTCTTATTGAGACTTCGGTACAAATAAATATATTGACAAATGTCTATAATAAATCAAATTTTCTTAATTAAAGAAAACATTTATATTGTAACATTCATTTAAAAGCCCTAGTTTAGTTCAAATAAAATTCGAAACGGAGCTTTGGTGTTCTAGTGAAAGCAACTATAAGACAAATGAAATACTTTTACTGTACAATACTTACTAGTATGGTCGTCTTTCATAGATTTCATCATTGTCAGACTTTTTTGAACGAGTGCGAAAAGAATAATTGCAAAAAGCTTGACTTGCGTCATTTTCATTTTGTGTGGATATTCTTTATTCAGTTTTGGTAACTTTAATTATAGCTAGTTATGAATGGAATTGGTGCGAGCAAATAAAAAACACATTCTTCCTAAAAGCAAACAGCAATTCCGAATAGCCAAGTCTGCTTTTGAATCGTAGAACTCTATTTTGATTGGAGCTTTTACCGATGACTCGGCTGTGAGCACTTCCACTAGTTCCGGTCGATTTTAATACCCATCCTCACTTTCCTTCGGGATTTTCGTCAAGTTCAGTGAGCGCGATGAATTTAAGCAATACCGCGGAATCGGTCCTCCATAATCCATTCCCCAAGAATACTGATTGGTGGTGTTAAGTGACTGTGATTACTATCCCCAAATACATCTCCGTCGCAACAAGCGAGAAAGACTGTAAGAGTTAAGTGTACGAACGCGACTCCGGACTTACTCGCGTCTCCACGGGCGTCCGCCACTGCCAGGGCCAAGGAAAGTGATCGCCGACCAAGAGAGAGAAAGAGAGAGAGAGAGAGAGAGAGAGAGAGAGAGAGAGGGTTTCCTCTGAGCGCGGTCTGCAGTCATTTCATTCACTTTCTAATTTTCATCGATCGCCGTCACCATCGTTATCGTTACTGCTGCTGCCATTACTTCAAAAATCTATGATTTTACCATTTTCCATCATTTTTATTTTCAATATTTCCGTACTTTATCCGAATGTGTCCACTTACCAGCGTATTTATATAACATTAAAAACAATTTATTATAATTAAATACCAAATTGTTATAATATAATGCATCGACTGTTCAACAGTTGATTACTTAGAACTTTTAAATGATTAATATGAAATCGCATTGAATGATTGAAAACCTATTTAGTTTACAATGTAACTTAAATCATTATCTTTTCAATATTAATGTTAGCAACAACATAATACATAGAATTTTTATTCTTTAATTACGTTAAAATGTTTTATTATATATTAAGTACTAAATAGTGGCGATTTTATTAATGGAAATTCACTAAAGTATACGTAATAATCTTGAAACAATGGTCAAACACAACGAATACACAAAAGTAGTTCTCATTTTTAAAGAGCTATATTTTTAAAATTCCAAATTTTTAATTATAGACATTGTTAATATTTTCAACTTAATAATTTAAATAAAATTTGTTTACCTTTTGCTGATATTATATTTATTAATTAACACAGATATTTAAAATTACAAATTAGATATCTTATTAAATAAACATGTAATTGTAAATTAATATTATAGTTTCCAAAATCCAATGTCAATATAAATTCTGAAATACCAATTTTTATTTAAACTGTATTTATAATTAATTTAACACAAAATAAAAAATTTCTACGACATCTATTAATAAGTTAACGAAATATTAAAATAAATTAAAAAATTTTAAATGCGAACGATTAATCTTTGGATGGAATACTATAATTTTACTTTTCATTATCTCAAAATGAAAAATTTTGATTATAAGTATCGATTGAATCAGGCAATACATAAAAGGGAGACTATATTTAGAATTGAATTAGTTTTTTTAATTAAATTTTAAATAAGTTATAACATATTAATAAGATATTTTTACCAAATATTTTAAATATTCAAATTTCAACAGTATAATAAGAAAATTGAATGTTAATATGCAAAATATAAATATTAGCATTTAATATTGAACCAGCATTGTAAAATGAATGGTCAAAAAGGATTATTTCAAGATTTATCTCGGACGTTAATCAATGGTTGAGTTTAAAATTCTATATTTCTATTTAAAATATTCTATTTAAAATGTATATGAATCTTATTTTAATAAAATAATTTTTTCCTAAACTTTAGAAAATTAAATAAAAAAAATACTATTTTTTATAGAAGTAGTTTCACTATCTTAAATACACAACTTTAATATATAATATTGTATATTCAAATAGTTAGAATTTTCATTTTTAGTTAAATTCTTATTTCACGTATTTAATCATTCATAAAAATTATTTTTGTTTCAATTTAAAATCAAGTATTCATAATATTGTAAATCATAATATTGTATATCATAAAGTAAAGATATTAAAGGAAACAAATGTTTTAATATTCTTTATTTATGTAAATAGTGCTTTGAAAAACAAAAATTTTGATAAACATAAAATCTAAACCATTCGAATTGTTTTTTACCATTTATTAATTTAATTATTTCAGTTACATTAAATTTATGTATTTTGTAAAATCTTTTTCAAAATTGAACTATAAAAGACTATGTTAATTATTCCTTTTTATAATTGTGATATTTTACTTGGCGTTTTAAATTCTATTTACTTTTTGCAATTATAAAATTTTGGCAACGTCATATGACTTTTCAGTAAATTAAATTACCCTACATTATGAACTTCTCCACTATTTAACATATGTAGAAGCTCATAAAGTTGAGGTATGTTCGTCTGTCCAGAACACACACGTGTTTCAAACAATATCGGTTTACGTGTAAAAAGCATAGGATTATTGGTAGGATAAAACAGACTGCGCATATATAATATTGTGGATGTAGAGCTAGAAGTAATGAAAAAAGGAGAATCGAAGTCGAGTGAGTGGTGACTTGTAATAGATAAATAACGGAGCGCGGCCCGTCGCACAGCCTTTCTCTCCTCCGC